TTATTTTTTGTATTTTTACATGTTATTATTTTATGTTTTAATATTTTATATATATATATGTATATATATGTGTGTATATATATGTATATATGTGTATATATGTGTGTGTATATATATAGTATATACCTATAGTATATATATGTAGTATATATACCCTAAAGTATACCTGTATCTAAAATATAAATGTAAATATACATGCCTTTGGCCCCAAACCAGATTTTTAATGTGATCCATCCATATAACAAGTATAATCTTTTTTTAATATTTTTTTTCCTTTGGAAGAACCTGCTCCTTAAGGTTTGGTGGTTTTGCACAAGGATTTTGTAGCTAATACCCTGTGTAGGTTCTTTTGGATACACACTTGGCATTTTCTGCCATACTCACTGACAGCTGTGAGGACTGGAAGGTCCCCAAAAGGTGTGTGGGGTTTTTCTCAGTTGCCATTCCCTGCTCTGGTGATGCAGAAATTCCTGGCTCTTCCCAGCTGTTGCTTTGTTGTGGTGGTCAGCAAAGCAACGTGGCTAAAAATGCTCCTTGTGTTTGATCTAAGGCAACCTGAGTTAGTGCTCTGTGCACAGAACTCCTCTCCAGAAGGAAGTGGGAAGCCTCACTGAGACAACATAATTTTTAATCTTTTTCTTCTTTGCTTTCAAACTAAATGTCAGTGTGAAACTGCTGCTGAATGGATGCACTCAGATGAGAAGAAATCTCCATTCTGTGAAGTTGATGTAGAGCTTTAAAATATATGTAAGGTTTCCTTCCCAAGTCTTTTTTGACCAAATGGATGGGCTGATCCACAAAGCATTAACTGAAATACCCCCAAAAGCCATTGTCCATGGGGATTGGGCCAGGCACACCAAGCAGATCCCATATTTTGGTGTGTCCATGGGGATTGGGCCAGGCACACCAAGCAGATCCCATATTATGGTGTGTCCATGGGGATTGGGGCCAGGCACACCAAGCAGATCCCATATTATGGTGTGTCCATGGGGATTGGGGCCAGGCACACCAAGCAGATCCCATATTTTGGTGTGTCCATGGGGATTGGGCCAGGCACACCAAGCAGATCCCATATTTTGGTGTGTCCATGGGGATTGGGGCCAGGCACACCAAGCAGATCCCATATTTTGGTGTGTCCATGGGGATTGGGGCCAGGCACACCAAGCAGGATCCCATATTTTGGTGTGCTGGGGAGTGGGGCAGTGCTGGAAGTGTTTGCATGGCTCCTGTCCAGCTCTGAGTTTCTCTCACAACACCTTCACAAAACACAGAAATGATTTTTTACTGCTCCAAACATCTTCCAGCTGAGATGGAAGAGCTGAAGAGGGACTTTAGAGAAAGAAGGAGGAGGTTTTAAATGAGCAGAAAACCACGTGTCTGTCTCTTACATGAACAGTGTTTGAGTATCTCATTAGTTCTGACTCCCTTCAGTCTCAGGTGACCTTCTGCAGTATTTTAGTTTCTCCCACACGTTGGCTGAGGGAGGAGCTGCCACCAGAGCGGTGCCTTCACAGCAGGACTGCGACTGTTTGGCTTTCATTCTGTAAAAACACACTTTCTGTTTTACAGCAGTGGGAACTAACATGAGTTAACCCAAGGTGAGTAAACCCTTAGTGGAGATAAGGAGCAAACAGGCTTTAAGCTGGTATCAAAGGCCCATTGTGGGTTAGGAGTGCACTATCCCCTCTTATCTCCTGCATCATTACCTGACTTCCCCTTTCTGCCTTGAAAATAACGAGCCCATCACATGTCCACAGAAGGAAGAAAGTCCAGGATATGGAAATCAAGAATTACAGCTGGCTGAGAGAGAGGAGAAGCAGCTCTGGGTAGGACACAGGCACCCTCCAGCTCAGGACCATGAAGCTCCTCGTGCTGTTTGTCTGTACAGGAAGCTGTGCTCATCCTGGAGCTTGTAAACAGGCAGGGGAACTGCAGCTCCATGTGGGTAAATCCTGCTCTTAGTGCTTCCTGTGGATCCTCAGATCCATCTGCTGCTGCCCTCTAATCTGGAGCTGTGGGGTGGCTCTGGGCAGAGCTGAGTGCTGTGTCTGAATTCTGGGACTCAGGAGCTCTTTGCACCTCTCTGAGCCCCTTCCACGTGCACAGAGATGAGTCAGGCCTGTTCAGTTCTGAATCACACAATCTCTGAGCTTGGGAAAGACCTCCAAGCCTTCAACCACATCCCACCGTGCCCACTAAGCCATATCATGAAATGCCATGTCTGCTTGGGTTTGGGCACCTCCAGGCATGGGGACTCCACCCTGGCTGCCTATTTCAATATCTGACCAGCCTTTCAGTGAAGAAATTTTCACAATATCCAACTTGAGGCCATTTCCTTGTGTCCTGTCTCTTGTTTTCTGGCAGCAGAGCCCAACCCTCAGTTGTCTTCACCCTCCTGTCAGGGAGCTGTAGAAGGCAATAAAAGCCTTCCCTGAGCCTCCTTTTCTCCAGGCAGAGCCTACACTCCAAAAACTATTTAAAAGTTCTGATTGCTTATTTTTAATCACATCTTCTCCCCACCATGCTTTGTTGTACACACCATAAAAATACTTGGCATTTGACTTTTCCAAGGACTGAAAATTGTGCAGCAGCAGTTAAACAGGCTGGGCATGCAGGTTCTGGCCCTGCACAGCCCCACAGACCTGAGTCACACATTAAACTGCCTGAGCTGTGCCCAGCTCCAGGCCGTTGCTCACAATTGCTGCCTCGGTCTCTTTGAGTCTGCAAGTGAGGCAGAACTTTGTTGACTTAAATCTCAGTTATGTTTCCTTGTTATTCTTTGCGATTTTAGAGGGCAACAAGGACTTGCAGTTTTGTTTCTCCCCTGTCTCTGTTCTCCTTTGACTCAGCCAAGGAGGGACTGGTAGAATTCTGTATTTTTTGCTGATGGGGATTGGTTTGCCCTGAAGGACCTTGAAGGTGAGAGGAGGGCAAGGAGAGACAGAGTTAATGCAAGTCAGGAGAGAGTGAGGATAAAAATAACCCTGAACTTGTCAGTTTGGTCACTGGTGGCTGGGTTAGTCATCTGGCAGGCTCTGCTCCTGCTGCTCCAAGGGATTATTTTACAGCACTGAGAATTGCCATCATTTCTGTAGAGGAGAGGGAGCGGGACGGCCCTAATGAGTGGGATACTGTCATCAGCACTTCTTTTGCACAGCAGCTGTTCTCTGTTTGGCCTCTGAATGTGGTCATTGTTGACTTTCCTTGTACACCTGCCAGGTTGTTAGGTGACTCACAGCACCAAGGTTCATGCACTTGGCTCCCAAATGCCTCCTCTTTTCCTTGGTGGTCCTTCAGGCATGGAGCACCCACTCGTTTTGTCATTTTCCTGATTCATCTCTGTTGCCAGGAGCCCGTGGGAGTGAATGTCCTGTTGTCCCAGACAGCTGCTCAAGGTGGGGAAAAAAGGAAAAGGGAAAGAGAAAGGAAAGGGAATGAGAATGGGAAAGGAAAAAGGAAAAGGAATGGGAAAGGAAAGGGAATGGGAAGGGAAAGGAAAGCAAATTTCAAGGAAAGGAAAGGAAATTTCAAGGAAAGGAAAGGAAATTCAGGAAAGGAAATTTGGGAAGGGAAAGGAAATGGAAAGGGAAAGGAAAGGAAATTTCAAGGCAAAGTAAGGAAATTCAGGAAAGGAAATTTGGGAAGGGAAAGGAAATGGAAAGGGAAAGGAAAGGAAATTTCAAGGCAAAGAAAGGAAATTCAGGAAAGGAAATTTGGGAAGGGAAAGGAAAGGAAGGGAATGGGAATTGAAAGGGAACGGGAAAGGAAAGTGAATGGGAAGGGAAAGAAATTTCAAGGAAAGGAAAAAGAGAAGTATTAGTGCAGATTGAAGCTGATGAGCCCCAAGGTGTGCTCCTGTAGTGGTGCTGATATCTGATTTTCTGGCCTCTGTTAAAATGTCCCTCCTTGCCCTATCCTGGGTTTGTGCTACTTAACTCCCCTATACATTGCCCAAGGTTTTTGAATTTCCCTGGGTGGTTTAAGGGTGGAAATGTTCATTTTAAAGTTTTGCACTGGTACAAGGAAGGGGTCTTTGCACTTAAGGGACAACAAAGGTTTGTAAGGAAACAGCTGGCTTAACTTCTCCAGAATCCAAGATGAGTGAATCAGGAGCTACACCAAGGCTGTATTCCCCAGGGGCTTGTCTGTAGGGAACTCCTCACTCACCCAGGGTTGAAAATCAGCAATGTGGAATCTCCATCCTGCCCCTCAGTGCTTTGCTTCCATGTTGGTTTATGATTCCCCCTTTCCATTCCCAGTTCTCTTCCACCTTCCCCTGTGCTGGGGCCTGTTTGGAGCTCCATTTGTGTTCCTGGTCAGCTCAGTCTGTGCTGATCCCCTCCCCAGCTCTCAGGAAAACGGGTATGATGGTTCCAGCACCATCACTGTCCTCTGTCCCACACCAACTTCCATGGATCCTGCACTCTGTAAGAGCTCCCCTTCTGGTGGGCTTGAGCAAGGATTGCAGAAGGTGGTGGTGATGTGAGGGAGGATCTGTGGATGGGCAGGTTGGCTGTCGAGCCTGGCTGCATTGAGGGAGGATGAGGAATAATTGAGCACAGGGAAAAAAGGAATTAGTTGGGTTTATGGCCATCCATGTGGTGGGAGAGCACAGTGTCATTCCCCCCAGGTGCACTCTAGGAGAACTTTCATATCTTCCCTTTTCCTGGGGATGAACATTCTTCCTGTTTAGTGATGTGGGAGTTCCTCCTTCTCCTTGGTTTCACTGTTTATATTTCAGGGAATATACCAAGAATTCAATTTCTCTGTAACCTGTGTGGTTGCATACTTTTTCATGAGAATGTTGAATATTCAGATCTTCAGTGATCCAAGTCAGAAATTAAGGACTGGTACTCCAGGGTTCTTCTCCAGCTCAGAACATGGGCAGCATCTTGATTTGAATTATTTATTAATTATGATACCTTCAGCAGCCTCCTGTTTCTCATTAACTGTGAAGGATTTTGACAAGTGTTTTGCTTTTCTCTTCTTGCTCAGTGTCTCCCTGAAGCTGGGAAATGGCCGTGATGGGAATTGCATGCCAGGGATCTCCTGATCCAGCAGTCAAACACAAAAAGGAGCTCACAGCTGCTGAGGGGCTGAAGGAGACAGTGAGTGAAAAGCAGAGCAGTGTTTGCAAAGTAGAAGATTCAAAGAAGGCCATCTTTGACAGTCAGTGGAAAATCCTGAATGATGTAATCACCAGAGGAACAGCAAAAGAAGAAACAGAAGGAGGCTGTGCATCAATTTCTATTATTGCCCAAGCAGAATGTGAGTAGCAGGGCGGGCTGTGCTTCATTGAGAAAAAGGAATGTGCAGAGAGGGATGAGATTTCACTCCCTCTGCACTCCTGGAGAGCTGAGGCCACATCTATTTGTAATCCCAAGTGGGGTGGAGCTGATGACACATCCCAGACTCTATTTAGGAAGCTCATGAAATCTCCTAATAATGTGGCAGCACCTACTGAATAAAGCAGAAATAACAAACCAGCATGAGAGCTGTGCACCCCAACCAGATCTGTGTCCTGTGGGGCTCCTGTTCTTAGCTGCCTTCTGAAAGGGGTTTAAAGGAGGGGATAAAGAGGAGGAAACCAAAGTAAAGCTCATCTGGCAAAGAGCTGGGGGATCAGGAGATAGCTGGGAATGCTCCTAATTGTGGGGGAGGAAGAATGCAGTGTGGGTGGTGTGACATGACTGTGCACTGATTGTCTGGATCACTCATTTAGCACAGTGCTAAAGCTGTTTGAGTCCAGTTGTTACTAGGAGAGACTTTGTTTGAGACAAGTGATAATCCTGGTTTTTTTTCCTCACAGGTGAAAACAGTCAGGAGTTCAGCCCCACTTTATCAGAGAGATCCTTTATTGCCCACAGTAAACGTTACAGGTGAGAGACCTCTTAACACAAACGCCCCTCTTCACTGCTGATTTCTGACTTTCCTTGTTCCAACTCACCCTGGCTCTCTGCACTTCAAATATTTTCCAAAAGCACTCCTGTTGGAATTAGCTCTTCAGTCTGAGGCCTGGTAAGAATTTGTCTTTCCCAAAACATCTTCCTATCAGGAAAAATTACAAATTTAGGCACAAACCTTTTGAAACACCTTTCCTTATTGGCAATACCTGCAGATTTACTGCCTTTGTAGCCTTCTGGCTGTTTCTGGATGGTCAAATTTGTTTTGAAATTACTGATTTTTTTAAAAGTTCATAGGCTTGATGTAGAAGGATCCAAGGAGAAATTTTCAGTCTTTTTTAACTGAACTGTGTTGATGCTTTTGAAACTGTTCCACCATCTGCTGAAAAGCTGTGTGAAACCTGGGCTGCTGCTAGAAGGAGCCCTCAGAAAAGGGAACAGCTTAATTTCTTGGAAGGCTAAAAGAGGATGAGAACGTTTGCTTAATGACAGCATCAACAACAGAAGTTGTGAACACAGAGAAGCTGCAAGTGGTAAAAGGGACAGTGACACTTGTGATGGACAAGTGGAGCCCTGGAAATTGCTTTTCTGGAGTGAGCTGCTTGTTCTTCATGAAGAATCTCTTCCTTTTTGGGCTCATCCTGGGGCTTTCTTACACACTGGAGCCCTGTCAGGCAGCCCCAGCACCCTGAAATGGGTACTGGGGTACAGAATTAGGTGCTGCCTGTCCCCTGGTGGCTTCAGACCTTGTGAGGTGTGAGGTTTGACACTGCTCAGTGGCTTTAGGATGTGGTCCTATGAACCATCTGAAGAAGTGCAAAGTGACCCATTTCTGTGGGGTTTTGTGTAGGATCTGGGGTTTTCTGGGATGCACACCAGCTGTGGATTCAGGCTCAAGGCACTGTGCTGATGCCATCTGCCAGAACTCTACTTTTGGCATCTTTTAGCACTAAAATAGGAAAAGATGGAGAAAATGGCTGTGCCCTGCATCACTTATTAGCAAAGGCAGAGAAATGTATCAGAACTGTTCTGCATCAATGGAACAATTGCTTCATTTGAAGATCAAAAATCTTTTTTCTCTTAGAGCTTAATTTAAGAAGTCTAACTGCTGTGGTTGGTATTGAATCATAGAATCACAGAATGCTTTGAGTTGAAAGGAGACCATCTCTTTCTGACCCTAACTGCAGGCAAATATTCCTCTTGAGAGTTCATCCCTTTGTGCAGACCCCAGCTGGAGTGTTGTGTGTATCTGTACACATTCTTAGAAATCATGTTGAAGTTTTGGGCTTTACAAGCCAGCACATTTTGGCTTTTTGAAGCTGTTTTATTTGAGTGCTCTTAGTCATCCCTCTTCTCTGTGCAAAGCTCTTTTCCTTCAAATTAGAGCAGGCATTGATATTATGAAAACATTTATTAATTTAAATAAATTTTAAAACAGACTGCATTTATCCATTATCTCTGTGATTCACTAGAAATCAACCACAGACTGTCTCAGAGCAGCCTGGAGACATGCAGTGCTTTCCCCTCTAGTTTGCTATGTTCAAAAAAGAGACATAAAAGAAAGCTGGGGAGGGACTTGGAGTGACAGGACACAGGGAATGGCTTTCCCATGCCAGAGGGCAGGGTTAGGTGGGATATTGGGAATTAGGAATTGTTCCCTGGGAGGGTGGGCAGGCCCTGGCACAGGGTGGCTGTCCCTGGATCCCTGGCAGTGCCCAAGGCCAGGCTGGATGGGATTGGAGCAGCCTGGGACAGTGAAGGTGTCCCTGCCATGGCAGGGGTGGCACTGGGTGGGTTTTAAGATCCCTCCCAACCCAAACCATTCTGTGACTGTACATTCCAGCCTTGTTCTTCCAGAATTTATAAACTTTGGGTCACTTTAATATTTTGCCTCCCCCACACCCCGACATTTCATTGATACAATGCCAGAGGTGCTGCTGAGCCTGGACCTTCAACTTACCCCTCCTAGAAGTGAAGAAATTGTGTTTTAGCTCTCTGTTGAGCTGGCAGAGTTGCTGATTTCCCCTGTGTGGGTTGAGCTGCCCCATCTCAGAGCCCTGCTGTGCTCTGCCTTGCAGCAGCCGCTCGGACAGCCTCGATCACATCCCCAACAATGTGGCCCACGCCACGGAGGGCAGGATGGCTCCCACCTGGAGAGGGAGGCACCGGGGCAGGGCCAGGAAGAAAAGGCACAAGAGAAGATCCAAGCTGAAAGGACAACCTGTGGCTGCTGGCAGGAGGAGTCCAAGAACTCCAGAACAGGAGAGCTGCACCCCAATTCCTGTCCAGGTGAGAATCTTCCATCTTCCTTTTGTAGTGTCCCTGCATACTCCTAACAGCTCTTGGGTGAATTCTGGTGGCTGTACTGAGGTTCCTGCTCAGCTATTTGGTTTTGTTTTCTAGGAGGATGAATCCCACCAAAGCACTCTTTACAGAAACGGTTTTTGGGTTCCTGAATTTAACAAGGACTTGGGCTATGATCCACTGCCTTTTGAGAAGCCTGCCCATGCCCCTTTGTCCGTGGGCAAACTGCATTCCCCGAGGAGCCAGTACAAAACTGAACTGCACAAGCTGATCAGCCCTATTCAGTGCCTTAATCATGTTTGGAAACAGAGGGACACTGTTCCCCAGCCTGAGACTCTCCTCCATCCTTTCCCCTACAACATCCTTCCCCCCCATTTCCCACACGTGGACAATCCTCTCCGTGCCCTGAAGCAGAATGCTCTGGACAAATACTTCCATGGTGACCTCAACTATCAAGACAGTCACTTATCTGGCCTAAACTTAGAATATAATTTCACCAAATGCATCAACCAGTCTGTGCAAACCAGTGCTGACAAACTTTCTGTGGAAGAATATTTGGTAGATGCCTTGAAGGGGAGCGTGAGTTTTGGAGAACCACAAAATTTAGCCAGCCTGGCCAAGACGTGGAGAGGAGGTGGGCTGGAGCTGAAGGAACAATTCCATGAAGCAAGTGAAAATGAAGGAGTGCTGCTGAATGAGGTGATCTGAGCCACTCTGGGGTGTGGGAGGCTGAGTTTCTCCTGGGCTTTGGGAGAGGGATAATCTGCACCCATGTGCTTGCTGCTGAAACTGTGATTTCTGAATGGTTCTGGATCTGGTTGGAGCTGCCAGATAATGATGCAGCGTTGTTTTCTGCAGGAATTAAAGCCCTGCCTGCCTCAGACTGCTGGCTCCATGCTGTGCTCAGTCACCAGACATGCAGGCTGACTCTGAGCAGTGGTTCTGTGCTTAGTCAGTCTTCAGCCATGTCCTCTGTTTGCTGGGGAAGAGCCAAATCTGTTCAGCCAGGCTGCAATATTTGTTGGCTCTGGAGGAGCTGGAGTGTGACAGAAACCAGGGCTGGGTAGAAGGGGAGGTACAGGAGGGCAGTTTGTGCCTCTGCTGGGACAGCAGCTCCTGCAGCATCCCACAGGGCCTAGGCACAGAAATGTGTTTGAATCCTAGGGACATGATTCACTTCTCTTGAATTCAGTTCTCTCTCAACACCTTAGAGTCCTCCTGGAGGACTTCCCTGGGGTCAATATGACCTTGTCAGTGTGGTCTGTGGAGCTCAAGGTGTCCCTTACCTGCCTGCACATGTTCACACTGACACCTGAGGCACAGTCTCCATCTACTGACTGCAGAAAAGCTTTCAGTGGCTGCATTTAGTCATGGCAATCTGGGTGAGTTGTAGGATTCAGCTTTGTAGAAGGGAGAAACACAGAGAAGGGAGGAACACAGAGCTCCAAAGCCATCCAAATCCTGGTGGCCTTTCTTTTACAGCAGTGGAGTCCACTCAGTTAAATCCAACAGACCTCACAGAAATCACATGCGTTCATCCTGTGTGGTTTCATCTCAAACCTGTGACAGAATTAATCTTGTACTGAGATTTCTAAAGAGGTGCTGTGTTATCTGTCCTTGTGCTGCTTCTGAGAATGTTGATCTCCATGCAGCTCAACATTTAAATGTCTCTTTTGTTGCTTCATTTTGTTTTCTTTTTGTGCTTTCAGAAGCTGAAGCCGGTGGATTACGAGTACCGAGAAGAAGTTCACTGGACCAAGTGCCACGGTTCCCTGGGCATTGGCTCTTTTGGGGAGGTCTACAAGATAGAGGACAAACAGACAGGATTCCAGTGTGCTGCCAAAAAGGTAATTCTGTGTGAGAGAAAGACAGCACATGGAGAGAAATCTCTTCCCTCTTTAGGCCTTGTACAGTCACAGTGAAGTGCTGCTGTTGTGTCCAAGGAAAAGCACAGGGGGTGACAGACAGAGAAGCAGCTGGAGGACCTGTGTGTGCACAGGGGCAAGATCAGCAGCCAGGAAAAAGCTCATTTGGCTTTAAAGTGTGCTGAAAGGCAAGAGTAGAGCTTTCTGAATGATTGTGAGTGACTGCAGGGGAGCAGCAGCTGCGTGGGCTGTCTGTTATCTGACTATTCTTATCTCAAACCATGTCTGGTGTAAGTTGTTACATGGCAGGTATTTATTTCCCTGTTGAAAAGGGAATAAAGTAGGAAAAACCCAAGGCAGTCAGTAGGATCTGCAAACAGAGCTTTCATCTCCTCAGTGTCAGCTGCAGTGCTGGCACATTGTTCTGAGGTGATGCTGCTCCAGATGCAGCAAAGGATGTGTGTTTTTCCAGAAGCTGGCACTATAATGTGTTCCACTCCAGGAGATGCCATTGTCACATGATATAGGAAGTGTGTGGAATATAACTTGGATCAGGGCATGGATTTGTGGGCTGCTGTGAGGGCATCAGGGGTTCAGACAGAGGGATAATGCAAGGAGATGAGGAAAATGTAAAGTATTTTATTTGAACTTACACTTGAATACTTTCATCACCCCTGTGAACTGATGTTTCTCACATTACTTCACTAGAAAACTGTGTGGGAAGTGTTTGCCTTGAGTACAAAAATATTATGTGCAAAAAGAACCATAACTTTCATTTTCCAGTTTAAAATGTTCATTTTTCCCCCATTTACACTGGGCCCAGCTTGCTGTGCTCCCTGTGGAAAGATGTAAGAGGCAAGACAAGTCAGTGTTTGTATTTATTTAACCATTTCATAACCATTCAGTTGTCAGCTATAGAAACAAACATCTCTCAAGCATGTAGAAAATTAATTCCTGTTCGGCATCCTCACAGTTCAGGTGTGAAATCTTGTGGTGACACAACCAGATTGTTTCCTGTCAGTGTGGAGCTATTTAAATGTATTATCCATTTGGCAAATCCACAGTCTTGGGAGGAATAGCTTTTCCTTGTGGGGTGTGTTTTCAGGAAGGAAGATGGTTGTGCTGAAAAGGGAAACATGAAAGTAGGAGAAGCTGAAGTCTTTCAAAATGTCATTTCCCCCCCCACCTAATTACTGATGGATAAATGATGCTTCTTTATATCAGAAATGCCTCTTCATAGATCACACTCTGAAAGCAGAGAGTTCTAACATGCAAATTTAACACTTCTCTATGCTCTATTTAATTTTCCATGAATAACTGTCTGCAGTTCCTGTGACAGGAGGCCTCTACCTCACCTTCTTTCACCAGACTTGGTGCTGGAAGCACCTGCTCTCCAAATTCTTGAGATGAAAGCAAACCAGCTATAGCTGGATTGCTGACAGAGAAGAAACATGATGCATCTTTTTCCCACCAGAATCTTCATGACTCATGTTTTCCTTCTGGACTTCAGCAAATTCTTTAGTTTTATTTAGTTTGGCTGAACTTAGTGAATAAAGTTTTTTGTTAACCATTTGCAGGATGAGCACCACCTAACAAGGTGATGGACGTATTTTGTACTCCCTCCTGTTTTGGGGGAATTGAATTTTGGCCAAGTTTTGCACCATCCCCAGGGTTTTTTTTTTCCCTCAGTTGTCAAAATTATCTTTTTACTGAGACAAAAATTACCTTCCTACCTGTAATCTGGAGTTATTGCAAGCTGGCATCTCTTGTGATGAATTTTCACTTCCCTGAAACATTGAGGGTTCATCATCCCGAGCGTTCCCACTTCTATTCGAGGTCACAGAATTAAGTTTGGAAAAGACCACCAAGCCCAGTTAACCTATGTCTGCTGTCCCACAGCCCCCAGAGAGGGACAGCTGTGTGAGGATGGCTCAGTTTTCCCTGTTCCTGCAGGTGCAGCTGGAACATTTCCGTGCTGAGGAGCTGACGACGTGCGCGGCCGTGAGCAGCCCCAGCGTGGTGCCCCTGTATGGAGCTGTCAAGGAGGGTCCCTGGGTCACCATCTTCATGAAGCTCATGGAGGGTGAGCAGGGCACCATGGCAGTGCCCAGTGCACGTTGGTCTCCTTTTCTTCCTGCCCAAATATGGATCTGTTAGATCCTCAGTGCATCCAGGGTATTCGTGGTGTGAATTCCCCAGTGGGTTGGGATGGGTGTGTGGAATCCCTGCAGTGGGGGCAATGATTCCCAGTCCTGCATTATTCCAATTCAAGGTGTCTCTTTCACACAGCTGGGGCTGGTTTGTGCTTCCTGGTGGTTTGCAGGACACCAGTGGGACTCATTGCCCTGGCTGTCTGAGCAAACCTCAGTGATTCCATTGCCTGATGCTCTTTTTCTGGCCAGAACCATGGAAAACAGCCTGTGAACCATGGGAGTCCAGTGGGTTGGGATTGGGTATGTGTAAAACCTGCAGTGGCCTTGCTGTGGGGGCAATTATTCCTAGTCCTGCCTTATTGCAGTTCAAGGTGTCTCTTTCACACATTTGGGGCTGGTTTGTGCTTCCTGGTGGTTTGCAGGACACCAGTGGGGCTCATTGCCCTGGCTGTCTAAGCAAACCTCAGTGGTTCCATTGCCTGGTGCTCTTTTTCTGGCCAGAACCATGGAAAAAAGGCTGTGAACCATGGAAACCCAGTGGGTTGGGATGGGTGTATGGAATCCCTGCAGTGGGCTTGTTGTGATTCCCAGTTCTGCCTTATTCCAGTCTCTTTTTCACAGTAAAACACATTTGGGGCTGGTTTGTGCTTCCTGGTGGTTTGCAGGACACCACTGGGGCTCACTGCCCTGGCTGTCTGAGCAAACCTCAATGATTCCATTGCCTGGTGCTCCTTTTCTGGCCAGAACCATGGAAAACAGGCTGTGAAGAGTCAGTGGTGGTCAGTAACACCTAGAAATGCCTGTTCTGATCACAGAGCACTTGCTTTTGCTCCAAAGCAGCACTGTTAAACTGTCACTAAGGCCTTATTTGTATGGTTTTTTGCTGTTTTTGTGGGCAGCAAAAACTCTGGGTATAAACAAAAGGAACTGAGCCATGTGTGGAAGATAAGTGCTGTCAGACCTGGAAAAATCTCATTTTTTCAATGGAAACCACCAGGAATGCTAATGATGATGATGCTGGGGAGAATTTAAACATAACATAACATGGACTCCCTGGATTCCTTTTTAGGTGGCTCATTAGGGCAGCTCATTAAGCAGAGTGGCTGCCTGCCAGAGGACAGAGCCCTCAGCTACCTGGGCCAGGTCTTAGAGGGTCTGGAGTATCTTCACGCTCAAAACATTCTCCATGGAGATGTCAAAGGTAGGAAAGTGTTTGAAGTACCTTGTTCTTGTCTTTTCTTAAAAGAGGCAAACTGCTTGGAGATTAAATTATGGGATTACTTACTTAAGTTATGGGATCTACTTACTAGATTTTCAGATCTATGTTTGAAATTAGAGTTTCCCTTGGTTCTAGACTGCTGGCAATATCATATTTGTCACCTCCTCTTGTCACCCCATGGGTCTGCCAAGCTGCTTGGCACCACCACTGGGCTACAAGAATCTCCAGGGCAGGTAATTGGTAGTTTATAAGAGATAATTACTTGCTTAAGACAGTGACAGGAGAAATAAATCCTTTGGGCTTAGAAAGCTGTAGTTGTGTGTGCTTTTGAGTGTTTTTCCCATCTCCTGATGCAGAGGACACTAATGGAACCCTTCTCTTGGCAGCTGAGAACGTGCTGCTGTCAGCAGATGGGAGCAGGGCCCTCCTGTGTGACTTTGGCCACTCTGCTCACCTGCACCCAGATGGGCTGGGAAAGTGCTTGGTCACAGGTGAGGCTTTGCTGCTGCTCTTCTGAGGAATTGCCCTTCTGACTCATCCTCTCTCATGAACATTTACATGTGGCTGATTTGCAAGCAACTGCTGAGGTGCCTCATTTATTGGTATTACTGTGGCAGCCAAAATGACCTGAAAATTGGGAGGTGATGGTCTTTATGTCCCAGGCTAGAAGGGTTTTTGTGAGATTGTCAGCATGCTGCATTCAGTGTTTTGTCCCTGCAAGAAACCACACTAAAACTTTAAAATCCTACTCAAACTTGTTGTATAAACTCACTAAATAGTGAGGAAAAGTCCTGATCTCCATTAAAAAAAAATTCCTTTTTTTTGGCCAATTAAACTTAACCATGCTTCTTCATGCAGCTGTTGAAAGAGAAGGGTATATTTTCTAAAGTCAAGCTCATTTTGCCTCTCAGATTTGCTTGCAAGGGAAATTTAATCCCTATTCTGTGCATAAGGGATGGGTCTGAGAGGGAATAGTTTCTGGCAACACACAATGCTGCTTTTTGGGTTAAGGTGGAGCCTTTCCACTATGGAGAAAAGCTGGGAGAGCTCAGATTGTTCAGCCTGGAGAAGAGAAGGCTCAGAGAGAGCCCCTTCCAGTGCCTAAAGGAGTTCCCAGAGTGCTGGAGAGGGACTTGGGACAATGGCCTGGAAGGACAGGGCAAGAGGAATGGATTCTCATTGCCAGGGGGAAGGGTCAGATGGGATATTGGGAAGGAATTCTTCCCTGGGAGGGTCCCCAGAGCAGCTGGGGCTGCCCCTGGATCCCTGGCAGTGCCCAAGGCCAGGTTGGACAGATCTTGGAGCCACCTGGGATAGTGAAAAGTGTCCCTGCCATGGCAGGGGTGGCACTGAATGAACTTTGAGTCCCTTCCCACCCAAACCACTCCATCCTACAAAGCTGCCACGTCTCACTTCAGCTGAAAAGAGAGGGATTCTGCCTCAGGCCCCCTCCCAGTGGCACTGGAGCAGTTCTCTTGCCTGCCTGCACTGAGTTTCCTCCTGGCTGCTTTAGGGAACTACGTGCCTGGCACAGAGACCCACATGGCCCCCGAGGTGGTGATGGGGAAGCGCTGTGACTCCAAGGTGGACGTGTGGAGCAGCTGCTGCATGATGCTGCACATGCTCAATGGCTGCCACCCCTGGACCCAGTACTACAACCACCCTCTGTGCCTGAAGGTGAGTGACCCAACCTCTGTGCAGGTGAGCTGCCTGAGCTTGTTACTGCTGGCCAGGGAGCATTCACCTCAGGGTGAATGGCTGGGAGCCAGCTGGGCATCTGACAGTGCTGGGAAGGGTGAAAGTTTGACAAGGAAGTCTCACAGGTGCTTAGCAGCAAGATTTTTAAATGTAGACTCTGATGAAGGAATAGAAATGGAAGCAAGTTTTGATAGAGAAGAAAAGAATTGCTGAGCCAGTCTTACTGGATAACCAGTTCAAGTTAGTTAGAAGGGGGTTTTATGGCTTAGAACAAAGGATAAACCCACCCCAAACAAGAAGATTTTTTACCAAGTAGGAAGATAACACAGGCAACCAAGTAAGTAGATAAAAGGTCTCAGAATTTTCCACTGCAAGAAAAACAACTTCTAACTTAAACTGTAATGTACTAACTTTGAGTGATTGGAGAACAGTAACATGAATATGGTAATTACAGTAGTTATGATAGGCTAGAGATAAAAGTTAAGGTATAGATTGGTTCTACTGTATGAAGATGCTCAGCAAAGAAAAGTATAGAATGCATTGGAACCAAAAGAAAAGTATAGAATGCATTGTAACCTAAACTAAGGGTCTCTGGAGCTGACAGCTGTAGGCACAGCTCTGTCACCCAGGTCCCTGGACTGCTGTAACCTCTTGGATGGAATAAACTGCATTTTGGATACAATAAACTGCATTTTGGATACAATAAACTGCATTTTGGAGAGCTTCTGGAGTCCTGTATCTCTCATTCAGGCTCTTACATGACAGGATACCAGCCTTGCTCTGAGAGCTGAGCATTCCCTGGGCTTGCTCTGCTTGGGTTGTTCTTCCATGCCCTGCTCATGACTTGGGTGTGCCTTTTGAGCCATTCAGCTGTAATAAAATTACTGTTCAGCTCTCACTTAATGCTTTCATTTCAGTTGGAAATGCTGTTGGGGTGGGAAGAACCTTCCTGAAATCAAATTAAGCCTCTCTGGTGTAACCTCTTTCACTTCCTGTTTGTTACACAGATCGCTAAAGAGCCGCCTCCTGTGAGGGAAATTCCACCTTCCTGCAACCCTCTCACTGCTGAGATTATAAAGCTGGGGCTGGAGAAGGAGCCTCTGCACAGGGCATCTGCATCAGAGCTCAGAACTAAAACCAGCGTGGCACTTGAGGAAGGTAGAAATGTCCTGATGTAACTGATGCAGCTGAACCTTTGTATTCCCACTGGTGCTGCTCCTTTTGGAAGGGCCAGTCTGTTTTATTGTCCAGGATATAATTTTCACAGCATTGATGCATGTTTTGGGTTGATGGCTTCTGCCTGCAGCCTGTTTGTCACCCAAATAAATGATAATTTCCTGTGTGCTGTCACATGCTCTTCTTCCTTCTCTGCTGAAGGAGGGGAGAGCTCTCTGTGGGTTTGTTGAGGGCTCCTGTCAGCTGAAGCATCAGCTGCACCAGCAGAGCCTGGTGTGCAGCAAACTGCAAGCAGGGTTTATTGCATCTCTAGCTGTAACTCATACTTTGGTTCATTTTTACCCCTGACACATCACTAATTTATTTCAACTTAATCCTGCTGAGTGGTTCTATAATACAGCAAGAATTTGTGGAGGTGATCTGGTTTTATCTTATGAAGAAGCTGGGCATTTTACGGCAAATGTACTTCAAAAATTCTTACAGGAAAGGAAAACTTTTACCTCTTTTATTGCTTTATTTGATAATGTTTGTACCCTTTTTTTTAGTGCTTTATTTGATAATGTTTGTGGGTTTGTTTTTTTTTTGTAGTGGGAGGTGTGAGAAGCTCCTGGAAAGGTGAATACAGAGAGCCCAGACATTTCTCTTTGAACAAAGAAAACAGTGCACAAACATCCCTGTCCCCCACAGTGAGCCCAGTTTCTGAGATTGCTTCTGACCCAAAACTGTCAGTCAAAGTTTCCTGTGGCAGCTCAGTCCTCCCACCTCCATCTCTGGAGCAAACAGAGGAGGCTGAGGGACCCCACTGGAATGAGGACAAGGAGTTACCTGAGACCTGTGATCCCCCACCCCTCTCCTCAACTCCTCTGCCCCTGAAGAGCTGCAGCCACGTGGAAAGAGCCACAAACATTTCAGAGCAAGAACTTCAGCAGCTGGAAATTGGTGAGCACTGGGCTGGGGGAGGAATTCAGCTCTTTTTGCTTGAGAGCGGGATAAAAATACAGCTGCTTTCTCTTGGCTTGTTGACAGTTATTTTTGGGTTTTCAGCTTGGATGTCATTTTGCTCATAGTTCCTTTCTCGTTACACAAATTGCTCAACCTTCCTTCAAGCTACCAAAACTAATAGTTCCGAACCAATTAAATGTGCCACAAAGGGAGTGAACAGAATTTCCTTCCTCCTGAGCAGGGGGGAACCTTCTGAGAGAGGTGCAGGAACCTCTTGGAAAGCAGCCTGTCTCAGACTTGTGCTTGTTTGCACTGTGTAAACAGTGTCAGAATTCCAATTTCAGCTGCAATTTTGGGTTCAAACTTTTTTTTCTTTTTTGTTAATTGAGGTAAGCCAGGATAAAAATAAAGAAATAGCAGATGTCAAGCAAAGCAGTGCAGTTAAAACCAGCCTGCAACTGTTGAGTTCTGGGCATTGGAAAACCTACAGCCATCAGCCAAAGAATTTGGGTACAACAGCAAACCAGAGTTTGAAAACCAGCAGTGAATTCAGTGTGGAAATCAGTGATTTGTCCACTTCCATTTCCCCAATATAACTCTACATTTCACTTTTTTTCTCCCATATTTTTAGTCTTTTTTAATTAATTGAAAGAAAATAGGTAGAGAATGGTTTGAATTGTAACTGTGTCAGAAAACTGAGTCATTTTAGGGGTTGCTGATGTGCAGCTTCTTTCTCAAATGGCTTTGGGCCTCAGCAGCATTGTAAGAGCTGGTTATGTGTGGGATATCTGGATTTTATCAGGAATATTTGCAGTATTTGTAAGTACTTGTACCCAGATAAGGGAGTAAAAACCTCCAGATACTTGTGAGAGCTGAGTACATGAGTTTGACTTTTCCCTGATAATGTGGATAGATCTAAAGTGGCATCTCACAGGAGGCATAAAGGCAAGAACTGGTGATTTTGGGGTGTTACTTTGCATGTTGTTGCACAATCCATCCCCTCTTGGCTCAGTTTCCCTGTGTCACAGTGTCCTGTGCATGGCAGAGTTGTGTCTTGGGCTCTGCTGGCACCCATATGAAATAAATATTAAATATTGCTGAAAAAGCTTTGGGTATTAATCGCAGAACTGTGATTAGAGCAGGGAGGCATGGAGGGAAGCACTGGAAATGTCTCCCTGAAACACTGGAAATGTCTCCCTTCTCTTTCTTTTGCTGCAGAACTCTTTCTGAACAGCCTTTCCCAGCCTTACTCTCTGGAAGAGCAAGAGCAAATGCTTTCCTGCCTCAGCATTGACAGCCCCTTTGTGTCAGATGCCAGTGAGAAGGTGAGTGGGGATGGCTGGGGAGTGGCTGCCTGGCCCCCTTGGCAAAACTGGGACCTGTGACCAATGAAAATCTGGAATTTCTCATCTTTGCTGCTGCTTTTTGACACTCAATTTGCTGGGAAGAAAGATTTTCTCATGCCCAGTGGGGTGTTGGGGGTTGTAGCTGTGCTTTGGTTCCCTGTCCAGCATGGATCCTGTCCTCCAGAGGTTCTCCTGTGCTGTATCCTCACCTGAAGCTTCAAGAGTGTGGATACAGAGAATCTCAGCAGCCTCAGCCCTGCCTGTGCAGGGCAAGGAGCTGGGGAAGCAGTGATTGAAGTAGGAGCTGTGCAGGATCCTCTTCCTGGCCATGGCCACCAGTGAGAGGTTTAGGGAAAGGCCAGGAGAGTGAGACAGGAAAAAAGACCCAAATCTTGGATATTCATTCCCAGATCTATTCTCCATGAACTTATTTTAACCCATTGATAATAATGAATACATAATCCTGGTTATTTACCAATTTCAATTAGATTGGTTTGCTCTCTCTGGTGTTCCTAAGGTGAGGAATACCAGTGAGGAATACTGAACAGGCCTTGTTGGACCAGGGAAGGACAAAAGCCCTTCAACCACAGCTTTCAAAGACATTCAGTCCCCAATTTGTGCAGGAGCCAGTTCTGACTGGGAGCAGCTTTGTGTCCTATTTCTGTCTCTCTTCTCAGTGTTCCAGTGCTTTTTGAGGAGGACTGGGGGAGTTGTGCACAGCTCAGCTGTTGGCACACACAGTGTGCAGTGTGGGATCTGACTCTGCTTGGTTTTTCCCTCTAACACCTACACCATACCTGTAACTTGGTTCTGACTGGTTCAGACCTCTGTGCTGGTGTCAGATTGACTGGGACAATACAGCAGTGCAGCAGCATAGGGCCTATGGCTGGTTTTGTACAGTGAATTGTTTTTCCTGGGTGTTTCTAATGTCAGTAAGTGACAAATATTTTAACTGATTCTTAATTCTCCTTCCAGTCAGTACAACCCCTCTTTTCTCACTCAGCTTTTCAGCTCATTATTGATTTAACTATTGGGAATATCTGATAATATCTATAATATCTGTTGCACTGCTATCCCAGATGGCACATAAATGTTGACTAATCCCTGTGGATTTCCACCTTTTTCCTCCTGACTTTATTTTAATGCTCATCTCCTGCCAGCTCATTTTCTTTCAGAACCTTAAACAAAACTTGTGCTTATTCCTGCAGAACTCCATGAAGGCCTCTCAGAGCTTGAGGGACACCATGAGCTCTGGGATCCATTCCTGGAACAGCCAGGCAGAGGGGCAGAGCTGCAGCTGGAACAACCTGCTGAGCCGCAGCCGGCACACGGACACCCCCAGCTGCTTCAACGGTGGGTCTGCTTCCCTCAGCAGGGAAAAATGGGCAGAAATCACTTCCTCACTACCTAGACAAGCTGGAGATGGAGTTTTTAAACTCATTTTGTCCCTCTGTTGCTGTGGCAGCACAGATCCACCTAAAGATGGGTTGTGAGGAGGCCCAGTCTGGCCCAGTCACAGATGGGTGTGACAGCGTTCACAGGGGTCTGAGGATGAGGGAAGAGATGAGGATCTGACTCCATGTTTCAAAAGGCTGATTTATTATTTTATTATATATATTATATTAAAACTATACTTAAATAATAGAAGAAAGGATTTCATCAGCAGGCTAGCTAAGAATAGAAAAAGAAAGAATGAATAACAAAGCTTGTGTCTCTGACAGAGTCCAAGCCAGCTGACTGTAATTGGCCATTAATTAGAAACATCCACATGAGACCAATCCCAGATGCACCTGTTGCATTTCACAGCAGCAGATAACCATTGTTTACATTTTGTTCCTGAGGCTTTTCAGCTTCTCAGGAGAAAAAATCCTAAGGAAAGGATTTTTCATAAAAGATGTCTGTGCCAGATGGGTCTGTGCAGTAAAATCCAGGGAAGTTTCTGAGCACACACAGAGCCTGTGTGCCCTGGTTCATGCAGTCTCCTTGTGCAAGGAATGTTTTATAACCACAAACATCCACCCAGAATTTTGAGGGCATATTGTGCAAGTTAATCCATCCCTTCAGCTGCTTTCTTGCTAAATGCAGCTCTGCTCTGTGAGTCATTGCTGTCTGCAGCAAGCTCCATGCTCAGCAAAAGACCTACATAAATGAAATCCTTAATGACAAAAATGAGCTTTTCCCCATGTGTGTGCCTTGTCAGTCAGCTTTGCTGTGGGCTGTGAGGTCCTTGTGGCTCAGAAGAACTCAAAGAACCTCTTGTGCATTCCAGGAGTGAAAATCCAGATCCAGTTGCTAAGTGGAGAAAATTTGCACATCAGAGATTTCCACAGGACAAAGGTGGGAGACATTGCCACGGGGATCAGCAGCCAGGTGAGACAGAAACTGGAGCTCAGTGCATCATTTGAGGAATGATTTCTTCCCTCATAACCCCTGAATGCCAGAGAGACCCAGGAGTGGCTCAGGGATCCTTGGGACACCTCAGTGCTGCTGTTTGTGAGTGTGGTACCAGAGAATGTTTTCTGAATCACAGAATCATTAAGGTGGGAAAAGACTTCCAAGATCATCAAGTCCAACCTTTGACCAAATCCCACCAGGCCCACTAGACCATATTTCCAAATGCCACATTCACTCATTTTCTGAACCTTTTCAGGGTTGGTGATTCCAGCACTGCCCTGGACAGCCTGTTCCAATGGTTGTCCACTCTTGCAGTGAAGAAATTTTCCCTAATATCCAGCCTAAACCTGGTACCAAACCTGAATTGTTAGCCAGTGCCAGTTGTCAAAGTGAGCACAGAGATCTTAGAATATAGATATTCTGTGCTGCAGCTTAAAAAATCCTTCTCCTCAATTATAAACTCTTTCCCCTCTCCCTGAAGAATCATATATAGATTTTTTCATCATGAGCAGTAGCATCAGCTCAGGGAGATGAGCTCTGTTTGGCTGGGGTGCTTCCAGCTTGTTCTGTTGGAGATGTTGGCACACTCCTGTGAACCTCACTGTGGGCTGCTTTGGCTGTTCCTGAAAGAAACTCTGGAGTGTCTGTGGGACTGTGACTCATCTCAGTGTAAAATGGGATCTGAAAGATCTCACTGTAAAATGGGATCATCTCTAAATGATGTTTCACCAATCTAGAAAATGTTCCAGTGGTGCTGGTTCTCTCTAGAATCTGTTCTTGTGAACATCACAGAGCTAAATACCTGCAGAGGAGCTCAGGTGCCCAAACATGGGCAGCTCAGGACCCCCCAGCCATGGCCCAGAGCTCAGGGAGGCACTTTGGTGTGGGAGTACCAGTTGGTTTCTCTGGGTCTGGATTGAAGGCACTTGAGAGTAATTCATGTTCAGACTCAAGTATTTGTTATTTATTATCAGTAAAACAGTCTCACTGCTGTGAGTTCAGAAGGCACAAAATGGCCAACAATCTCTTGTTCCAAGATCTTTAAGACTAAACTATCCAATTAAGAACTGACACCTGGATTATTTTCCCTTTTAACCCAATAACTGTTCCCAATGTGGGCTTTTCTGCCCAATTACAAAATGCCACCCAAACCCAAGAAGGAGAAACATGAAGAAGAAACCCAGGATGACACCCTGTGCCCTCCATCTTGCTTCCATCCACAACACACTAAAAATCCCAAAACCTCAATTTTGCACCGCTTGATGCACCTACAGTACTCTCTATAATCTATTTCACACTTTTGTGGATTCCAGTCTAGCTTGAAGTCTGGGAAACTTTCTCCATGAATGAGGGCCAGAGTCAGTGCTGCCCTGGTGTGGTGGTGCTCACAGGGGTCTGAGGATGAGGAAGAGAAGCTTGACTCCATGTTTCAGAAGGCTGATTTATTATTTTATTATATATATTACATTAAGACTATACTAAAAGAATAGAAAAAAGGATTTCATCAGAAGGCTGGCTAAGAATAGAGAAGGAAAGAATGATAACAAAGGTTTGTGACTGACTGAGACAGTCTGGACAGCTAAACTGTGATTGGCCATTAATTAGAAACAACCACATGAGACCAATCCCAGATGCACCTGTTGCATTCCACAGCAGCAGATAACCATTGTTCACATTTTGTTCCTGAGGCTTTTCAGCTTCTCAGGAGAAAAAATCCTAAGGAAAGGATTTTTCATAAAAGATGTCTTTGACACCCTGGGGGCAGGACACCCCAGAGCAGACAGAGAAATATTCCCTGTGCCCTGGGTTTCCTCACTTTGGCAGCAGGGTGGGCACTGCCCAGTGCAGTTGTGAGGTGTTTCCTTATGAGAGGAGCTCAGGATGTTCCTGCCAAGCACGAGCCCCTCCCTGGGAGCTGCTCCTACCTTGGGAAAAGCTGGGTGTGATGGAGGGGTGTTGGAGTGTCAGGGGGGTAGGATGGTCGGGACCAATGGAGATGAGAGATCTCTGCAGCCAGGTCGTGGAACTTGGGGTTTATTGCAAAGGGCCTGGGTGCAGGGCCCTGCTGGGAGCTGCCAAACACAGCTCAGAGCAGGCTGAGAGAAGAGAGGGGGAGAGAGGATGAGAGGGTGAGAGAGTAAAAGGCAAGAGCTAAGAGACAAGAGGTAAGAGTAAGAGCTAAGAGCATACAAAAGTAAGTAAGTAAGTGAGCGAGGTTCCCGTTCCTATACAATAAATCGTCTTCTCTGTTGAATATTTTAATTCTCACTAACCAATCCAATACAAGATACAAATCCTATAGCATTTACATACAGCCTAAAAGAATTACTACATTACCACACTGTGTTACATTTTAAACCCTAAAAACTCCTCTTTGGGCCCCTTCTGCCAAGCTGGCAGGGTCTGCTCGGACTCTTAGACATGCCTGCTTGCAGAGGGTGTTATTTCATCAAAAGGGGATCACCTTCAGCTGGCCACACCATTGTTTTCCAGTTGTTCAGTAACTGAGGGATCTCAAAGCTTGCTTTCATTTCAATCTCACTTATAGTTTCCATATTCTCAAAACCTTTTGCCAGACAATCATATTTGTAAGGCTTTCCTGTTCCATCTTCCCCAACAGAGGGGTGTGATGGAGGGGACTGGAAGTGGCACTGATCTCTGTGTGTTCTGCTCCCCAGATCCCCGTGCCTGCCTTCAGCCTGGTGACCAAGGAGGGGCAGCCTGTGCACTACAACATGGAGGTGCCTGACTCTGGCATCGAGCTGCAGTGCACCCTGGCCCCCGACTGCAGCATGGGCTGGGCCTGGCGCGTCAAGCACGGCCAGCTGGAGAACAGGCCCTGAGGCCCTGCCTGCTCTGGAGCTTTGCACCTTGTGAAAGGAGGGATTGCGAAGCTTCTGACCTCCCCTGCCGTGGAGCACCAAGTGCAGTGGCTGCTGGTTGTGCTGCAGCAGGATCACAGCTCGCTGCCCTCGCTGCTGTTGGCTGCTCTGATCCACTTCCAAGGCGTGTCCTGAGCTTAGACATTCCCCAGGACAGTGGGAATTCCTTGTTTGGGGTGTGTTAGAGCTGGAGAATGGTAGGTGGAAATTCCTCACTTCTCAGAGGAAGGAGGTTGTGCTGTTCAGGAGAGCAGGGCCATGAGAACTCTGCTCCTGCTCCAAGGTGAGGTCGGTCGTGGCTGGGCTTGCCCAGAGGAGGAGCTTGGGTGCCCTCAGTGTTGTGCCAAGGGGAGCTGGCTGACTTCCTTCCAGCTGGAGGAAAAACCATTTCTGTAGGCTCTGGGGAGCATCATCTCCACCTCAAGCCTTCAGCATGGGGAGGATCCACAGCAGTCACTGGCTGGCTCTTGGTTTCACCTCCCACCCTTCCCCGCGGTGGCTTCGTTCTTGAATGAGAAAAGAACTTTGTTCCCAGAAAGAGCTTTGCTTGCAGCTCCCACCTGCAGGGCTCAGAGGAGCTGCTGCTCTCTCTGGTGTCCCTGGCAGGCAGGGCAGGAGAAGGGTACAGAATTCCATGGAGGGGTCGTTCCTCCATCCTGTTCCCACCTCTGAGGTGGGACTTCAGGTGTGCTGTCCCATCCTTGGAGGAATAAGGGACATCAGCTCTGTCAGCTGTGACAGGGATGAATTTTATTGCAGAGTTTATACAAATCTCCCTCCCAGCTCCCAGTCCAGCCCAGTGCCCCAGTTCTGTGAGCTCAGCCTGGTCTCACAAGGCTTCCCACTCCTCCCCTCGCTTCAGACTGAGTGGGATGGGCAGCTGGGCCTGCAATGCCTTAAGCTTTAAACTGTTTTTTTTTACTGATTTATGAATGTTTGGAACACATTGAAACCTCACGGGTTAATTCAGGTGGGTGGGTGTTGTTCACCCTTCTCCACCCCAGAACAGATCCCAGGGGAGGTGTGAGCTCCCAGTGTGCTTGCTCAGGGCTGTGCTTGTTCCAGGCCTGGCACACCTGGAAATCACAGTCCCTCCCTCTGGCTGTGCCTCTCCCAGAGCTCTGAGGCTGCATCTGAGCAGGGGCTCTGCATCCAGCAGCTCCCAAATCCAAGGTGGGCTCTGCCAGGTCTGTGCTGCTCTGGGAGACACCATGGGGCAGCAAAGTGTTCCCAAGGGAAGTTCGCTCAGAAAATAGCTGGGAAAAGCAGAACTCTGGGTCTCCCTTTTTGGGGAGCAGCACTCCTTAAACAATGGATGCTCTTTCCTTTGGTCTCCCAGAACAAACTCTGGTTTTGCTCCACCAGACAGTGACATCCCTGATCAGAAAACTCAAGTTTGTTATAAGAAAGTGGAACTCATGAAGAAAAATGAAACCTATCACCACTTTGGGTATGATTTTTATAGCACTTTTTGTTCTAAAGCACTTAATACATTGTCCAAAATAGGCACCTAATTATATCTACTATGCCACATTCAGAGTCTTTTCAGTAAATAATTAACACATTATGCACATGTCTTCCAGGAGGGAGTGGGGAAGGGGGGAGGTTGGCTCCATTTCTTTTTTCAGATGCCATAAATTACTAAGACTTTAAGCTCTGGAGCAGGAAGGATCAAAGTGCCTCTTCCAGAGCTCCCAAGCACAGGCTCAGTGGATCCCTGGCTCCTTTCCTGAGCTTTCTCTAAGAGGACAGGAGGAAAACCTGGTTGTTTTTGTGAGTGTGTGGTGGTGTGTCAATCCCAAAGCCCGGTGGGTTCCATCCCAAAGGCTGCACCTTGTGCCTCTGTCACCTGGGGGGTGCTCCCATGTCCTGGTGTCCATTCCAGGCCTGGGCATTGGGAGTGAGCCCTGGAGAAGCAGGGAGGGAGCAGCAGGACTGCCTGCAGGACTCCTGGGCTCTGCATCTGCAGCATTAACCTGAACTCAGCCGCCTGCACAGGGCAGGGAGCCCTCCTGGGCCTGGGATGTCCTCACAGGGCCCATGGAGATGTCTGTGTTCCCCTGGTTCATGGAGATCTCCTGGTCCATGGAGATACCTGTATTCCCAGGCCCATGGAGGTGTCTGTGTTTCCAGGTCCATGGAGATGTCCGTGTTCCCCAGGTCCATGGAGATCTCCTGGTGCATGGAGATGTCCATGTTTCCAGGTCCATGGAGATCTCCTGGTCCATGGAGATGTCTGTGTTCCCAGACCCATGGTGCTCTCCTGGCCCATGGAGATGTCTGTGTTCCCAGGTCCATGGACATGTTCATGTTTCCCAGGCCCATGGAGATCTGGCCCAAGGAGATGTCCATGTTCCCAGGTCCATGGAGATATCTGTGTTCACCTGGTCCATAGAGATGTCTATGTTCCCCTGGCCCAGGGAGATGTCTGTGTTCCCAGGCCCATGGACATCTCCTGGCCCATGGAGATCCCCAGGTCCATGGAGATCTCCTGGTCCATGGAGATGGGCTGTGTTCCCCTGGTTTATGGAGGTGTCTGTGTTCCCAGGTCCATGGAGATGTTCCCCAGTTCCATGGAGATGTCCATGTTCCCAGGTCCATGGAGATCCCCAGGCCCATGGAGATCCCCAACCCATGGAGATGTCCGTGTTCCCCAGTCCCCTCATAGCAGCATTAGCCAGGATTCCCCTGTTTGTGTGTCCCAAGCCTCCAGCCCTGTTTTGCTGCCACCACAAGTGCCCAGTGAGGCTGCAGGCTCCCAGCTGGCCGTGTCCCTGCTCTCAGGGTGGCATGTGCTGTCACATCCCTGCCTGGGGACACAAACCGCCCGTGCCTTCCCAGTCCCTGAGCTCCTCTGGGCTGATCTCCAGGCTGTGCTGAGCTGCCCCTGGCTCTCTCCTGCTGCCAGGACAGTTTCCTGTTCCCTTGCCTTGTCACTTTGCTGTGACAGGCACAAACAAGCTGGCCTCCAGATGAAGGCAACACTGACAGCAGAAAGTCGGCAAAGATTTGCATTATCCTTGTTCTGTCAGGTTTCATAACGAGTGTTTGGGACAGAACCCCAGCTCAGGGTGGGGAGGACAAGTAGGAGTGATAAACACAGATGGCTCTTGTTGTGCAGCTCCTTCTGGAAGTCTGGAAAAATCGCTGCTGGTGAGCTGAGGATCTCCTCATTGAGATGGGCGCTGGGGGAAGGTGCTGGAATGAGGAGCTTGTATGGAATGAATGACACTTTATAAAACTGTGATTTCTTGAAGTTAACGTTTTTGACCTGCATTTTCACAGGGGAAAAAAAAAAATAAAGCTAAAAAACAAAAAAGAAGATTTTGTTTGTTGTCGTTGCTGGTGGTTTGATGTGTTGTCCCAGAGAACAAGATGGTGATGCTGAATGAGAATTTTCCAGGAAGAGGAGCTTGGTCTGAATGAACTCTGCGGTATAACTTGGGTTTGGGGGATTCAGGAGAAGTCAGAGAGGAGGTTTGGGCACTGCCCAGGGAATGGTGCCAGCCCTGAGGCTGCCAGAGCTCCAGGAGGGTTTGGACAGCACTGCCAGGGATGCCCAGGGTGGGATTGCTGGGGCGTCTGCAGGGCAGGAGTTGGGCTGGATGATCCTTGGGGGTCTAGGTCTAGGATTCTGTGATTTTTGGGGCTGAAGAGGCAGCACTGACTTTGATGGATCCCAGGCTTTGCTGAGCAGCCTGGCATCTCTCTCCTCCCAAGCAGACAATCCCTTGTCCTCTCTCTGTCCCTCTGCAGGGGATTTGCTGCGCTGGGAGCTGCTCAGCCTTGCTTTGGGAGGCACAGGGGTGAGGCAGGCAGAGCTCTGGGGATCCCCCACATCTCCCAGTGCTGCAGCCCCTCTGTTTGTCTGTACAGGGCTGAATCCTTCCCCAGCAGGCTGGGGAGGGGCTGTGGCTGTGAGTGAGGACACTCACCCTGACACACATTTTTTGTGCTGTCATGCACCCGCATGTCTGCGCTGTGAACAGACCTCAGAGCTGTTGAACTCGAAAAAAAAAAATTAAATGGAAGGTGGGTGGTTTGTTGCTAGAATTCCAGACTGGATTGTGTTGGAAGGGACCCTAGAGATCATCTCGTTCCGTCCTCTCACCTCCCACTATCCCAGGGTGCTCCAAGCCCTGTTCAACCTGGGGATGGGGCATCCACAGCCACTCCTTCCCTTCATCCTTCCCTCACCCCATCTTTCCTTCCTTTTCTCCCTCCCTTCATGACAGCACCACAAACCCTTCTCCCAGACAAGTCCTTCATCAACTCTGAGATGTTTTTATTACAGTTCTGCTTTAGATTAAACAGGCCTTCAGTATATAAAAATAATGTATACAAATGAGCAGTTAATGGTTTACATTTCTGGCTAAAAGGCATTTATAAGTTACACATTCATTTCCCATCCCTCCCCGGACACGGAGCCGGCGCTGAAGCAGCTTAAATACAGCAGGAAGCAGCGGCTGCTGTGGCTGAAGCGAGGAAGGACGGGCTGGGAGGAGGGAGGAGCAGGGTGAATGCACCAGGAGAGGTTTAACTACGGCACTGCGGGGTTATTGAGCAGCAGCGGGGCAGGGCAGGGAGGGAGAGCCGGGTCTGGATCGGTACCGAGAGGTTCGTGCGGCTCCGGGGCCGCTTCTGCAGGCGGCGGCAGGGATTGGGGCTGCGGCATCTCCTGAGAGTCCCACCCGAGAAAACGGGGAGCCCCACAAAGCTGACAGTCCCAATTCATCCCAGAGGCTGCTGGAGATGCAGGTGAATGGAGATGCTACCCCCTCGCAGGGAAATTTGTCCCTGCTGCTGATTGTCGCAGCTCCGGAGCCTCCGCAGCGCTGCTCGCCACAGCCCTGGGGCCGCCCTGCGTGGGGGGGTTCCAATCCCCGCTGCCGCAGCGCGGAGAAATTCGAAGGAAGACTTTATAAAATGCTGTACAATAGCACCGCTGCCAGCCCCTGGCTCTGGGAGGTGCCCGGGCTGGGAAGGCGGCTCTGGGGGGCTCTGCGGGCCGGGGGAGATGAGATGCGAGATGAGATGTGAGATGAGATGTGCGGGGAGATGTGCGGGGAGCGCTGTGTCCCTGGCTGACACCCCCTCCCCTCCCGCAGGGTGGGACAAGGACACAGGGCCGGGGAAGGGATGGGACAGCCTCTCTATTCCTTCCAGGACAAGCCGGAGCCCTTTTTGTGCTTCCCTGTGGCCAGGACAACCCGCCAGGCTACGGAGAGGAGCTCAGGGACGCGGCCAAGCAAGCGCCGGGGGTGCTGCGCCCAGCAGAGCTGGCACATCAAGCGGCTGGAGCAGCTCGGAGCGGGCACTGTCTGTCCATCCCGCCGAGCCCCGGGCACAGGGACCGACACCCTGCGGTGCCATCCGTGTCGGGAGGACGGGGCTGGCCCGGTGCTGCCGCTGCAGGGACGGCGCCGGTCACAGCGCCATGTCCGGCGTCGCCTGCAGGCTCTGCCCCGCCGCCCGCTTCTTGGCGCTGCCGCGGGCCTTGTCCCCCCGCCGGTACGGGTTGTTCCGCAGATCTGCACCGGGAGAAGCACCGGGGATGGGTGAGCTTCACTGCCCGCCCGGCATGGCCGGGGAACCGCAGCCATCGCGTTAATGTGGGATGGGTTGGGTTGGAGGGACCCCAAAGCCCACCCAGTGCCATGGCAGGGACACCTTCCACTGTGCCAGGGTGCTCCAAGCCCTGTCCAACCTGGCCTTGGGCACCTTGTGCCAGGGTTCACCCTCACAGGAATTAAATTTTTTCCAAACCTTCAACCTAAAACTCTCCTTTGTTCATTTAAAACCCCTTTCCCTTGTCCTGTCTGCCCAGGATTTGCCCCTCTGGGTATGAGGACACCCAGGAGGAGCCAAGGGCTGAACGCAGGGATGGGAGGGGCAGCATCTACCAAAAGTCAGCCCGATTGTGGCACCCTGAGCACCGGCCCTGCCCCGGGGCTGATCCCGGGTGTCAGCGTGGCACAAATCCCGCAGGAATCCCGGTGGGGACAGGAGGGAAGCCCTGGAGCCCCCGCCCGCCCGCGCCGCCCCACGTTACCTACAGAGGACTCTCCTCGTTGAAGCTCACGTCGCAGAAGAGCCGGGACGAGCGTTTGCCCGTCCGGGCCGTGAAAGGAACAGTTTTGAGAGCTGAGCAGAGCGACCCAGAGACAGCGAGGAGGACGAGAGAGGAGGAAGAAGCAGAAGAGGAGGAAGAGCTATGAGACAGGGGAGCAGCTTTGCCATGTGGAATGTGAAGGTGCTTGCAGGCAGAATTGGTCCCTGTGGTGGGGTTTGGTGACCCCCCAGCTCCTGTGACAGCCCCTGCAGCCCCCAGCACTGGGTCTGTGATGTGGGTTGCTCACCTGAACTCATCTCTCACCTGAAATTATATCCTCGATGGCCCCATCTTTGCCTTCATAGATGAGCGGCTCCTTCACCATCTGCCTCTTCTTCAGCTCAGCTATCATGTCCATCTGCTGCCTCCTGGCCTTCTGGACAGGCAGCTGGGAGGGCACAGGGCCCTTGAGTGCTGTGATCACACCCCAGAGGAGGTGGGGGACCCTCCCCTTCACCTCCCACCCCAGGACCTGTTTAGTTCTGGGACCCCAGCAGGGCACGGACAGGGGGGCACCTTCACCTCGGGCTGCTGCTCGCTGCCAGGGGAGCCGGATTCTGCCTCCTTGGCTGCAGCCTCCTGCTTCTTCCACAGCTCAATGTCCTGCTCTGCTTTCTTGGGAGAGAGGCAGGGAGGGTGTGCTGAGCCTGGGGAATCCAGGATTGCAGCCCCCTTCCTTCTTCACCTCACAGCTCACCCCAACCCAGCTCCAAAATCTCTGACCATCCCAAAGGCATCCCAGCCTGTGATTGCTCCAAAGTGGAGTCAGGTGCCCCAAATCTCCTCCCAGCCCTCAGAAACAGCGACCCCCACGTCCCCTCCTACCTTGTAGGCTTTGATGAAGCGCATGAACATGGGGAAGAAGGTGGTGGGGGGACTGGTCTTGGGGTTCTCCCCAAAATATTCCACAGCTGACTCATAGGCTTCCTGTGGGCAGAGACACCTGATCTGGGGGCTGGGCCCCATCTCAGCAGCTCCTTCCAGCCTCTCCCACCTCCAATCCTGCCTGTCCCACTGGAGCCACGTCCCCAGCAGGGACAGAGGTGTGAGCAGAGGGTGTCCCCATGCAGGGACTGTCCCCACGTCCCCAGCCCAGCACCCACCTTGGCGGTTTTGCTGTCAGCCTGCAGCTTCTCCATCACCTCCGAGTTGACCTTGAGGAAGTCCTTGAGCACGGGGCTGTCGTCCTGCCGCATGAACTCCCTGCGGGTCAGCTCCATGCCCTGCTGCAGGCTCCGCACGTCCTGCAGGACCCCATCCAGGGACACTGCGGGAGGGGAGCAGGGCGGGTCAGGGCGGGCTCCGAGTGCCAGGGGCTGCCCCGACCCCCAGCCCGATGCCCATGGGCACTACCTGTGCCCGCCTTGTCGAGGAAGTGCAGCTCGGTGTGGAAGCCGGTGAGCTCCGGGTACTTCTCCATGATCACCCGCACCAGGTAGTGCAGCAGCGTCTGCTTGCGGTCTGTGGACTTCATCTCGAGCAGCTGGGGCGGGGCAGAGTCAGCCCCGAGCCGCAGCCGCCTCCCCTGACCCTGCTCAGGGCTGCCTCTGGTGGCCCTGTGTCCGTGTGGCTGGCTGTGTGTCCGTCCCTCCATCCCCCAGCCGGGTCTGCATCCCTCCACTCCCATGGCTGATCCCCATCTTCTCCATCCCCATGGCTGGGTGTACGTCTGGTTCTTCATCCCTACATTCCCATGTGTGACCTTCCTCCTTCTATCCCCATGCTGGTCCCCATCTTCATCCCATCTTCCTCATCAAGGTCCTTGACTCCTTTAACCTCTCCATATCAGGTCTCCATCCTTCCCACCTCATTCCTGTGTATCTCCATCCCTTTGCCTCTCCATTCCAACAGTCTCTTCATCCCTCTGTCCCATTTGTGACCTTCCCATGTGTGACCTCCCTCCCTCTGTCCCCACACTGGTCCTCATTTTCCTTCATCCCATCTTCCTCATCAAGGTCTTTGACTCCTTTAGATCCATATCAGGTCTCCATCCTTCCCACCCTATTCCTGTGTATCTCCATCCCTTTGCCCCCTCCATCCCCACAACCAAACCTCATGTCCCTCCATCCCTACTGCTGCTGCTTGCATCCCTCAGTCCCCACAGGAGATTCCTGTGTCCCTCCACCTCTGCAGCTGGTCCTTGTGTCCCTCTGTCCCCAGAGCTGTCCCTGGTGGTGCCCTCTGTCCCCAGGGGTGTCCCTGGCAGTGGCAGTGCCCCCATCACCCCACACCATGGCACCCACACCGTCCCTACCGCGTCGAGGCTCTGCAGACGGAATCCATAGGCAGCCCCTCTCTTGCTGCTGTTCATGTAATTCCCGAAGGCCAGCACGATCTGTGGGGACACCAGGGCTTGGGGACAGGGGCCAGGAGGGGGCACAGTGCCCAGGGACATTCTGTGGGCACCATGGGGCCGCCTCCCCCCGAGCCCTCACCTCGAGGATGTGCCGCAGTTTGCTGGAGGACTTGAGGGACATGGAGGCAGCGATGATGGCGTTGAGTTGCTGTGGGAGGGAAGGAGGGAAGTGTTGGGGAAGATGAACCAGGAAAGCCTTATAAATATGATTGTCTGGCAAAAGGTTTTGAGAATATGGAAACTATAAGTGAGATTGAAATGAAAGCAAGCTCTGAGATCCCTCAGTTACTGAACAACTGGAAAACAATGGTGTGGCCAGCTGAAGGTGATCCCCTTTTGATGGAACAACACCCTCTGCCTGCAGACAGGCCCAAGGGTCAGAGCAGACTCGGTCAGTTTGGCACCGGAGGCCCAAAGAGGAGTTTTTAGGGTTTAAAATGTAGCACAGTGTGGTAATGTAATGGTTGTTATAGGCTGTATGTAAATGCTATAGGATTTGTATCTTGTACTGGATTGGTTAGTGAGAATCAGAATATTCAACGCAGAAGATTTATGGTATTGGAACGTGAACTTCGCTGTATTAGGTCTTAGCTCTTGTCTTTTAGCTCTTACCTCTTGCCTTTTATGCTCTTATCCTTTTACTCTCTCACCCTCTCATCCTCTCTCCCACTTTCTTCTCTCAGCCTGCTCTGAGCTGTGTTTGGCAGCTCCCAGCAGGGCCCTGCACCCAGGCCCTTTGCAATAAACCCCAAGTTCCTGACCTGGCTGCAGAGATCTCTCATCTCCATCCATCCCGACCCTCCTACCCCCGCCAATCCTCCAGGGCAGGGTGTGAGTGTGTGGCCACAGCCCCTGTCCCCAGCACACACCGGCATCAGCAGCTGGGCCGTGTCCCCGAAGCTGCCCAGGAAGATCATGACGTTCATGCGCTCGGCCAGCCGCGGGATCTTGCTGAAGCGCACCATGAACTGATCCTCGTCCGACAGCTCCTCCGGTGGCTGCTGCTCCCGCTCGAACTTCCCGATGAGGCTGCGCTCGTACTCGGTGGGCAGGAAGCGCAGCAGCAGCTCCAGGAAGTCGAGGCTCAGGGCTTGCTGGTCGTACCTGCATGGAAGGGACACCCCCGGTGCTGTCAGGCCCTGCCGCAAGCTCCCCTGTCACCCTGGGCTGTTCCATTGTCCCTCTGTCCCCACAGCTGGCTCCTGCATCCCTCCATCTTTCTGTATCTGGACCTGCATCTCTCTGTCTCTCCATATGGATCCCTCCATCTCTCTTTGGTCCCCACATCCCTTCCCTTCATGGCTGGTTCCTACATCCCTCCATCCCCACAGCTGCTCTCTGCATCCATCTGTCTGTCCATGCCTGGCCCCCACAGATGGTCTCAGATCTCATCCCTCCATCCCCACAGCTGGTGCCTGCATCCTTCTACCTCTCCACATTTGATCCCTCCATCTCTGATCCTTCCATCCCTCCATCTCTCTGTATCTGATCCCTCCACCCTCCATCCCTCCATCTCTGATACTTCCATCCTTCCATCTCTCTGTATTTGATCCCTCCACCTTTCATCCCTCTGTATCTGATCCTTCCATCCCTACATCTCTCCACCTCTGATCCCTCCACTCTCCACTTCTCCATATCTGATCCCTCCATCTCTCCATCTCTGATCCTCCCATCCCTCCATCTCTCCACATGTGATCCCTCCACCTTCCATCTCTCTGTATCTGATCCCTCCATCCCTCCACCTCTCCACATCTGATCCCTCTATTTCTCTGTATCTGATCCCTCCATCCCTCCACCTCTCCACATCTGATCTCTCCATCTTCTGTCTCTCCATCTCTGATCCCTCCATCTCTCTGTATCTGATCCCTTCACTCTCCATCTCTCTGTATCTTGTCCCTGCATCCCCACCCCAACCCCTCCATCCCACCACACCCTCCCCCACCCCAACCCCTTGTTCCTGCCCTTCTCCCCCCCTGCCCACCCCGTGGGGGTCACTCACGTCTCGATGGCCGTGCAGATGTCCTGGACGCTGCGGCCGCCCTTGCGCAGGGTGATGGCCAAGTTCTTGGCACGGTTGGACTCCATCAGGGTCACCTTGCTGGGCGCCTTCTGCGTGGCCTTGGCCTTGAGGGCACTGATGTCCAGGGCAGGGCCCTGAGCCTTGGTCTTGAACTGCTCCTCAAAGTCACTCATGTCCAGCTCCTGTGGGGACACACAGCAGGGAGGTGGCACAGGACATCTGGGGTGAGGATGGGGCCAGAGGAGCAGGATAAGGGTGAGGAGTGAGGATCAAGGTGGAGCAAGGGACAGGGAGGGGTGAGGAGGGGACCAGAGGATGGAGATGAGGAGGAAGAAACGGGCAGGATGTGAAGGTGTGCATGGAGCAAAGGGACAAGGACAGGAGAAGCCCGCCTGAGCCGTGTCCCTCTCCATGGTGCTAAGGACTTTCCTGACCTCCAGCTCCTCCTGCAGCCCCGGACACCGCGGGTGGGCACAAGGCAAGCTCAGCATGGCCGGGGGCACTGAATCCCCCTGTGCCCAGCCCCTTGTCCCCAGGCTCACCTTGCTGTGCCTGTCCCCTTGTCCCCAGGCTCACCTGCAGCACTTTCTCGTCGTTGAGCTCCGTGAACACGGTGCCGTCGATCTGGCTCGGCTTCAGCGCCACCCAGTTGAAGACGGGCATGCGGAACTTGGTCTGGATCGGCTTCTTCACCTTCACTGAGGGTCACAGGCCGGAGGGGGGACACATCACACCCACCCCAGGGTACCCCAGACCCCTCCTGGGAGCATCCCCATCATCTCTGGGTCACATCCCCACCATCCTCAGGTCACACTCACCTGAACCATTGGTGCTGGAGGGGGCTCCCGGCCCGGCTGGGGGTTCCCCACCGAGGGGAGGGGGTGGCGGAGGGGGGGGCACGGGGCCCTCCGGTCCCCCCGGGAGCGGTGGGGGGGGCGGTGGCGCCGGGGCACCGGGGAGGGGGGGGGCTGGGGGGGGTGTGGGGGTGCCCGCGGGCAGGGGGGGTGCGGGGGGTGGGGGGGGGATGGGATCAGCCCCCGGTAGGGGTGGGGGGGGTGGGGGAGGCGGGGGGGGTGGGGGCGGTGGGGCCAGAGCCGGAGCATCTGCAAGGGAAAGGAGAGGTGGGTGAGATTGTAACACCACTGCATTGCCCTGAATTCCCGGGCACATCCCCACACCCTCGTCTCACTTTCAGTGTCCAGAGAGTCGCTGCCATCCCTCCCTGGTGCCAGGTGTCCCCTCGGGAAGGGGACATCCCCTCGCAGCCGCGGTACCTGGGGTGGTGGCGGCGGTGCTGTCCCCGGAAACCACGGGCGTTGCGGGGGTTTCTATGACAACGGGGACAATCTCGATGGCGACGTCTCCGTCGGGCCCACGCAGGATCTGCACCAGCCCCTTCTCCTCGAGCTCCGCCAGCCGCCGCTCCAGCGCCAGCCGGTAACACTCCTGCGGCTGCGGGCAAGGCGGGCTGGGCGGCCGCGGCGGGCTCAGCTGCTCCTGCACGGTGACAACGGGTGACGACCCCCGGCACGTCACCGGTGTCCCTTAGAGCCCCCCAGACCCCCAGCCTCCCCTGGGCTCACCCGCAGCTCCTCCAGCTCCCGCCGCGCCTGGCTCAGCTGCTTCTCCAGCTCCGCTATCTTGGCCATGGAGTCGTTCTCCGCATCCTGCAGCTTCTCTGTCAGCTGTGGGGGACGAGGCGCCGCCGCTCAGCTCAGCTCAGCTCAGCTCAGCTCAGCCCTGTCCCCATCCCATCCCTCCCTCGGGGCTTGCGTCAGCGGCGCTGCCCACGCTCCCCCGGCCCACCTGGCTGACGTGCTCCTGCAGCTCCTCCATGTGCTCCAGCACCGCCGTCTTGGTCTCCGAGTCCTCCAGCATGGCCCCCACGTCGAAGACGTTGTCCAGGTAGGCTTGGATCTGCACCTGCAGCTTGTCGCTCTCGGTGAGGCGCAGGGTCTGCCGACGGACGGCAAACCGGGGTCACCAGCGGTGACAGGGACACCCCCGGCCTGGGATCACCCGCTCCCACCCTTGGGATCATCCACCCTCGGGATCACCTGCTCCCACTGCTGGGATCACCCACCCCAACTGTGGCATCACCCACTCCCACCCTTGGGATCATCCATCCTCGAGATCACCCAACCCCACCTTTGGGATCACCCACCCTTGGGATGACCCACTCCCACCTTTGGAGTCACCCACCCTCGAGATCACCCACCCCTATCCTCAGGATCAGCCACCCTCGGGATCACCCACTCCCACCCTTGGGATCACCCACCCTTGGGGTCCCCATCCTTGGGATCACCCACCCCCAACCCCAGGATCATCCAACCCCACCCTTGGGATCACCAACCCCCACCCTTGGGATGACCCACCCTTGGGATGACCCATTCCCACCCTTGGGATCACCCAACTCCTCCCTTGGGATCACCCATCCCCAGGATCACCCAACCCTGCCCTTGGGATCAGCCAACCCCATCCTTGGGATCAGCCACTCTTACCCCCAGCCATCCTTGGATCACCCACCCTTGGGATCACCCACTCCCACCCCTGGGATCACCCACTCCTGGGATAGCCCACCCTCGGGATCACCCCCCCTGGGATCTCCCACCTCCAGGTACTGGTCCAGCCCCAGGTGGGTGAACTCGTACTGCAGGAACACTCGGAAGTTCATGTTCTCCACCGAGTGCACCACGATGTTGATGAACTGCATGCAGGCCACCTGTGGGGACACGGCCAGCACGGGGCCAGGGTGGCTCCTGGGGACGGTGTCCCAGGGGCTGCACGAGGGGTTGGTGGCCCTTGGGAACACAGTGGCCCTGGGAGGTGCATGGGGGTTTGCACAGTCCTGGGGACATGGAGGTGGGGGACAGCACAGTGGCCTTGGGGACATGATGGCCTTGGGGACAGTTTGGTGGCTCAGCATGCCTTGGGGACTTCATGGCCTTGGGGACAGTTTGGTGGCTTCAAAGCCCTTGGGGACATGATGCCATGTAGTGGCTTAGAAGCTCTTGGGGACATGATGGCCTTGGGGACAGTTTGGTTGCTCAGCATGCCTTGGGACATGATGGCCCTGGGGACAGTTTGATGGCTTAGAAGCCTTTGGGGACAGCAGAACGGCCCTTGGGACATGGCAGTCCTTGGGACATGCCACCCCCAGGGCAGCATGGTGGCTCCGCAGTCCCCTGAGGACGTGATGGCCTGGGGACAGTTTGGGTGGCCTGGGGACAGTCTGGGTGGCCTGGGGAGAGTTTTGGTCACTCAGCATCCCTGGACAGGGAGTGTGGTGGCTTAGGAGCTCTTGGGGCATGATGGCCTGGGGACAGCACAGCAGCCTTGGGGACAGGATACCCTGGGGACAGCAGAGGGTGGTCCCAGCAGCCACTCACCATGAAGTCAATGTTGGAGTCCTCATTTCTGAAATACTCCATCAGCTTCTCAAAGCGATTCTTCTCCCCGCAGACCTGGGGGGAGCAGGGGGCTGAGGGCAGGGGAGACACGGCCAGGGGACACCCAGGAGGGTGACAGAGCAGGAGGTGCCTTGGTGACACCATCCCAACCCTGCCTGGTGCCACTGGGGACACATGGTGGCATGGGGACATCAAACCCTGTGAGTGGAACATCCTCAAGCGAGCCAGAGGTTTGGGGGTGGTGCAGGGAAACTGAGGCACAAACCCAAATGGAGCACAGATGTTCATGTGGGGATGGGGTGTCCCTGCTGGGGACAGGACTGGCTGTCCCTGCTCACCTCTTTGAAGTTGTCAAAGGCAGCCAGGATGATGTCGTGTCCCCCTCGGACCAGGCAGACAGCGGCCAGCAGCTCCAGCACCAGAGCTTTGGTCCTGCAGAGACACACGGGGTGTGAGGGGGCTGGCACCGAGGGGACAGGGACACAAGGGACACCAGGGGACAGGGACAGAGGGACAAGGGACACAGGGGACAGGCCAGCCCCTACCTGGCGCTCTTGTTGTTGAGGCTCAGGGTGATCTCGTTGACGCAGGCCGGGTGGTTCATCACCAGGCTGAAGCCAGACTGGGGAGGGCAAAGGAGCATCCATGGGGTCCTGTGTCCCCCTGGAGACCCTCGAGGTCCCCACCAGGCAGGAGAATGAGCGAGGACATCTCAGAGCCGGGGGAAGCAGAGCCGGTGCCAGCACGGAGCTGCCCCCGAGGGCTCGGGGGATGCCGGGGCAGCCCCGGGCGGGTCCCCGCGGATGTCGCCCACTCCCACTCGCACCTGGTAGTTCATGATGGCGCGGAGGCACATGATGCACACATGGACATCGTCCTTCTGGCTGACGAGCCGCGAGTTGCGCAGCGTCTTCCTGCTGTGCGAGGGGTTCAGCCTGGCCGGGGAGAGCGCGGCTGAGCGGGGCCCGGGGCACAGCGGGCACAGCGCAAAGCGGGGACAGCGCAGGGGGTGGCAGCGGGGCTGGGGACACCCATGGGACAAACCCGCGTGTCCGTGCCCATCTAAAACCCTGGGATTGCGGGGTGGGATGGGTTTGGGGGTCCCCTCGTGCACACGGAGGCTCACCGGGGCGGGCCGGAGCTGCCGGGTGACCTGGGGGCACTGTCCCCATCGCTGCCCGGGGCACCGCAGGGGTGGACGTGGCGGAGGAGGAGGGTGTGCAGGTGCTGGTTCGAGAGGCAGCAGCTGGAGGCGCGTTAGAGCCTGCAGGACAGGAGGGAGAAACGGGGCTCCCGCGCCGCCCCGGGGCCACCCGCGCTCGGGGACAAGCGATGGGACATTGCCACGTCCCTCCTGACCTGTCCGTGCGGCTGGCAGGGACACCCCGGCTCCTGCAGACCCAGCGGTACAGCTCGGGGGTGACCGCGGTGGGTGTCCCCGGGACCCCCCCGCCCACCGGGGATGGCCCTGTCCCAATGCCCTGGTGACAGCAGCGGGGTGTCCCCGTCCCGCCGGTGCCCCGTCACCTACCGTCAGCGCGTCCCCGGCAGCGTGCAAGAGAAGAGCGGGGTTAGACGGGGCTGCGGGCACCGACAGCCACCAGGGGGGCACGGGGGACACGGGGGACACAGGCCCGTCCCTCCGCCCCGGGTCTAACCCAGGAGATGCCATTTGCTGCCCCAAAATCTCCAACACCCCCACTTTTGGTGTATTCATGAGGTTCCAGAGCACCCCAGAGCAGTGCCAGGGTGGGGACGCGGCCCCAGGAGGGGACAACAGGGGGATGTGGCTCTGTCGCCACCCTCAAACCAGCAATGGGCGCCCATTTTTAGGGCCGGGCCTGCGTCTCTGTCCCTGCCAAGCCCCTGTCCAAGCGCGGGGGAGCAGCGAGGCGACAGCGGGGACACAGCACGGGGACAGCACGGGGACAGCTGGGGACGGCACCACACGTTACCTTACAGTGAGGGGCCGCGGCTTGGAGGAGCCCTGCGTGGGGGACGAGGAGCTGCTCCTGTTCAGGTCCTCCAGAGACCTCTCCTTGCCCTTGTCAGAGCCGGGGCTGTTCTCTGAGCTCTCCATGTCGTACCTGGTGGGGACATGGGGACACCATCTCAGGTGAGATGTGGCACCTCAATATGGGTGGGTGTCCCTCAGGAGTGCATGGGGGTTAACACAGCCCTGGGGATGTGGTGGCCTGGGGACAGCACAGTGGCCTTGGGGACATGATGGCCTTGGGGACAGTTTGGTGGCTCAGCATGCTTGGGGACATGATGGCCTTGGGGACAGCACAGTGGCCCTGGGGACATGATGGCCCTTTGGTGGCTCAGTGGCCTTGGGGACATGATGGCCTTGGGGACAGTTTGGTGGCTCAGCATGCCTGGGAGACATGATGGCCTTGGGGGACAGCACAGTGGCCTTGGGGACATGATGGCCTTGGGGACAGTTTGGTGGCGCCCCAATAAGGGCAGATGCACCTCAGGGATTTGGGGATGCTCTTCTCAGCCCCAGCCATGGATCATCACCCTGGGGACAAGGGAGGGCACCCCCAGGGACCACCCCCAGCCCTGCTGAGCCCCAGGGGAGGCCGATGCCAGCCTTGGGGACAGGGGACCCGCTGGGGACGTACGCGACGGAGCACTGGGCGAAGGCGAGGTACTCCAGCAGCACGTCCAGCCCCTTGTTCTCCTCGTTGAGGAACTCCTGAACCCATCTGGAGGGGGGACAGAGGGGTCAGTGAGCTCTGCCAACCCCCACATCCTCCCTCCCCCTGCGCCCAGACACTCAGCAAAGGTGGAACAGAGGTCCCCAGCAAGGGTGGAACACGCTGGGGACATGAGGTGGCACCATGAGCTGGCATTTCTGTGAGTGCCACGGTGAACCTGATATAGGGGGACACAGCCCAAAGGCTCTCCTGCCACCACTGCCATTGTGTCACCATGACAGGACAGCCTGGCCCTGGGCACTGTGGGCACCCACCAGGGTCCAGGAGAGCCAGGGTAGGGGCAGGGGGGGCACCCTGGGGGTACCAGAGAGCCATAAAGGGTTCAGAGCCCCAGCACTCTCAACCTCCCATCAGAGCCCTCCTAAGGGTTCAGGATGAAGCCACAGCCCCCCACATCCTGCTGTCACCCCACAGGCAGAGCCAGCACACGTCCATCCCCATCCCAGAGGTGGTGGCAGCAGCTGGGTGACAATGCCACCCCTCCCTTACCCGATGTAGTTGGTCCTCAGGGAGATCTCCAGCTCCCGCAGCACCTGTGTGGACTCCTGCACCCTCCTCTTGAACTGTGGGACAGGGACAGCCATTGGCACAGGGACAGCCATTGGCACAGGGGCAGCCATTGGCACCGTCCCTGTGCCCAGCCTGGCACGGGGACCAGGGTACAACAGGGACCCCTCACCTTCCTGCTGACCCCACCCGTGTCCAAGTAGCTCTTCAGCTTCTGGATGTAGGCAGACGGGGGGTTCTTCACCTGGAAACGCTCCTGAGAGCCCAGAGAGAGGCTGAAACTGGGCCACCCGTGTGGCGAGGGACGTGCCACTGTCCCCACAGCAGCCACGGTGTCCCTGTCCCCACCCCTGCCTAATGAGGTTAATGAGGGGCTGTGTCAGCAACGAGATGGATGTCAGGGCTTGGTACAGCCAGGCTGGTGCCCAAACCATGCCACGAGTGGCACCTGGGGACAGGGACAGCACTGGGGACACTCTGAGCTTGGAGCTCACCTGGTCACAGATCAGCTCCCACTTCTTCTCGTTGTCGTACTGGTTGAGCAGCTTCATCTTGTCCGGGGGCAGGTTCATGGAATTCTGTGGGTGAAGGGTGTCAGCGCTGGGGGTCACCCCAAAAACACCCCAGGGATGGAGCCCCCCCTGCTCAGAGAGCTCTGGGAGATGGAGAGACCCATGGGAGGAGGGGGAGAATGGTGGGAGGATGGGGACACTGGTGGGACAATGGGGACAGTGATGGAACAGTGGGAACAGTGGTGGGAGGGTGGGATCATGGTGGGAAAATGAAAACGGAATTCTCAGGATGGGGACACTGAAGGGATGATGGGGACACTAGTGAGACATGAAGATTCCAGAAGATGGGGACACTGGTGGGACAATGGGGACAGTGATGGAGCAATGGTGGGACATGAAGATCCCAGTGAAAAGATGTGGACACTGGTGGGACATGAAAATTCCAGAAGATGAGGACATGGTGGGACATGAAGATTCCAGAAGATGGGGACACTGGGTGGAAAATGGGGACAGTGATGGGACAATGGGGACAATGATGGAACAACGGGGACAGTGGTGGGAGGATGGGATCATGGTGGGAAAATGAAAACAGAATTCTCAGGATGGGGACACTGATGGGACACAAAAATTCTAGAAGATAGAGACATGGACATGAAGATTCCAGTGGAAGGATGGAGATATTGGTGAGACATGAAGATTCCAGAAGATGGGGACACTAGTGAGACAATGGGGGCACTGGTGGAACAATGGGCACAGTAGTGGGAAGATGGGATCATGGTGGGAAAATGAAAATAGCATTCTTAGGATGGGGACACTGGTGGGACATGAAGATTCCAGAAGATGGAGACACTGATGGGACAATGGGGACACTGGTGGGACAATGGGGACACTGATGTAACGATGGGGACAGTGGTGGGAGGATGGGATCAGGGTGGGAAAATGAAAGCAGCATTCTCAGGATGGGGACACTGGTGGGATGGTGGGGACAACCCTGGGAGGTTGGGAACACCGCATTTCCCAGGATGTGAACATCCCATGGACCCATCAGTGATGTCCCCACCTGAGGGTCCCCAAGGTGGGGGACAGGAGGAAGAACTGGACACACCCACCCATGTCATGAGTGCCCCATGTGCCTCAACCATCCCAGTCCCAGCAGTGCCACACGGGGTGAGGGACAGGAACACGACTGATGACACAACTGAGGGACAGGGACATGACTGGCGACACAACTGTGGGACAGGGACACGACTGGTGACACAGCTGAGGGACAGGGACATGACTGGTGACACAACAGAGGGCTCCAGGAGCCTGGGCTGTGCCTGGGGGTCACCCCTGAGTCCCCCCCACCACAGATGGTGACGAGCCCATCTGGGGAAGGCAGTGTTTGCTGAGACACGATGACGTCAGGCCTGGCTTGTCCCCACGTCCCTCCTTGTCCCCACAGCCCCCACAGGACGTGACGTGGCTTCCGCTGCCAAAACCGCCCCCGCCACCAGCGGGACACGGCCCTGCCCCTGCTCGGGGACACGTGGGGCACCTCCATGGGACACCAGCGTGGCCTGGGCCTGCTGCAGCTCAGCTCGGCTCACAGGGGGGTTATTTTGCTGAAAACCCCAGGTTTTGGTGGGTGGCAGGTGCACGATGGCACGTGGGGCAATGCACGGCCCCAAGCCACCCCTAAACCCCAGTCCTGGGGTTCCCTGAGGAGGATGATGGGGACGTGGGGTGCATGCCATGCTGGAGCAACCACATCCTTGCAGTGAAGGCATCTCCCAGGGCTTTGGCTGCCCACAGAGGAGCAGGTCCAAGGCCAGAGGTCCCACTGTGGTGGGCAGGAACAGAAACCTCTCCACCACCAGCTCCTCCAGGGAGGACCTGTCGAACTGCTTTTGCCAGAAGCCAAAAGCAGGAGCTGTGGCTGGGGAGGAGCTGGGTTGGGCTGGCACAAAGAGCTGGGCAGGGGGACAATCAGGGTCTGAAATGGCCTCACTGTGAAGCTGCTGGGCTCTGGAATGGGCAAGGTGACAGCAGCAGCTGGCTGTCACCATTGCTGGTCCTGAGCTGCCATCCTTGGGATGGATGAGGGTCAGACCAGGAGACCAAGAGGGACAACACAGCCAGACAGCCCAGTCAGGGCTCAGCCACACCCGTGGGACACCCTTGGCACAGAGGGGATGGTGGCCCCATGTGGGACCTGGACCCAGCAGAGCCCTGGGTGTGACAGGAGCCATCTCGAGGGAGTGGCAGGGCTGTCCCACGGAGGTGGCTCTGCCCCGAGCCCTGGTGCCTCCCTTGCGGGCAGGATGTGGCACAGGTCGGGTACAAAGTGGGTGGGGGCTCCTCCCGGGTGGGCTCGTGGTGCTGGGAGGAAGCGGCTCCGCTGAGGAGCCTCAGCCGGCAGCGCAAAGAAAACCCCAAAAAAACCGGTTCTCATTTCCTGCCGTGAGGGGGGGAGGTGGGGCTGGGTGGGGGATGTGGGGCAGGGTGGGTGATGTGGGGCAGTGGGGGATGTGGGGCAGTGGGTGATGTGGGGCAGGGTGGGGGATGTGGGGCACGGTGGATGATGTGGGGCAGTGGACGATGTGGGGCTGGGTGGGTGATGTGGGGCAGTGGGTGATGTGGGGCAGGGTGGGGGATGTGGGGCACGGTGGATGATGTGGGGCAGTGGACGATGTGGGGCTGGGTGGGTGATGTGGGGCTGGGGGTGATGTGGGGCAGGGTGGGGGATGTGGGGCACAGTGGGGGATGTGGGGCTGGGGGTGATATGGGGCAGTGGGGGATGTGGGGCACAGTGGGTGGTGTAGGGCTGGGTGAATGATATGGGGCTGGTTGGATAATGTGGGGCAGGGCAGCAGCCAAGCACCCCACACGTGTCAGAGGAAGGACCTGATCCTCCTCCTCCTCCTCTTCCTCCTCTGGGGACAAGGATGAAGGAGCACCTTGTCCCCAGCACCCTCATCCCACCCGGGGCTCCCAGCAGCCCCACAGCCCAGCCCGTCACTGCGTGGGTGCCACCAATGTCCCCAACAGCCCAAAGTGCCCCCGAGCCTGCAGGGCCACCCCAGCCATGCCCACTGCAGGCTGAGCCCGGCTGGCACCCAGCACCACCAGGGCCAGGGGAGGTGAAGCAGCCCCAACACCATTTTCTGCTACAAACCAGCCTCTTGCTGTGGTGGCTGGCAGGGCTGCAGCTATTTTGGGTGCCAGACACCTCGTTCTGTGCCACACGTGAGCGGGCAGCGCACCGAGGCTGGCACGGAATGTTCTGGCACCCCCAGGGAAGGGTTTGTGCTGTAAAGCCCTGGCAGAGCCGTTTCTGGGGCACTGGATGTGTGTGCACAGAGAGGGATGGGCAGCCTGGGCAGCACGGGGGGTGGGACAGGATCCAGGCAGCACCAGGGACAAAGCACTGCCACAGGGAGGGGACAGGGCAGGGGACAGCCCCAGGCGGTGGCTGAGGGGCAGGAAGGACCAACATCTGCAGGTGTGTGGGTCACAGATGGGCTGTGCCACTCCTGGGATGCTCCAACCCTCCTGGACACAGCACACAAGGGCATTTGGGACATGGCCACTCCTGAAGTGCCACCTGTCCCATGGTGTCCCCTCCAATGCCACTGGAGTCATTCTCCTGCCTCTTCCCGGGGCACAGAGCAGGACCAGGCCCACCCAGGGCTCCCTGAGCTCCCTCATGCCCAAACTGGGCTGGGGGACACGGCCAGGACCAGCCCATCCCATCAGGGATCCACCAGACCCAAACCCACCCAGTGTGGGCAGGAGCAGACAGACAGACAGACAGACAGAGTGTCCCCAGGATGGCCGGGAGGGTGGTGGCAGTGGGATGGGATGGGATGGGATGGGATGGGATGGGATGGGCTGAGCTGCCTCTGCCTCCCTGTGGCTCCAGCTCTATTTTAAGTGCCAGCAGAAGCTGCTGTAGCTCAAACCAGGGAGAGAAGCCTGATCCCACCAGTGTGCCCTCATCCCTGATGGCTTCCTGCCTGCCCACCCTGCACTGGGATGTTCTCCTGGATCCAGCAGCACAAGAGGGATCCTGCACAAGACACTCTCCAGGCCCTGGTCCAGCAGCTGGTGGCACAATGCCCCACCCAGGACACTGCTGGGCACACCCTGGGGCAGCCCCACACCCCCCAGCCAGCCCTGGCCACCGTGCTGGAGATGAATCCAGCAGGAAGATCAGGACCAGCTCTGTTTCCTGCTGGAGCTGAGGCTGACACTGTAGCCAGGACTTGCTGCTGACCTGTCCTGCTGCTGGGGCCAACAGCACATTTGCAAACATCTGCAAACATCTGCAAACATCTGCAGTGGTGACGCTGGCCTTGCACTGCCCCAGCTCCAGGGAGAAGAGGCAGCAAAGCCCCCACCAGGCAAAGCTCCCAGCTGGAGCAGCCCCTGTCCCAGCCTGACACTGCTTGATTTTGACTCCACCACACCTCAACTCACAATTCCCTTTATATATTCCCAATTAATGCCCCTTGACCTGCAAAAGGGGGGAAATCATTCAAGCAGGAGCATCTGGGCATCCCTATCCCAGCAGCAAAGCTGCTCCATCCCAAAATTCCACCTGATCACATCCCAAACTGCCTGGCACAGGACAACCCTCCCATGGCTCTGCCAAGGCAGCATCTGCCACAGTGCCCCAGCTGGGAGGGAGCCAATTTTTGAGAATGAAGTTTTGGGAAACTTAAATTCCCATTTCTTGGCATGGAATGGGTGTATCCCCTTCCTGGCAGCAATCTGGATCCCCGTGGCTCCTCCCTGGGTTTTTCTGCTGAGGTTTTGCACCACCAGCTGTCCCAGTTTGGGATGTCCAGGCCCAAACTGGTTCTCTCATGGCATCACTGCAGCCATGGCAACATTGAGGTCTGGATCGTGTCCCACCAGGAGATTCCCAGCTCGTTACCACCTGCTCCACCACCGAGCCCACGAGTTGGAAAGTTGAAGGCAGAGTTGGGGAATGTGTTTGTGGTGGGTGAGGGCAGAGGGGACCCCCCTGTCCCCATCCCCCCGGAGCCACGAGAATGGGGAAGGGACTGTGAAAGGAGGAAGCAGAATTGGGACAGCCACTTTCACAAGCCCTCGCTTCCCCTCAGGCCACGTCCAGCCCCCTGGGTGCCCCTTCCCCTGGAAAAGGCCTTTCCCTCGGGATGAGGGCACAGAAAGTGCTGCTGAGAGCCTGGAGCAGCGCTTTCCCCTTTTCTGATCATTTTTTGGTTCAGAATTTGCAACCTGCAGGGCCCAGCCCGGCTAAAAGCGGCGCTTCCTGGGGCCTCACAGCGGAAACACCGCGGGGCTCTTCCTGCCCCGGAGCCATCAGAGGCACCGCCACCACACCCTGTCCCCCGGGAGTGCCGCGGGGTCCCTCATCTTCATCACCTTCCTCACCTTCCTCACCTTCATCACCTTCATCACCTTCCTCACCTTCATCACCTTCATCGCCTGCGGTTGCAGGGATCGCTCCCCCCCAAATTATCCTATAAACTCCATAAGATAAAAAAGCTCCCAAGGAATTCGTGCTCGGGGCTGGGATGGGGACACCCCACGGAGCAGATCCCGGCCGGTCCCACCGAGCGCACCCCGGCATTGAGGGAGCTGCGCCCGGAGCGGGATGGGCACGAACGGCTCCATCACCTGCCAGGGGCTTGGGGGGTTAAAGCAGCGATTCCTTTTCCTGGGGGCGTTTTTGGGGAGGGCACGGGCAGGGTTTGCAGCGGGTGGCGCGGTGGAGGGACCCGGCGCGAAGGTCACGGCCGGCCCGCCCCGCTCAAGGACGGAGCAGCGAGCGGGAGCTGCTCTCCCGCAGAACCGAGCGGCTCCCGGGGCTGCCAGCCCTCCATCCATCCATCCATCCATCCATCCATCCATCCATCCATCCATCCATCCATCCCCCGCTGCCCACCGGCCGGGGCTTCCCCTGCACCGTGAGGAGGAAGAGGAGGAAGAGGAGGAGGTGAGCGAAGCATCGCCATCCGCAGCACCGGCGCGCTCCGGCCCTGCCGCCGATCCCGCCATGGCGGAGCCTGCCCGGGCTCCGGGACTCGGGGTCACCCCGGGAATTTGGGGGTCGGATCCCCCCTCAAGGTGAGAGCGAGGAGGGGAGGGACCGCTGGGGTCATCCCGGGCCAGGGTTGAGCGTCCCCGGCACAACGAGGTGACAGCGGGGCAGGCATCATTATTAATAAGAACATCAATTAAATAATAAACCAAATAATTAACAGAACTACGGAATAGTCACAATCCGATGATGATAACGCTAATGATGCTGACACCAGTAGGGATGCCGATACCGGAGGGACCCCCACCCTGTCCCCCCGTTCCGTGGGACCCCCCCGTCCTGCCCGGCGCCGTCCCCGCTCACCAAGACGCGGCCGAATCGCTCCTCCAGCTCGGCGTTGCCGGGCATGGGCTGCCGGGGGGGCGGCGGCGCGGCGGCGGCGGGGGCGGCCCCGGGCTGCGGGCGGTGGTCGCGGGGCTCCCGCGGGGCCGCGCCCCCCTCCAGCCCCCCGGCCGCGTTGCCCATGGCGGGGCGGCCCCGGCTCCCAGCCCAGCTCCGTCCTCGCCCGTCCCCGGCGCCGCTCGCCGGCGTTTGCAACTTCTGCGGGCGTTATCGCGCTATAAACGCACAGCCCGCCCCCGGCCCCCGCCCCGGCCAGAGGCGGCCCCGGCACCTGCGAGGCTGCGGGGAGGGAGCCGAGCGCTGCTGCCCCGGCCAGGCTCACTGCAGCCCTTTTGCTTTATTTTATTTTTTTTTTTTTTTTTACTTTATTTTATTTTATTTTATTTTATTTTATTTTATTTCATTTTATTTTATTTTTAATTTTTTTAAACTTTATTTTACTTTATTTTATTTCATTTTTTCCTTTTTTCCTTTATTTTATTATATTTTAATAATTTTTACTATTTTATTTTATTTCCTTTTTTTACTTTATTTTATTTATTTTGTTTTATTTTATTTTATTTTATTGTATTTTATTTTATTTTTTTTAATTTATTTTATTTTTAGTATTTTTATTTTATTTTACTTTATTTTACTTTATTTTACTTTATTTTATCCTTTTTTCCTTTATTTTATTTTATTTTATTAATTTTTTACTATTTTATTTTATTTTTTTATTATTTTTAACTTTATTTTGTTTTATTTTATTTTATTTTATTTTATTTTATCCTTTTTTCCTTTCTTTTCTTTTCTTTTCTTTTCTTTTCTTTTATTTGTTTCATTTATTTTATTATCTTTTATTAATTTTATTTTATTTTATTTTTTCTTTTTTACCTTATTTTAGACTTACTTTTCTATTATATTAAGTAAAATTTAATGTTAAATGTCATACTTTGTCATAAATGTCAAATTTAATAGTAAATGTCAGTAAAGATCATATAAATAATCATTTATATGTTATTAAATTAAATTTATTTTACTTTATTTTGATTTTTATTTTATTTTCTTTTTTTATCTTACTTTAGACTTATTTTTATATTATATTAAATAAAATTTAATATTAAATGTAATAAATGATAATTGATGTGATATGAAATTAAATTTGTTTTACTTTTTCATTTTTATCTTATTTTATTTTTTACCTTATTATAGACTTACTTTTAAAATTATATTAAATATAATTTATCATTAAATGTAATTAATAATAATTTATATTATATTAAGTAAAATTTATGTTACTTTTTATTTTTATTTTTATTTATTGTTATTTAATTTTATTTATTTTTTCAAAATATTGTTCTTAAAGTTTTTCTATTATTATTTGACTTTATTCTATTTATATTCCTGTTTTCCTTTTATTTTATCCTTAATTATTTCATTTATTCTATTCCTTATTTTAAATTTTCTTTCGTTCTATTTATCTATTCAATTTTTGCTTTCATTTTTATGTTCCATCTGTGCATTCTTTCATTACATTTTCTTTATTTCCGTCTTATTTCATTCTATTATTTATTTTTCTTTACAATTTCCATTTTTTTTTATTTAGGCTTTTTGTTTGACTTTTCTGTTATCTTACAATAATTTATTATTGTTTTATACCATTTATTTTTATTTAATTTTAGATTTTTCTTATTTATAATAATACATTTTAATTTATAATTAGATAACAATAAATTTAGTGTGCCCTGGGATGGGGATGTGGCACCGGATTCACCCCCCGGACACCTGGCATACCCTGGAATCCTTCTGGGGGCACTGCCAGGGCAGCGGGGCATGGCAGAGACCAGATCTGCTGAGACCCGGTGAGGTTCAGGGGCAGACACTGAGATTTGGTGACATTCGGTGAGATTCGGTGAGATTTAGCAAGATTTGGTGAGATTTGATGACATTCACCAAAATTTGGTGAGATTTAGTGAGATTCACCAAAATTTGGAGAGACTTGGTGCGATTTACCAAAATTTGAAGAGATTTGGTGAGACTTGATGAGATTCACCAAAATCTCGAAAGATTTGGTGAGATTTTTTAGGAGATTCACAAAAATTTGGTGAGATTCAGCAAAATTTGGTGAGATTTGGCAAGATTTTGTGAGATTCACCAATATTTCATAAGATTCGGTGAGATTTCACGAGATTCACCAAAATTTGGAAATATTTGGCAAGACTTTTGAGGACATTCACCAAAATTTGAGGAGATTCACCAAAATTTGGTGAGATTCATCAAAATGTGGTGATATTTGGTGAGATTTCATGAGATTTGGTGAGATTCACCAAAATTTGGTGGGATTCAGTGACATTCACTAAAATTTGGTGAGATTCGGTGAGATTCACCAGGACTGGCTGAGACTGGGTGGAATTCGCTGAGTTTTGGTGAAATTTGCTGAACCCCGAAATTCCAGGAGCAGCCGAAGGATTCCGAGGGACAGGGATGGATCCAGAGGGGATCCCAGCAGCCCTGGTGGTTCCCAGCCCCTGCCCAGCCCCAGTGCTGCCACATCCTCACCACAGGCCCTGCCAGGTGTCCCCAGGTGTCCCCACAGTGCCACCAGGACCAGGTGAACGTGCCCAGCCTGTTCTGCCAACCCCAAATTCCAGGCAGGGGACACTCCAGGACAGCAGGCACCCATCCCATCATCCCTGGGGATTTGGGAGCTTGGAGAGGACTCATGGAGAGCTCAGCAACACCAGAATTGGGGTCACCCATGTTTGGGGGTTGTTCTGATATCCCAAAGCTGAATTTTGCAGTCAGTTAAATATTTCAGCTTCTCATTAAATATTTTACATTAATTTCCCGATCCAGGTTTTTAAGGGAAGGCATTGCAGCGCTCTGTGGGCACAGGGACATCCTGGTGTGGTCCCAGAGGTGTGTCCAGGGTGAATATTGTCCCCTAGACCATGGGTGGCACCAGGGCTTCCATCCCACACCCTGGACAGGCTCTGCTGTGGGGATTCCAAGCTCTGGGAGCTCCAGGATTGTGGAATTATGGAATGGTTTGGTTTGGGCCTGAAACAGCACCCAGTGCCACCCCTGCCATGGGCAGGGACATTTTCCACCAGGCCAGGCTGCTCCAAGCCCTGTCCTTGGACATTTCCAGGATGTTCTGGCCATGAAACCCCAGAGCTGTGGGGTTTATTACTGTTTTATACCATTTATTTTTATTTCATTGTAGATTTTAGGTTTAATTTTAGAGTTTTTGATCCAGGCAGCACCTCCCTGCCCTCAGCTGGAAAAGGCCCCGAGGATCGGGAGCTCTGGAGCCCAGGCCAACAGTTCCATCTCCTGGCCACAGGGAGGGCTGCGAGGGGCAGGGCTGGGAGAGCCTCCTGTGACACGTCCTGGGCAGGGCTGGGTGTTCTGTGAGGGGTTTGGGTCCTGCTGATCCCCACCGAGATGGGAACAGGGAGCCAGGAGGGAATTTGGGCCGCTGGAGGTGTTTGGTGCATCAATGGCAGCAGGAGGATGAGCTGGGGGAGCATCCTGCCACCCCTTAATCCTGTCCTGGGCACTGGGATGTCTCTGAAGGAGAATCCTACCATCCTGCCCACCCTCGTCCCATCCTCAGGCACTGGGATGTCTCTGAAGGAGCTTCCTGCACATCCCTGGGCACTGGGATGTCTCTGGAGGGACATCCTGCCACCCTTCATCCCTGCTCCAGACACTAGCATGTCTCTGGAGAAGCATCCTGCCACCCCTTATCCCTGCTTTGGGCACTGGGATGTCTCTGGAGGAGAACCTTGTCCACCTCTCATCCCATCCCTGGGCACTGGGATGTTTCTGGAGGAACATCCTGCCATCCTGCCACCCCTTATCCCATCCTCAGGCTCTGGGATCTCTTTGGAGGGGCATCCTGCCATCCTGCCCACCCCTCATTCCTGCTCTGGGCACTGGGGTGTCTCTGGAGGAGCATCCTGCCATCCTACCACTCCTTATCCCAGCCCCAGACACTGGGATGTCTCTGGAGGGTTATCCTGCCCATCCTCATCCCATCCCTGGGCACTGGGATCTCTCTGTAGGGGCATCCTGCCCATCCCTGGGCACTGGGATGTCTCTGGAGCAGCATCCTGCCCACTCTCATCCCTGCCCAGGGCACTGGGATGGCTCTGGAGGCTCATCCTGCCCACCCTCAGTCCATCCCTGGGCACTGGGATGTTTCTGGAGGTGGGAAACCACTCAGACTGCCCGTGGCTGGTGGGGGGATTCACTGCTCTTCTCCAGGGTGACGGTTCTGGAGCTCCTGTGACCTCCAAGAGCCTCCTGACCCCTCAGAACCTGGCTGGGACCTTTGGGAAGTGAGGAAACCTCCCTGGGTGTCCTCTTCACCTGAGGAGCTTTGCTGGGAGGCACCTGGATCCCAGCTCAGGTGTTCCTGATGTTCCTCCAGCACAGAGCTTCTCCCTCCATCGAGCCACCCTCACCTCAGCCTGTCCATGGGGACAAAGATCTGGTCCCTTGTCACCACCCTGTCCTCATTCTCCTGTGTTTTCTCTCCTTTCATTTCTTTCCTGGTGTTTGGGGTGTTTACCTGGCAACTCCAATTAGCCCAGGGCTGCTCAATTCCTGCAATAAAAGTCCTTAAAAAACCATTCTAGAAACTGCATATTCAAATAATCATCTTCACTAAGTGCCCAGGGCCACATTTCTTACATTAAAGGTGATTTTAGACACTTAAGTTTATTTTCCTAATTAATTTCAATTCCCTGGAAAACACAAGCAGGAATGGAGTTTTTTCCTGAATCTGCAGGTCCACAAAAAACCCAAAAAAATATTCTTGATGTTAGAGCTACCCAGGCAATATTCCCTCATCCAAACAAGAATTCCCAGTTTAGATTGTACAGCCTGAGGTTGTCTGATCCCCTAAAGGATGAAGCTCCAGAAAATTGAAGGTGTTTGGAGAGCTGAGCCCACCTCATGTTCCTCAAAGAGCTGGACCTGAGGGCACCTGAAATTCCTGAGCTAAGGTGGGAACCCCTTCTCAACATGCCCCAGGTGACACCACTCATCCTTTCCACCCCCAGCATCCCTGAGGATTTAAAGACATTTTCTGGCGTTGTGTGGCTGAAGTGAAGGTCAGCCCAAGAGTCTGCCTTGGTGGAAGGACAGGATCTTAATTCCTTTGCCTCTGAGATGCTGAGATTAGAATTCTATTTTCAGCACTGCTGGATTTCTCAGTGGCTGTAATGAGTTCCAGGTATAATTCACTCTCCATTCCTTCCTGAATTACAGATTTTAATGTGTTAAACCATAGCAAGCAGCAGAAGGAGAAGGAACAACTGTCTTCTGTCAGTGAATAAGCTGCTTATGTAGATAAATCAGATTTTTTTACACTATAAATATAGGTTAGGAGAGGAAAAGTTCATGCCTGGAGTCCTGGGACTTGGATTTTCAGGGCTACAAGGAGTTTGGAAAGCACAGGAAGATAAACATCTTTCCCAACCAGAAATATTTTGGTCATGTCACATGGTAAATAGCTCATCAAGGGATTGATTATGCCCAACTTGGTGTTTGCTTATCATCTGCAGCTTGAGCACACTCAGCCTGTTCCCCAGGGATGGGCTTGGAATGTGGGTAATGAGGAAAACATGGAATAAATGGAGAGTAAAAATCTGGGATGTGATGTGTGGGAAAGGGGCTCCTGAGCCTCCCTCTGCTGCTCTGGCATGGGAAATGCTGAGGGCAGAACATGGAATATTTGTGTTTGTTTATTTGTTTCTAAGGAGTTTCTTTTCTCCAGCTAGGAGCAGGGAACCCACAGCTCCTTCTGGGAACAGGGGAGGAAGAGGAAGCAGGTGAGTTCTGTCAGGATGTCTCTCCCTGTGAGGAGTCATTCAGGTTGGAAAATCCCTCTGAGACCAAGCCCAGCCATTCCCCAGCACTGCCACCACCGACCCCTGTCCCCAAGTGCCACAGCCACGGGGATTTTAAACCCTGGACAGCCAGGTCAGGGCTGGAGAACCTTTGGGGGAAGAAATTTCCCCAATATCCACCCTAAACCTCCCCTCGGCCAGCCTGAGGCTGTTCCCTCTCCTCCTGTCCCTGTTCTCTGGGAGCAGAGCCCAACACCCCCTGCCTGTCCCCTCTTGTCACAAGGTCCCCCCTGATCCCCCTTTTCTCCAGGGAACATTGGGCATTTCCAAAAGGGCTCCCCTTTCACCAGCAGCACGTCCATACACAAGTTTCCAAATAAATTTCCTCCTCAAATTCAACCCTCCATTTCCAACGGGAGATCAGAGCACCAAGCCCTGGCCAGGTGACAATCCGGTGCCACCCCCCAGTGGTCACATGGAGCCAGCAGCCAAGGATAATTGGCAACAGGAACAGGTTTGGCCACCAAAATTCCAAAATTATCAGTGCCCAAGGCCTGATAAGGCCCTGGCAGCTGGAGAGTCTGTGCCACAGGAGGGGACAGGGAGGTGACAAATCCCTCCCCACCAGCCCAGGGGGGCAGGCAGGGGCTGCTCTGCCATCTCTGCAGGCTGCAGATGCCAAGGTGGCATTTGGATGCCAAATCCTGCCTGGATCCTCCTGCTGTGGTGGCCACCAGCTCCCAGAGGGTTCAGCAAGGTGGCCAGAGCAGATTTGTCACCTCTGCTCCAGTGTCCCTTCCAGCTGGGTCCCAGGCAGAGCTCGCAGACGTGTCCCCCCATGGAGTGGGTGGATTTGGTTCTGTTCAATAATTAATTTAATTCTGTTTATTTTAATTAATTAATTTAATTGTTTTGGCTTTGGTTCTGTTTATTTTAATTAATTAATTGAATTCTGGTTTGGATTTGGTTCTGTTTAATAATTAATTTAATTCTGGTTAATTAATTTAATTAATTGAATTCTGGTTTGGATTTGGTTCTCTTTAATAATTAATTTAATTCTGTTTAATTAATTTCATTTAATTAATTAATTGAATTCTGGTTTGGATTTGGTTCTCTTTAATAATTAATTTAGTTTAATTGTTTTGGATTTGGTTCTGTTTAATAATTAATTTAATTATTTTAAATTTATTTAATTAATTTATTCAATTTAATTTGGTTTGGATTTAGTTCTGTTTAATAATTAATTTATTTAATAAATTTAATTAATTAATTAAATTCTGGTTTGGATTTGGTTCTGTTTAATGATTAATTTAATTCTGTTCAATTAATTTAAATTAATTAATTTATTTATTTAATTTAGTTTAATTTATTTATTTAATTTTGGATTTAGTTCTATTTAACAAAAAGAGCAGTTTCCTCCCGGCCCCTGCTCCAGGCAGAGAAGGAAGGGTGGAAGGCTGGCATAATTTGGCACAGCTGGAGCCTGGCACTGGGCACTGCTCTGCCCCACCCAGGGCACCTCCAGGAGGCCTCTCTGGTGTGAGCAGGGAGGAGAGCAGCACCCAGCTCTGGTCCAGCAGGTTTTCATGGAATCACACCGAGGTTAATGCTGGAAGGAGCCTCTGGAGGGCACCTGGTGCCCATCTCTGCTTCAGGACTGTGCCCAGACAGAGTTTTAGTATCAGCAAGGATGGAGAGCACACATCCCCCCTGGACAAGCTGTGCCAGTCAAAAACTTTGAGGTTGGAAAAGCCCCCTGAGATCACCCAGCGCTGCCAAGGCCACCACTGAGCCCTGTCCCCAAGTGCCACATCCACAGGGCTTTGAAACCCCACCCCTATCAGGCCTGGAGCACCCTTTGGGGGAAGAAATCTTCCCTAATTCCCATCAGCAGTAAATAAAAGTGTTTTCCTGAGGATCAGATGCTGTTCCAGGTGGTGCCCATGGGCTTTGGGCCCTGCTGAGTTTCACCTGGTTTCACCCTCCCTCCAGGTGAGGTGAGGAGGTGCCTCTGAGCCTTCTCTTCCCCACACAACCCCAGCTCTCCCAGACATTCCTCGTGGGTGAGAAACTCCAGTTTTTCTCTCATTTTTTATCAAACTGTCCCGTGTGTTCATGTCATTGCTGCAGTGGGGCCCAGAACACAGCACAGCCCTGCAAGGTGACCTCATTGAATTTGGGAATGATCCCTCACTGAATTTGGGAGTGACCTGTCACTGAATTTGGGAGTGCTTCCTCATTGAATTTGAGCATGATTCCACACTGAATTTGGGCATGATCCCTCGCTGACTTTGGGAGTGACCCCTCCCTGAATGTGGGAATTATTCCTCACTGAACTTGGGAGTGACTCCTCACTGATTTTGGGAGTGACCCATTGAATTTGGGAGTGATCACTTGCTGAATGTGGGACTGACCCCTCATAGAATTTGGGAATTATCCCTCTCTGAATTTGGGGGTGATCCCTCATTGAATTTGGGGGTGATTCCCTCCCTGAATTTGGGAATTATCCCTCCCTGAATTTGGGAGTGATTCCCCACAGAATTTGAGAGTGATGCCTCTCTGAGTTTGGGAATGATCCTTCCCTGAGTTTGGGAATCCCTCCTTGACTTTGGGGATGATCCCTCCCTGAAATTGGGCATGATCCCCCACTGAACTTGGGAATGATCCCTCACTGATTTTGGGAGTGACCCCTCATTGAACGTGGGAATTACTCCCCCACTGATTTTGGGAATCCCTCACTGAATGTGGGAATGATCCCTCCCTGAATTTGGGAGTGATCCTCCACTGAATGTGGAAATGATCCCTCACTGGCTTTGGGAGTGATCCCTCCCTCCCCCTGCAGCCCAGGCTCCATCCCCACCCTTCCCAAGGGCACCCTGAGGCTCAGTGGCCACCCCAGTGCCCAGCAGGAGCCTAGCCCAGTCCCTGTCCCAGCTGGGTGTCCCTCAGGATGTGCCTGGGTTCCTCCCCAGGGCTCCCAAACACCAAATTCTGCCTCCTCAGGCCAAGCCTGGAGCTCCCACAGCCAGTTCCAGCCCCAGAAATGGACAGGGCAGAGGCCTCAAGGCTCATCCTGGCCCATGTGAGCTCAGGAACGATAACAACCCCTCTGATAAGGAAGGAATTCCCTTTTGAGCAAGGAATACCCATGGCTGCTGTGCCCATCACTGCTGGAGATGACCAGGCTGGTGGCCCAGAGCCTGATGCCAGCTCCCAAAGGGTGGGCACAGCTTCAGCAGCTCCTTCCTACCTGTGCCAGTGAATTTGGGGGAAATAGGAGCAGCACAGGGAGTGCAGAGACTGTCAGTGCTTTATTGGTGACAGGGACAGCACCAAGGGACACCAGAGCTCACCCCAGGAGGGTCTGGGTGTGCCCCACGCTGGCCAGGACACCCTGGGAGCTACTGGGGGGCTCCATCCCCATCTCCAGGTGCTCCAGGATGGGGTGACAGGGCCATGCTGTCACTGCCCCGAGGCTGCAGTGCTCCCACCATCCTCCTCTTCCTCCTGGTCTGGTGGCAGCTCTGAGGGGTTGGCACCTGCTTGGGGCAGAGCTCTGGAGGGCTGGTCCTCCTCTAGGCCTGCAGGAGATGGGCAGAAAGGGAATGGTGAGGAGCAGGAGACACCCATGGGGGTCACACAGAGGGGATGAGCCCATCAAGGGCTGCATTTCAATCCCCCCCAGGGATGGGGATGGAGAGAACCTCAGGCCCTGGAGCAGAAATGGCACAGTGGGGCCATGCCTGGGTGTTTAGGGACACCCAGGGTGGAGCAAAAAGAGGAGGAGGCTGCCCAGGAGCACAAGGTGGAGATGGCAAAGCAGAGAGAATGGGCTGGGGGTGCCTCAGGGGCCATCACCTTCCTCATCCTGAGCCTCTGATGCCTTCCCCTCCAGGTTCTGGGACAGCAGGGTCAGCCTCTTGAGGGCCAGCAGGGCTTTCCCTGTTTTCTGGAGGAAGGAGAAAGGGCACTGAACCTTCATTAGAGCCACCCCCATGTCCCCATCACCCCACCAGGGACACTGAGCCCTTCAGCAGAGCCACGTCCTGTCCCCATCCACCTACCAGGAGCACTGAACCCTTGGGCAGAGCCATCCCCATGTCCCCATCACCCCACCAGGAGCACTGAGACCTTCAGCAGAGCCATCTCCATGTCCCCATCACCCCACCAGGGCTCTCAGCTCTTCAGAGCCACCCCCTGTCCCCATGTCCCACCATGGGCACTGAGCCACCCCCACGTCCCCACCAAGGGCTCTGAGCTCTTCAGAGCCACCCCTCTGTCCCCATGTCCCACCAGGACACTGAGCCCTTGGGCAGAACCACCCCCATGCCCCCATGTCCTCACCAAGAGCACTGAGCCCTTCAGCAGAGCCACCCCAATGTCCCCATCACCCCACCAAGGGCACTGAGCCACCCTCATGTCCCCACCAAGGGCACTGACCACTCCCCATGTCCCCATCACCTCACCAGGGCACTGAGCCCTTCAGCAGAGCCACCACCGTGTCCCCATCAGAGACACTGAGCCCTTCAGCAGAGCCACCCCCCTGTCCCCACGTCCCCAGCAGGTACCTGCCACTTCCTCCGCGCCAGGAACTGCCTGATCCTCTCCTTGGACAGCACCTTGGGGCTGCTGGGCTGGGGCTGCTGCAGCCAGGGGTGCAGCAGAGCCCCTGCACTGGGGAGCCGCCGGCTGCAGCACACACAAGGGGTCACGGGGGGCTCCTCCACCCTGGAGCATCCCCCCCACCAAACAGGCAGAGCTTCCCCTCACCCACCCCCTCAGCACCCCAAAACCCAGCCCAGCCCCAGCTGAGCAGCCCCCAGGCCCTACCTGGGCTCCTTCTGCAGCAGTTGGCCGATGAAGTCCTTGGCTTGCTGGGATATCTCCGAGAAGCTCTCCTCCTCAAAGTCCCACCGGGCAGCTGTGACATTGCTCAGGGTCTCCATGTCCGTGTCCCCCTGGAAGGGTGACTCCCCACTCAGCCTGGAGAGGGGAGCCCAGGCCATCAGGGAGAGCTCAGCCCTGTCCAGCCCAGCCTGCCCTGCCCAGGAGGGCACTCACAGGATGTAGCAGATGACACCAACGCTCCACATGTCCGTGGAGAAGCTCACAGGCTCAAAGGCGACCACTTCGGGAGCCATGAACTCAGGGGTGCCATGGAGAACCTTCACAGGGGTGTCTGGAGCTGCAGAGAGGAGGCAGGAGATCAGTTGGGATCTCCTTGGGGTCACTTGGGATCTCCTGGAGCAGGAGGCCCAGCTGGGATCTCCATAGGGCACACGAGGCCCAGCTAGGATCTCCATGGGGCAGGAGGTCAGCTGGGATCTCCATGGGCCAGAAGGCCCAGTTGGGATGGTCCTGGGGAGTTGGGATCTCCCTAGGGCAGGAAGCCAGCTGGGATCTCAATGGACAGAAGGCCCAGTTGGGTTCTCCATGGGATCTCCAGGGGGCAGGAGGCCCAGGCCAGCATCTCCAGGGGGCCAAGGAGGCCCAGCCTGGGATCCCCATGGGGAGTTGGGCTCTCCATGGGCCACAAGGCCCTGCTGGACTCTCCATGGGATCTCCCTGGGGCATGGGATCTCTGTGGGGCCAGTTGGGATCTCCACAGGCCACGAGGCCCAGCTGGGATCTCCTGGGGAGTTGGGATCTCCCTGGGCCAGCTGGGATCTCCTGGGGAACTTCATCCTCTTGCCTTTTACTCTCTTATGCTTTTGCTCTCTTATTTTTTTGCTCTCTCACCCTCTCTCCCCCTCTCTTCTCTCAGCCTGCTCTGAGCTGTGTTTGGCAGCTCCCAGCAGGGTCCTGCACCCAGGCCCTTTGCAATAAACCCCAAATTCCACAACCTGGCTGCAGAGATCTCTCATCTCCATCCATCCCGACCATCCTACCCCCAAAACTCTCTGACTTTAGGGATTCCCACACTCACCCAGCCTCCGTGCCAGCCCAAAGTCGATGATCTTGATGCGGTGGCTGCCAGGGCTGACGCAGACGATGTTCTCGGGTTTCAGGTCCAGGTGCACAATGGCCTGGCCGTGCATGAACTGCAGCCCCTCCAGGATCTGCTGCATGTACTGGGCACTGCTGGGCTCCGTGTGCTCAAAGTCATCGTCCACAATGCGCTCAAAGAGCTCCCCACCTGCCACGCTGGGGACAGACACGTAATGGGGACACTTTTGGGATCTACCAGCCCCAAGGAGGAGAAGTCCCAGCAGAAAACCCAGACTCAGCACTCTGGGAGCATCTCTCCACCCTTATCTCCAGGAGTTTTGGGTTCCCCATCCATCCCACCACCACCTCATGGCACAAGGACCCCTCACCACCTACCACTGTGGGGACAACAAGATGCTGGGGACCCCTTTGGGATCTACCAGCCCCAAAGAGGGGAAGCTCCAGTGGAGAATTCATCTCTCCACCCTTATCTCCAGGAGCTGAGGGTTCCCCATCCATCCCACCAACACCCCATGGCACAGAGACCCTTCCCATGCTGCCACTGTGGGGGTAACGAGGTGCTGGGGACCCCTTTGGGACCCTCCATACTGGGGACTGTCCACACTGAGGGACAACAAAATTCTGGGGACCCCTTTGGGATCTACCAGCTCCAAGGAGGGGAAGCCCAGCAGAGAACCCAGTGCTCTGGGAGGAGCTCACCACTCGTTACTTCAGAGTTGCCGGGTTCTCCATCCATCCATCCATCCATCCATCCATCCATCCATCCGCACAGGGACCCCTCCTCACATGCCATTGTGGGGACAATGAGCTGCTGGGGACCCTTTTAGGGTCTCACCAGCCCCAAAGAGGGGAAGTCCGGCAGAGAACCCAGTGCTCTGGGAGGACCTCACCATTCCAGAGTTTCCAGGTTCTCCATCCATCCATCCATTCATCCCACAGCACAGTGACCCTTCCCCACCTTCAGAGCCGCCCTGGAAGCCCCCAGCAATGCCCCTCACTCACTACTCCATGACCATCACCAGCTGGGTGGGCTCCTGGAAGGCCTCCAGGCACTGCACCAGCCGTGGGTGGTGCAGGAGGTTCATCAGCTCCACCTCGGCGCGCGCCGCCTGCCTCTCCTTGGCCGTGCGCGCTCGGAAATATTTCCCAGCTCGGATCCTGCCCGTGGCCTTCTCCTGCAGCCTGTACACCGTCCCAAACTTCCCCCTGGGACAGAGGGAGAGGAAGGATGGAGGAGCCACCAGCAGCACCAGGGCTGTGCATGGACAGCCAGGGCAATACCCAGGGTGGGACACAGGAGCTTCACTCACTCCCCGAGCTTCTCTAGCTGTGTGTAGACATCTGAAACCTTGTCCTGGCTGTTGATGACCACGTCATGGTGTTCAAAGGGCTCCTCAGCTCCTGGGGGATGGATTAAGGTGGGCCATGCAGGGATTCCCCCCTGTCTGCCCCACCAGTGATAATTTCTGTGTCTCCCCTGCTCCATCTGGAACCAACCACCCACCCAACACAGTGTGAATGGCACCACATGGGGAGGACATGGGGACAGGAGCTCCTGGGACAGCCCAGCACCTTGCAAGTCAGGTTTGGGGTGAAAGGTGCTTTTAGGATCAAAACCCCAAGAGAAATGGGGCCAGGATGGGACGGGGATTGGTGCTGATGGGGGAATGGACAGGGGTCACACCATTGCTGGGGTTCCCTGTGCCTCTGCTGTACCTTCTTCCTGGGACATGGTGGTGCCACTGGCTCCTCACAGGGTGCTGGCACAGTCAGGATGTGTCCCCTAGGCTGGGACAGGTGATAGTCTCTGCTTCAGCTGCTCCCTGGGGCTCTGCACCTTCTCCCTGCCACAGGAGACCACCGGCACCACTCCACCAGCACCCACACTCCCCATCCCCCTGATGGACCCAAAAGAACCAAGCCAGATTTTAAAGCAAGGCCCCTTTTTGGATGGGGACAGCCCTCCCCAGGCTCCAAGGCGATGTTTTTCCCATGCACTGTCTTACATCAGGCAGGAAATCCCCAGGAAAGCCTCACTTGTAGGGCAAAGGAGCTGCTTCCTTACACGCCCGAACCCAGAAGGGTGGGGGAGACAGAAAATGACACCCAAAGGTGTCAAGCAATGACACCCAAATCCCAACCCAGGACCCCCAGCACTGACCTGGCACTGTCCAGCCCCTCCTGCAGCTCGCTGCCCTTTCAGTCACTGCAGAGCCACAAAAGCTGGGGAGAGAGGGAAGGAGGGAAGGGGCGATGCTGGAGGCTGAGGAACCACAACTGGAACCACAAAAATGGGGATATCTCGGGGTCCAGCTGGGAGCATCCCTCCCACTCCAGCGCTGGGAGCAGCCCTGGCTGTCCCCTCCCTTTCCTTCCCAGCACAGCGCTTCCGGACGGACGTGGGGGATAAACAACCCCCAGCAGCCTGAGCTGTCCCCAGATGCTGTCCCCAACGTCCCCTTTGGGTCCCAGGTCTGCAACACAGAGCTGTGGAACCCCAGGGCAAGGGGGAATGCAGAGAGCTGACCACACAACAGAGACCCCCAGCTCTGCCCTCCCAACCTCTGTGCAAGATTTGGGGGCTCTCACAGGTTAAATCCACATATTTAACCCTCTCAAAAGTTAAATCCACAGCCTGGGGGATAAACAACTCCCATCACCTACAAGCTGTCCCCAAACCCTGTCCCCAATATCCTTTTTGAGTCCCAGGTCTCCAACACAGAGCTGTGGAACCCCAGGGTGGGGGGAATGCAGAGAGCTGACCACACAGCAGAGACCCCCAGCTCTGCCCTCCCAGCCCCTGTGCAGGATCTGGGGCCTCTCCCAGGTTAAATCCACAGCCCACCACAGATTTAACCCTCTCCCAGATTAAATCCACAGCCCACCCTGGGGGATAAACAACACCCACCACCCATAAGCTGCCCCCAATTCCCCTTTTGGGTCCCAGGTCTGCAACACAGAGCTGTGGAACCTGAGAGACTGACACACCTCAGCACACAGCGCAGCAGAGACCCCCAGCTTCACCCTCCTAATTCCTGAGTGGGATTTGGGACCTCTCCCAGGTTAAATCTACAGATTTGACCCTCTCCCAAGTTAAAGCCACAGCCCCCGCCCCTGTCCCACCCATGGGTGGGTTCCTGCAGAGGGGCTGAGCACCCACAGCTGCCCCCCTGGCCCTGCTCCACCTGCAGCCAATATCCCAGCCCCGAGTTTTGGCTTCCCGGGAATGCTCCAGGTGAATGGGGAGTTACAAAACTCCTCCTAGCCTCCAAAGTGGGTGATTTAAAGGAAAAATGTGTTTCCCAGCTTTTATCCTCCAAAAGCAGCAGCGTGCAGCCGCTCTGTGCCCGGTACTGTGGTTTTCCTGGTTTGCCCAGATTTGAAATGGGAGGAATGCCGTGATTTCCTCCCGGAGCTGAGTCCAGACGCGGGGATCAGGCAGTGGCACCTCAAAGGGACACAAAACCCCTGGGGACAGCGGTGGCACAACAGGAGGGTCACCTGGGGTTACCTGTGTCCGCAGCCCCTCTCGGGGACCTTTGGGACGTCTCCAGACTCGTCCCAGCGCCGCTCCCAGGCTCGGCTCAAAGTCCACCGGCTCCGGCAGGGAGTAGGTGACAAATGTCCCCAGGGCAATGGCGGGGTCACCGCGAGCTCGCCGTGCCTTTGTCACCGCGACCTTGGAGCCCGGGGGTGTCCCAGTGTCACCCCCGGGGATGCGCGGATGCTCCGGGCTCGGCGCTCGGCCGGACCCCGCTGCGATGTTATCGACTGCGGGGACACGGGGGTGGCCGCGATGGGGACAGGCGGCTGGAGCACGGCTGGGTGCATCCCGGAGCCCCGGGGCACGGCGAGGCCGGGCTGGGCAGCTCCCGGTGCACCGGAGACAGCCCCGGAGCGAGAGCGATGCCGGCAGCCGCTGGATGTCAGTGTCGGCCTGATGCCGGAGAAAGGAGCGGAAAAAGAAAGATTTGGGGTCTGGGGGGTGTGGGGAGGGCTGGGAGCACCCAGGTGCTGCGGGATGTGCCGGGATGGAGGGGAATCCCTCGGGGGATGGAGCATCGCAGCCATGAGACAGCAGCAGCTGCAGGGATCGACAGCAGATCAATCCTGTCTCGTTACCGACAGCTCCATTTACCGGCCCTGTCCCACCCCTCTGCCTCCGGATTTGTCCCCTCCCTTGTGCCTTAACCCCTTCTCCTTGTGCTCTATAAAATGAATGAATTAATTGAATTAATTAATCATTAGTAGTCACACCAGGCAGCCATGTGTGGTGCTTTGGGGGTCAAGGTGTCCCCATCTGCCCAGAGATTCCCCCAACCCCAAACCCACTCGTGCTGCCTATGGGGTGCCCACCAGACCCCCCCAGTTCACCCCGACGCCCCCTGCATCCCCTCCTTCCCCTTTGGGCTCAGTCAGGACCCTCTGGGCAGGTTCAGCTGCCTCTGTTTTCTGTAGGTCCCTCAATAAACGGTGTCACCTTGGTGCTGAGTGACAGCAGGAGGGACAGGGTCACATCAGTGGCTGTCTGTCTGTCTGTCTGTCTGTCCTTGAGCCCCTTGTGCCTGAGGGAAGGGCTCGATGGCCTCAGAGGGACACAGTCCCTGTTCCCATCACTCAGAAGGGACATTGTCCCTGTTACCATCACCCAGGGGTGGCACAGTCCCTGTTCCCATCACTCAGAGGGGACACAGTCCCTGTTCCCATCACCCAGAAGGGACATTGTCCCTGTTCCCATCACCCAGGGATGGCACAGTCCCTGTTCCCCATTTCCCCAAGATGAAAGACTCAGCACATGTGCCAGACGTGCATGGGGACATGGGTGACATGGGGACATGGAGGGCACCATGGACTTGAGGGGCACATGAAGGACATGAGCACAGGAGACACCATGGGCATGGGGACACAGGGGGGTAGTCAAGGGACTTAGGGGGACCAGGGGAGCATGGAGGGGACACAGGGAAGGTAGCGGACACTGGGGACAGGGGGGGACATGGGAGCCACAAGGGCCCGCAGAGGCCATGGAGCAGATGGAGGGATGCAGAAGACATGCAGGGGACAGGGGACATCGGAGGGACACAGGGGACATCGGAGGGACACAGGGGACATCAGAGGAACACAGGGGACGTCCGAGGGACACGGGAGGGGACATGGGGGCACATGAGGGACTTCAGGGGGACACCAGAGGTGGGGACAGCAGGGACAGCCCGGATGGAGGGACAAGGAAGCACAGGGGACCTGGAAACGTTGGGTGACACGGGGGCACACAGAGGGACATGGGAGGGGACATGGGGGGACACGGGGGGACTCCATGGGGACACCAGCGGTGGGGGCACCAGGGACAGCCCGGATGGAGGGACATGGGGGCACAGGGGACATGGGAAGGTCTGGGGACACCTGGGGGACATGGGGGCACACAGAGGGACACGGGGGGCACATGGGGGGACACGGGGGGACTCCAGGGGGACACCAGAGGTGGGGGCAGCAGGGACACCCAGGATGGAAGCACAGGGGACGTGGCAAGGGGTGGGGACACCCGGGGGACACAGGGGCACACAGAGGGACACAGTAGGGGACATGGGGGCACACGGGGGGACTCCAGGGGGACACCATGGTGGGGACACCCCGGATGGAGGGACAAGGAAGCACAGGGGACATGGCAAGGTTTGGGGACACCTGAGGGACACGGGAGGGGACACGGGGGGACACGGGGGGCGGGGCCAACAGCGGGGGGGGCGCCGCTGGTGGGCGGGGCCGGCCCCGCAGGCGGTGGGGGCGGGGCTATGGTGGTGGGCGGGATGTTCGGAGCACGGCTTCCGGGTTGCGCAGCGATGTGGGCGTGGCCATGTCCTTGTTGGGAAATGTGGGCGGGGCCAGGCGGAGCGCACGTGTGCGGCTCTGGCGCCCCGCAGCGCTCGCGGGAGGGGGAGCGGCCGGGAACTGGGAGCACTGGGAACACTGGGAACACTGGGAGTGATGGGAGTACTGGGAGTGATGGGAGCACTGGGAACACTGGGAACAGTGGGAACACTGGGAGTGATGGGAGTGATGGGAACACTGGGAACACGGGGAACAGTGGGAATACTGGGAGTGATGGGAGCACTGGGAACACTGGGAACAGTGGGAATACTGGGAGTGATGGGAGCACTGGGAACACTGGGAGCACTGGGAACACTGGGAACAATGAGAGCACTGAGAGATGGATGCTGGGAGCGCTGGGAATACTGGGAGCTGGATGCTGGGAGCGCTGGGAGCACTGGGAGCTGGATGCTGGGAGCGCTGGGAGCACTGGGAGTGTTGGGAGCACTGGGAGTGCTGGGAGTGCTGGGAGATGGATGCTGGCAGCACTGGGAGTGCTGGGAGATGGGAGCGCTGGGAGCATTGGGAGCTGGATTCTGGGAGTTCTGGGATGGCTGGGAGCACTGGGAGTGCTGGGAGCACTGGGAGCTGGATACTGGGAGATGGGAACACTGGGAGCACTGGGAGCTGGATGCTGGGAGATGGATGCTGGGAACACTGGGAGCGCCGGGAGTGCTGGGAGCATTGGGAGCTGGATACTGGGAGATAGGAGCACTGGGAGCAGTAGGAACTGGGTGCTGGGAGAGCTGGGAGTGCTGGGAGCACTGGGAGCATTGGGAGCTGGATACTGGGAGCGCTGGGAATCGAATGCTGGGAGCACTGGGAGCTTTGGGAGCGCTGGGAGATGGATGCTGGGAGCACTGGGGGCTGGGTGTGTAGAGCTGGGAGCGCTGGAAACACTCGGAGATCAGTGCTGGGAATACTGGAATTACTGGGAACTGGGTGCAGGTGCTGGGAGCACTGGAGCTGGGTGCAGGCTGCGGGTGGAAATGGGAGCGCTGGGAGATGAGTGTTGCGTGCTGGAAGTCATGGCTGATGCACGGTGGGAGCGCTGGGAGGAGAGAACTGGGAGCTGTGGCTGATGCATACTGGGAGCACTGGGAACACTGGGACCCGGGAGTTGGGACAGGGAATGCTGGGGGATGGATGCAGGATACTGGGACAGGGAATGCTGGGGATGGATGCGGGGTGTTGGGACATGGAATTCTGGGATGCTGGGATGTGGAATTCTGGGGGATGGATGCCGGGAGCTGCAGATCTGGGTGCCGGCAGCTCAGTGCTGGGTGTAGGCACTGGGAGTTGTGGTGGCTGCTGGGAGCTGGGGTCAAACCCCGTTCTGCAGGATCAGGCTTGTGCAAACATCCATCGCCCCAAAATTATTCCTGACAGCGTGGAAAGGGTTGTGGCACCCTGGCTTTGGGAGGACCCAGAGGTGGCAGTGCTCAGCCAGACACGTTGGGTTGTGGAGGAGCTAAAATGTGGCTGGAAAAGACCCAAACACACGGCAAATAAAAATAAATCAATCTGGATCTCTAAAGCACGGTATCTCTGGCACCAGCTCGGGAATCAGCCTGTGCCTCTGTGGGCTTGGCTGATCCAGCTCCTCCAGGCAGCCCCGGAACCCTGGAGCTGCTCCTGCAGGCCCAGGAGGGTGCAGGGAGTCAGGGATGGGCTGAGGAGAGCCCTGGGGAGGGGGATTGACTCTGCAGCCTCACAAAAACCCCACAAAGTGACAAATAATGGCACTTCAGAGAGCCCACGGTGGCCAAAGGCACGGAGCTGGGCTCAGAGATAAGCACAACGCCCCGAGGGGTTGGTTATCAGCTTTATCAGCAGCCCAGGGTGTTCCTGCCTCATCCAGAGCCCTGCGGGCTCCCCTGGTGCTGAGGGAAGGGAAGGGAAGGGAAGGGAAGGGAAGGGAAGGGAAGGGAAGGGACAAAACAAAACAAAACAAAACAAAACAAAACAAAACAAAACCAAAAAACACCCCCCCACAAAAAAAACCCAAAAAACCAAAAAAAAACCAAACCAAAAAAACCATCCCCCTTTGTCGTTTTGTAACATCAGAACTTCATTCCAAAGGCTTCAAGTGGCTGCTCAGGCTGATTCCCTGAACTGTTCCTTCCCAAAAATCACACAGGGACAGGGACAGGGCCCAGCCTGCCCCAGAAAATGGGAGTTCAAGACAACCAACTTTGAAGGGACAGACATTTTAGGTTGGTAGTGAGAATTTTTTGAGATTTTTATTCCTTTTATTTACAAACTGTATTGCTTATTTTTGCCTTTTACATGCCCTGATCCCCCAAGGACACATTCTCTTACAATCCCTGACTGAACTCCCCTGTCCACACCCCACAGGGCTCAGCCAGCAAAGGGCACAACCAGTGGGGGAAAAATCCCTTGAAATCCTTGGGAAAGCTCCTGGACTTTGCCTTGTGGGTCACTTCTCTCCTTGAGACGTGAGATGGAGGCCAGATAAGCCTGGGAGGAGCCCTTGGGAGAGCTGGAATTGGGCAGACTGGTGATTTTAGGGGAGAATTGTCACAAACCGGGTGATTTTGGGGGAGAACTGTCACCCCCTGAGCACACCGAGCTCCCACCGTGCTGAGGGGACATTGTGGTCTGTGTCTGCTAATTGGGATCCATCTAATTGCCATCTCTGGGTGCCAATTTTGATCCTGATCTGTGGCTGCTGCTGTTGGAATGGTTCTGGAGAAGGACAGAGCATTAGGGAGTTAAATTCAGACGGCTGAAGAGAAAGGCACCCTCATCTGGGGCCCTGAGGCTCTGGGGTCACCCCCTCGATCCAGGCCCGTCCCTGAGCAAGGCCTCGGTCTCTGGGCCGCCCCGGCCGAGCAGCCCTCAGGGCTTTCGGTGTCGCCATCCCGGCCAAAACCCTCTTCCCGGAGCCCCACGGGCCCTGCAAGGCCCCCCTGACGATATCAAGGCCTGAGGGAGGCCTCCATGTTCGGTGTTCGCTGTCCCGCCCCCGCGGCGGAACCGGGCCCGGTTCCTCCGCCTCCCGCCGTGACACAGCGCCCGCCACGTGCGGCCGCGGGGCATCCTGGGGCGGCGAGTCCGCAACCATCCCGGTCCCACTATCGCAATGCGCTGGTGGACTGCAACCCCCATAATGCCTCGCGGTGGAAGAGGCACCGCCTTTTCCTGTGCAAATCGCGTTTCTATTGGCTTCGCCGAGCCGTCACGCAGAGGCACGGCGGCTTCTGATTGGCTGGAGAGCGGCGGAGCCGGGACGGCGACTATGGCGGCCGGGCGGGCGGAACGGGAGCGGGAGCGGTGCCGCCGCCGCCATTTTGTGTGTGAGGGGCCGGGCCGGGCCCGCTCCCGTCCGCGGCCCTGAGGCGGCAGCACGGGCGGCCCAGGCGGGGCTCTGTCCCGCGAGCGGAGCGTGGGGCCCCTAATGGGAGGCGGTACCGCGGCGCCACCGTCAGCGCTCCGGGAGCGGAGCTCACGGAGCTGAGCCGGTGGGGTGGAGGAGCCCGGCCCGGAGCTCTCCGGCTGTACCTGCGTTACTGGGCGGGGGCTGGGGTTGTTTTTCGATCAAAATTAGCGTTAAACGGTATCTGAAGATTTCTCATGGCCGCAGCCCGATCTGGTGCGGGGCTGGCCCTGCCTGAGCCCCGTGAGGAGCAGCGAGGGGAGGAACAGCGCACCTCTGAGGGAAATCGGGGCTGGGTGTGCCGGGGTCCCGTCCCTCACACCCCGCGGGTTGGGTGGGGGGGAGATCATCCCTGATATTTATTTAATCCTTTGTTTCACACATTTCAGCCAAAGCCCGCGGGGTTCCCGGAGCGATCCCGGCCGGATCCAGTGGATTTCAGCTAACATGGCCTCCCCGGCGGGGAGCTCCGAGACTCAAAAACAAAAGCGTTCGGTTGTTGCCAGGGCCCGGGGGAACTTCTCGGGCGGTAACAAACGCGACCGACCCGGGCTCGCAGGGAGCGATGCCCCTCCGGGGCTGGCCAAGCACCTGCTGCGTTGTTTACCCCGTGCAAAGTCAAACCCCAGCTCTTTAAAAACTAAAAATGGCTTTTTTTGGGGGGGGAGGGATTGAGCTGGCGCAGCCTCCCCGCGGTTCCTCAGTGGAGCTCCTGTTGCCAGCCCTGTTGCTGCCTCGATAACACCGGCTCATCCCCTGGTATTTGTGGGGCTGGGTTTAGGTTTAAAACAGGGAGATTTGGGAGCCTTCTGCTCTAAGTGTGGATTGTGCTGTCAGACGTGGGTCAGCCAGTTAAAACCAGATTATTTTACATTTAGGCACTTGGTGGGTGGGGTGTTGTATTTTTCTCCTTTTTTTTTTTTTAATTGTATTTGTTGTTGTGACTCTGCAGATGTTGCTTTAGCAGGTCCTGAATTCCAAAGCATAATATGGAAAAGTGATGGCTGCCCCAGCCCTGGAAGTGTCCAAGGCCATGTTGGGCAGGGCTTGGAGCAACCTGGGACTCTGGAAGGTGTCCCTGCCTATGGCAGTGGGGTGGAACTGATCTTTAAGGTTCCTCCAACCCCATCCATTCTATAATTCCATAATATTTTACATCCCAGCTGCATTTCCAAGGCTGGGAGTTTTACTGTGTGTGTCTTCAAATGCTTGTGACAGCTGAAAATGCCATTTCAAGCTGATTTTGTCCAACTCATGAGGGTCACACTTGGTTTGAGCTGTGAGCTTTGCACCTGCCCAGGTGTCACAGGGTTTGTGGGGAGCAGAAGGGGAACAATCCCGAGGGGCTGGAGCTGCCAGGTTTTTTGTTTCACCAAAATGCCACTTGTGTCATCCAGAGTCACCAACATGTCCTGGGAAGGTGGAGACAGTGAGGGGAGTTGGGGCAGGTGAGGTGCCCAAGCTGTGCGCTGGGTGTAACTCTGGCATAGAAGGAGCACCAGGAGTGACCCCAAGGGGCTGCTCAATCCCAGGGCAGGATTTGGGGCTCACCTCACCCCAGCAGACACTTCCTCCTTGGATTTGTGGTGTTTCCAGGGATCTGCACCGCTCCTGTCCAAAGGGAAAGGCCATTCCTGCACATGAGGTGGAGCAGTCTCCATTTTTGTGTTGGTGCTGACAGAATTTCAGCCCTTTCTTCTGAAAACAAAAGAGGGTCTTCCAATGCTCTGTGTTCCCAGGTGCCCCAAATCCAGTGTTAGTGTTCCCACAGCCATGGAGCCCTGGGGAAGTGATTGCTGCCTGTCCACAGAATCATGGAATGCTTTGGGTGGGAAGAGACTCTAAAGCCCATCTCATACCACCCCTTGCCATGGCACCAGCTGCTCCAAGCCTGGATTTGGACACTCCCAAGGATCCAGGACCAGCCACAGCTGCTCTGGGCACCTCTGCCAGGCCCTCCTCACCATGGCAAGGTTGGCACTGGATGGTCTTGAAGGTCACATCCAACCCAAACCATTCCATGATTCTGGTTGCAAGCTGAGCTGTGCCAGGCTGATCCCGCTGCTGTGGCTCTGTGCTCACACAGGTGAGCTCCAGTCAGGAGTTTGTGGCAAACCTTGGGATGAGGAGCTCCCTGCCCATTACTGAGCCACTCAGAGGTTCCAAAGGTCCCCAGATGTCCCTGGTCTGTGTCTGCAGGAGCTGCACTGAGCCCTTGGGATCAGGAGAAAACACCATGGAATAAAGCAGGAGAACTTGGTGTGGGTAGAGGAGGTTGGAGAGTTGATCATTATGGTCCTTTTAGTTGGTTTGTTTGCTTTGGATTTTTCTAAGTTGTATTTTTAAAAATCATTTGCAGAGAAAATATTTATTCCAGGGACCTGAACCTGACAGGGTGTGGGGTGAGTGGTTGAGGGCAAAACCTGAGAATATCCCCTTGGATGGAGCTTTTCCCACAAAACAGGTGCCGGGAGCTGCATTTCACAGAGCTGGGACCATCAGGGACCCCGTGAGGAAACGCCTCTTGTGGGAATCGCGGACAGAAAATCGCTCTGCAGGGGAACAAACGGCGGGGAAGCATCGGGCCGGAGGAGCAGGGGGGCTCGGCCCCATCGCAGCCCGCAGGATCCCGCACATCATCGCTGTCCCCTCCCCGGCGCTGCGGTGATGTCATGGCACAGGGAAGGAGCTCCCGGGCCCTTGAGCAAGTGGCCCTGGCTCGTTTCCTTCCCCCCGCCGTGCCCGGAGCTGGATGGGGGATGGGGGGCACAGAAATCGCTGTAATTCCCCCTTCCCCCGATTTTACACCGCCCTATCTGCGCTGGGGACATCGCTGTGCTCTCCCCCTGAACACGGCTGGTTTTCCCCCGTGGAGCCGCGGGGGTTTGGCCAGGCTGGGGTTAAACCTGGTGGGACCGTTCCAGCCCCGAGCCGATCACACCGGGCCTGCCTGGCAGTGCTGGGACAGCCCCGTCCCCATCGGGATCTGTGGGAATGCCCAGTTCCCCAATTCCCCCATTCCCGGGCAGCTGCCCGGGCCTATCCCGGCTCCTGCTTTTCCCAGAGAACCGGGATCGCCGCGTCCCCCTCCCCTGCCCTTCCCAAGCCCTGGGTTTTGTGGAAATGCCCAATTCCCCCATTGCTGGGCAGCTGTCCGGGCCCATCCTGCTTCTGTTGTCCCCTGAGCGCTGGGACAGCCCCATCCCCTTCCTGAGCCTTCGGGTTTTGTGGAAATGCCCATATCCCCCATTCCTGGGCCCATTCCGGCTCCTGCTGTCCCCAGAGAACTGGGATAGCCCCGTCCCCTTCCTCTGTCCTTCCCCTCCCCTTGGGTTTTATGGAAATGCCCAATTCCCCATTTCCAGGCCGATCCCGGTTCCTGCTGCCCCCGGAGCTCTGGGACAGCCCCGTCCCCCTCAGGTTTTATGGAAATGTCCAGTTCCCCAATTCCCCCATTCCCGAGCAGCTGCCCGGGCACATCCCGGCTCTTGCTGTCCCTGGAGCGCTGGGACAGCCCCATCCCCCTCCGGTTCTGTGGAAATGCCCAATCCCCCATTGCAGGGCAGCTGCCCGCGCCCATCCCGCTCCTGCTGTCCCCCGAGCCCTGGGACACCCCCGTCCCCTCTTCTCCCCTCAGGTTTTGTGTGAATGCCCGATTCCCCCATTCCTGGGCCCATCCCGCTCCTGCTGTCCCCGGAGCTCTGGGACAGCCCCGTCCCCCTCCCCTGCCCTTCCCAAGCCCCTCGGGGTTTATGGAAATGCCCAATTCCCCCATTTCCAGGCCCATCCTGGTTCCTGATGCCCCCGGAGCGCTGGGACAGCCCCATCCCCTCCTCTCCCCTCAGGCTCTGTGTGAATCCCCGATTCCCCCATTTCCAGGCCCATCCCGGCTCCTGCCTCACCAGGTCCAGCTTTCATCACCTCCCAGCCCCATCCCCAACTTCACCCCTTCATGCACCTTTTCACCCCCCCAAAAAAGCTCCAGGCTCGGAGCTTCTCCCTCCTCCTCCTCCTCCTCCTCCCCCTCTCTCTCAGGTGCAGCAGGAGGGAGGTTGAGCCATCGCCTTTCCCTCGTCAGCCATTTCAGAGGCCAAGTGCTGACTACCAAAACTTTTCCTTGGGTTGCTCCAAAACTTTAATGTTTTTCTTCTCACTTGTAGCTTTAAGTATTTTTTTTTTTATTATTATTATTTTGGGGCAGTTTTTGCCCAGATTTCAGTTAATGACCTGGATTCCTGCACAGCTGCTGGGAAACAGAGTCAAGTTTAAGTGAGCCTTAGGCAAACAGAAAGACTTGAGGCTACTCCTACTCTGTGTCCATCACACACCATTTCACCCCCCCTTCCAGGTACTTTTAATTATTTCAGCTCATTAAGCAGAATTAAAATTGAAAATAAATAGGGGAAAATAATAACAAAAAGGGTTAAGCGGGGAATTACAACTAAGTTTAATCAAACAGTTATAACAGGATGAAAATAATCCAGGATGTATTCCCTGGTGGAATGCCATCCTGATTATTTTCGAGAAATCACACCAAAACTATTACAGTTACAAGTAATTAAATTTATTAGACCTCTGTATTTTTTTTATAGTCAGTTTTGGCCAATTTACAGCTTTCCTGGGGAATTTTTTTTCTCTTTTTTGGTTTAGACACAAAAAAAAAAAAAAAAAAATCATAAACCAGATATCACCAATACATCAACCCCCCCCTCACCCCATCACAGCCACCTAAAAAAGGGGGAGCCCTCGGCCCACCCAGCTGCAGTTTAGCCCGTAAAAAGGGTCCGCGGCGACTCTGTACAAGGACCGAATGTTCCACCCAGCACTGTAAAAACCCCCCCGCGCCCCCCCTGGCCCAGTGTCACTCCCCCGGCTTGCAGGGGCCCTTTTCCTGCCGGGGCAGCAGCTCCTGCTCCCGCAGCAGCCGCAGGTTCTCGGCTCGCAGCCTGTCCACCTCCCGCTCCAGCGCCTGCACCCGCGCCGGGTCCGCCGCTTCCCCGCTGGCTTTTTTGCTCTCCATCCTCAGCCGGTTGTTCTCCTCCTCCATGCGCGACAGGCACTTCTCCAGCTCCAGGTACTCCTTCACCAGCTCCTGCTTGCTCATGTTCTGCAGGCTCTCCACATGGTACCGCTCGTAGGTCTCCGAGAAGTCCCTCTGCAGAAACTCGCTGCCGTCCCCCCCCATCCCGTCGCTGCCCCCGTCCTCGTCGGCAGCGTCGTCCAGGAAATCCTCCTCGCTCGTGTCGTCCGACTTGGCGGCCGCTCGCCGCGGGTACAGCCCGGTTTTCAGGTCGGGCTCCTCCTGGTCATGGTCCTCCATGAGGAACTGCGTGGTGTTGTAGGGAGCCACCGGCTGCCCCTTGGCGAACATCTCCGCTCGCAGCCGGGAGGCGCGGAGGCTCTGCCGCTCGTCGAACTGCTGCTTCTCCTCCCAGCTCAGCTTCGAGTACGGCTTCCAGCGCCGCTTCTTCTTCGACGGCCGCCGACGGTGCTTCTTCTTCACCGGCCACTCCTCGGTGCGTCCCACGGCCCGGTACCGCGGGCCCAGGCCGGGACGCCCCGCTCCGCCCGCCGGCGGCCGCCCCTCGGCGCCGCCCGCCGCCGCCGCCTCCGCCCCGGGGGGCGGCAGCCGCCCGGCATCGCCGTCCTCCGTCGGCGCCTCTCCGCGCTCGGGCTGCGGCTCGGGCTCGGACTGCGGCTCCGGCCGTGCCTCGGGCTCGGAGCGAGGCTCCGCTTCGCACTGGGGCTCCGGCCCCGGTTCAGCGGGCGCCGCGTCGGCCATAGCGCTGCGCTCGGCTACGCTCGCTGACGGGCGCTACCGGCGCCGCATGGGGGCTGGCCCCGCTCAGGCCGCCCGGGACATGGCCCGGGGGAGGTTTAACGCCGCCGGGCCCGCCTCCCCGCGCGCACTGCACGCGCCGCCGCCGCCTCTCCCGCCGCAATACCACCCCACGGCCCAACCCGCACCCGCCGCCGCCCGCTCCCGACTGCCTCTCCTCGGCCGCGGCCGCTCCCTTTATAGCCGCGCGCGCCCCGCCCCGCCCGGCGCAGGCGCCCTGCGCGCCCCGCCCCGCCGCGCGTTGGGACCCGCCCCCGCCGCGCGCCCCGCGCCGCCGCCACGGCCCCGAGCGCGCGGGCGGTGCCGCCTCTCGGCCAATCAACGGGCGCGGGAGGCAGGCCGGCCATCCAGGACACGCCCCTGGCCGTTGCAGGGACTGGCCACCATTGGCCGAGGTGGCCGTCACTCTTCCGCGGCGCCACCAATCGCGAAGGGGAGAAGGCGGGACCGGGCCATACCACGAGGCGGGGGAGTCCCCGTGCGCGGGGCCGCGCGCGCTCCGCGACCTTCAGGCCCGCGCTGAGGGCAGCGCGCGCGGCACCCCCACGGCGGGGCTGTGGCACGGTCCGAAAAGAGTCCCCGCGCGGCGGAGGTTCCGCCGGCCGTGCTGCGGCCCCGGGCCCGGGGGGGTTGTACCGGGCCGAACCGAGCCAGGCTGGGCTGTAGGGGGGGCCGGGAGGGCTTCCGGGGGTGCCCGGGCCCGGGGGGGAAGGGGGCGAGCGGAAGGATCCCGGCACTGTGTGGTGCAGGCCGTGCTGCAGTTGGCGGAGGGAGATGTAAACAAACCGAAGCGGAAAGAAGTCCCCTCTTAAAGGCGCCGCGTCCCTTTTGGCAGGGGCGGTGCGGAGCCGCGCTCCCGAGGCCCGGGGGGTGCGGGGGGAGGGGCACGGCCAAGGAGGGGGATGGGGAGCCCTCGGGCCTTGTGCCGGTCCCGGTACCGATCCCGTTCCCGGCCCTGCCACCCCCAGCCACGGTGGCCATGTCCCCCTCGGGCGCCACGTTCGGGGGGGGCTGGCGGGGTTTGGGGGCCCCTCTGAGGGACACAGGGCGGGGGGAGCCGTGTGGGGGTTCCGTGCCTGAGGGGGAGCAGCACAGGAGGGCCCTGGGGCAGCCGCGGCCTCACGGGGGGAGGAACCCGCGGGTGGAACCCGCCCTGCCCAGCCCCGCAGCGGGCACCCCCTCACGGACGTCCCGGGAGCCCAGGGGCTTCCCGAACAGGGCCGGTGGCACCGGCCCGATGGCACCCTCAGGGTGGGCACGGCACCCGGCTGGGGGACAGCCTGGGGCCTGGGGACAAAGCTGGCCGGGGGGACAGGGCGGCCACGGCCACCTCCAGGGACAGGGGGACAGGGGGTGACCAGGCAGGGACAGTGGCCAGGCCGGAGCGTTGGGCCGCGCTCCCCTCCCCTGGCAGCAGGGCACAGGCAGCGGGGCTGAACCGAAAATGCGACTTTAATCGAGGCAGGCTCGGTGCTGTCCCCGGTGAGGCCGGGCCGGGCCCGGGGCTGCTCCTGCTCCGGCTGTGCGTGGCGGCGGCGGCGCGGGGCCCGGTGCTGGCCCTCAGTGTCGGTGCCGGTGTCCCGGTGGCTGCTGAGGCGGTTCCCGCGTGGCTCCGTGCGAAGCGGGATGGCGAGGAACGGTGGCGGTGGCGGTGCTCGGGGGTCACCTCTTCCTGCCCTGCCAGTGGCGCAGCAGCCACTGGGTGACGAAGGGCCAGGTGGCCAGGAAGAGCAGCGTGCGTGGGGACACGGGCAGGCGCCACCGGGACACGGCCTGGCCGGGGGAACGGGGACAGAGGTGGCACCGATGGCAGCGAACACACCCTCAGCACTGCTCGGTGTCCCGGTGACATCCCCCCTCCTGTGTGCATGCCTGGCTGCGTCCCCATGGATGTCACCTGCTCCCCAGCTGTGGTCCCACACCCCCGTGGGCTCAGGTGGGCAGGGGGACAGCAGGGCCACCCACAGCACGTCCTTCAGCCCCAACTCACCTGTGGAGCGAGTGCCAGGCCAGGGTCTGTCTGTCCCTGCAAGACAGGAGAGGGTTTGGGGGGCAGCTGGGGTGGGCACCCCCTGCCAGCCCCTGGGAGAGGGAGGGAACGGCTGGAGAGACCGTGCAGAGATCAGAGGGGGCAGCTGGGCCGGGAGCATGGGGACAGAGGGAATGAGGGGCAGGAACGAGGGGGAAATGGGAATGAGGGGGACAATGGGAATTGGGGGGCAGAGGGAATGAGGGGGAAATGGCAATGAGGGGGGAAACAGGAATGGGGGAAATGGGAATGAGGGGGGCAGAGGGAATGAGAGAGCAGAGGGAATGAAGGGAAAACAAGGAATAAGGAGTGCAGGGGGAATGAGGGGGTCAAATGGGAATGAGGGAGCAGTGGGAATGAGGGGGAAACAGGAATTAGGGGGAGAATGGGAATGAGAGGGACAATGGGAATAACGGGGGCAGCAGGAATGAGGAGGAGCAGTGGGAATGAGGGGGGAAATGGGAATGAGGGGAGTGGTGGGAGTAAGCCGGGCAATGGGAATCAGGGGGAAACAGGAATGAAAGGGGGGAAACGAGAATAAGGGGGCAGTGGGAATGAGTGGGGCAGGAATGAGGGGAAAATGCGAATGAGGGGGGCACTGGGAATGAGCAGACACTTGAAATGAGGGAGCAGTGGGAATAAGGAGTGCAGTGGGAATGAGGGGGAAACAGGAATGAAAGCTCAGTGGAACTGAGGAGGACACTGGGAATGAGGGGGCATTAAGAATAAGTAGAGCAATGAAATGAGGGGAGCAGTGACAGCGAGGGACAGCCCTGCCTCCACCGTGGGCAGGATCAGGTCACCACCAGCCTCACCCCGCCAGGATTTGCCACCACCAAGCGCCGGGGTGTCCCCACACCGTGTGGCAGGGCCCGGAGCCGAGCCCAGCTCTGTCCCAGCTCTGTCCCAGCGCTGTCCCCGGCCGTACCTGGGCGGCCCCGAGCGTCTCCAGGCGGCTGAGCCGCTCCCGCACCCGCCGCAGCTCCTCCTGCAGCGCCCGCACCGCGCCGGCCACCTGCGCCTCCAGCTCCCCAGGCAGCCGGGCATCTGCGGGCACAGCCACGGGCACACGGCTGCCAGGGCACGCTGGCACTGCCCGCCCCGCGCTGGCACCCACCGGGGAGCAGTGACACCCACGGGGCACCTGCCCACCCACAGGATGTCCCCAGGGCCGTGCACCGCTGTGACACTGCCTGGTGGTGGCAGTGGGTACTGTGGGTCACACCTGGTGAAGGTGCCACCATGGGGCAGGACACGGGCAGCTCCTCCCTGGCCGTCCCCGTGCCCAAATCAGGCTGGCAAACCCTGCATAATCCAGGCGGGGAGCAGGACACAGGCAGGGACTCACTGCCAGCCCTGGGGACAAGTTCAGTGCCAAGGTCAGGCAGCCCGGAAGGGAACAGCAACAGGGGAAAGGGTGAGACACGTGGGCTGTGCCAGGTGAGGCAATGGCACCAGTCCCACGGGTCAGGGTGGCAATGCCACCCCAGAGTGTCTGGGGACAGCACAGAGGGTGCAGTGGCACAGCTCAAGGCCTGGTGGTGCCCAGACAGTGCTGGGTGGCATCAGGTGAGTGGCACTGCTGTCCCCAAGGCCTCCAGAGCACAGGGAGCAGCTTCCCCCCTGCCCTGCTGGGCACAGCTCACCCTTGGCACCACCCACACCCAGAGGACAAGGGGCAGGAGCTGGGCATGGTGAACCAGGGCCCTGCATCCCCCAAACTCAGACAATTCTGTACCACTGCAGGAAATGGGCAAAGGAGGGGCTGAGCTGCTTGGGGATGCACACACAGGACACTTGTGGCTTCCTTCAGCTTCTGAGCACCCCCCAGCTGTGGGTGCTGGAGCCAAACTCAGCCCCTCATGCCCCAGGCCAGCCCATGGAGGTGGCAGCAGCAGGAGGGGGCACAGGGACAAGCTCTGCACCCACCTGTGTCGGAGCCCAGGGCTGGCAGGTCTGTGCTGCTGCTGCTGCTCCCCTCGGCTCTTCTGCCTTCGCCCCGCTCGCCCTGCCCAGCACTGAGAGGCTCTGGGGGCTCAGCCCCAGCCTGGGGGCTCTTTGGGGGGAGCCCCTGCACCTGCCCAGCCTGTGAGAGGGGAGAGAAGGGCCCTGAGACCCCAATTCCCATCCCAGGGCAGGGGGGCAATGCCAGGGCAGCAGTGCAGGGCTTCTCTTGGGGTGGCATTTTTGGTGGCATTTCTGGTTTGGGAGGTGACATCTGAGGGGAGTGAGCGCCCAGATTTGAGGTGGCAAAAGAGTGGGGGGTTTCCTTCTTCCTTCCACCAGACCCACAGGCTTCAGCATGGCACCAAACGTGGCAGGGTGGTGGCACCCATGTGGTGGAGCCTCACCACAGCAATGGGGAGGCTCCTCAGCATCCCCCAGTGACAGGGACACGCTCCAAGAGTGACACAAAGCACAGAGAGCTGCACTAGGGTGTCCCTGAGGCTCCTCAGCATCCCCCAGTGACAGGGACACGCTCCAGGAGTGACACAAAGCAGAGAGAGCTGCACAAGGGTGTCCCCGCTGGTTTTATGAAGCTCCCAGGTGGGTGCTGCTGTGCAGAGCAGGGGTGGCAAAACCTCCAGCTCTTCCTCCGTTACCTTCTCAGGCTCCATCTGCTCCAGGGTGTCACTGAACGTGTCCCCCTCAGAGTCACTCGTCACTTGGGTCACTTCAGGGCCTGGAGCCAGCCCAGGTCCTGGAAGGGAAGCACAGGGCTGAGCCCAGGGCAGGGCAGGGGTGCCCAGCTGTGTGGAGGGCACAGCTGGGACAGGGGATGAGCATGCCCAGGGTGAGGCTGGAGAGGGAAACTGAGGCACTGCAGCTCTGCTCACGTGGCCATGAAGCCAAGGACTGAATTCCCCTTTCTGCTGCCCACGGTGTCCCACTGGCACAGCCCCCAGGGCAGCAGTGGCACAGGCAGGGACACAGCCCAAGGCTGGCACACTGGCACTCGCTCTGTGACCATATTTGCTCCTGGGGAAGGCTGGAGCAGCAGCAGGAGGAGGAGGAACCTCCCTGCAGCACCCTGCCCACCGCAGGGCACAGCCAGGGGCCCTCGAGGGGGCACAGCGAGGCAGGGCTGAGACAAAAGCCAGGGCTGAGGTGCCACCAGGGCTTGGTGCTGTGAATCCCAGTGCCAAGGAAGCTGCAAACAGGGCTTGAGCCACGGGAGAACATCCCCTCGTGGATCAGGGACCTTCCAGGGTGGTATTTCCCAGCCCAGGGGGCACCAGCCTCCCCTTGTCCCTGCAGTTTAGCAGATCCTGGCCCCTCTGCACAGCAAAGCCAACCCCACAAAGCCAGTGAGAGCTGGACCTGTGACCTGGGCAGTGCCCAGAGCACCCAGGGCTGGGGCAGAGGTGCCAACAGCTCCATGCCCCAGCCCTGGTTGTGCTGCACAGGGCTCTGCCAAGGCAGGAACACCAACCTGGCATGTGCTGCTGCCCTGGCAGGCTGTCCCTGGGCCTCTCTGGAGCTGGGCTGCTCTCTGTGCCATCCTGGCTGGTGCCATCCTGCTGTCCCTGGCTCTCTGCACAGAGGGAAAGGCACAGCTGGGTCATTTGGTGCCCTCAGAGCTGCTGTCCTGGCTGGGCTGGCCGTGGAAATGCCAGGGAGGTGCCAGCAGCTGGCAAGGGAAGGAGAGGAGCCAGGAACCCACCTGGGCTCACCCTGTGCACAGCACCCTGCTCACCCAGGGCTGGTGGGGTGTCCCTGTCCCCAAACCCCTGGGGCAGCAGGCAGAGGGTGAGTGACAGTGACAGTGCTGTCCCCTGGCAGTGCCCACAGCCCAGGGCACAGCCACAGTAACAGAGCCCACGGCAAGAGGTGCTGGCTGGAGGAGCCTTGTGTGGCCAGCAGCACCCCAGAACCTGGGAGAGAAACACCCCACAAATCTGGGCCAGCAGCACCCCAGGGACCTGGGAGAGCAGCACCCCAGAACCTGGGCCAACAGCACCTGAGAGGACCTGGGCCAGCAGCACCCCAAAGATCTGGGCAAGCAGCACCCCAAGGACCTCAGACAGCACCACCCCAGAACCCAGGCCATCAGCACCCCAAGAACCTGGGTCAGCAGAACCCCACAGACCTGGGCCACCAGCACCCTAAAGACCTGGACCAGCAGCACCCCAAGATCTGGGCCAGCAGCACCTCAGAGATCTGGGCCAGCAGCACCTCAGAATCTGGGACAGCAGCACCTCAGAGATCTGAGCCAGCAGCACCCCAAGGACCTGGGCCAGCAGCCCCCTGAGAGGCCCTGCCAGCCCCCAGCCCCCCTGGCACCCAAGGGGTTAATCCCAGCCGGTTTCCAGCAGCCCCCAGGACTTTGCTCCCTGCTCCTGGGCAGGTGTGTGGCAACGCTGCCCTGCTGCTCCTTCCCTCACTCTGCTGTCCCTGCTGTCCCCAGCCTGTCCTCGCCATCACAGGGACACTGAGGGGACAAGGCAGCTGCACCCCACACAGGGGCAGTGCCACTCCTCCCAAATCCTCCTCAAATTCCCCAAATCCTCCTCCCCATCCCCAGATCCTGCTCAGGGCGTGCTGTGACCCACAGAGTGTGGCTGCTGTCACCTCCCAGGGCACCAGGACAGACCTGGCCTCAGCCACCACATTCACCAGGCTCTGGAGACCTGGTGGGACCTGGATCCATCCATGGTTTGCCTTCCAAGTGCTGCTTTATAATTTTATATACTTTATAGATAAATAACCAAACCCAAAGCTGCCCAGAGCCCCAGCTCTGTGAGCTCTGTCACACACAGGGACACCAGAGCCACACAGAGGGACAGAGTCACACAGAGGGACACCAGAGCCACACACACAGGGACACCAGTCACACACAGGGACACCAGAGCCACACACAGGGACAGTCACACAGAGGGACAGAGTCACACAGAGGGACGACAGAGTCACACACACAGGGACACCAGAGCCACACACAGGGACATACCAGAGTCACACACAGGGACACCAGTCACACACACAGGGACACCAGAGCCACACACAGGGACACCAGAAGCTGCTGGAGGCACCTGCCACGCTCCACACCCTGAAATTCCCTTTCTGCTCCACCACAGCTGTGATTGCAGGGGCTGAAGGTGATTTGGGAGCCTTTAACACAAATGACTCCACACCTTGAGGAGCTCAGGGCTTTGCACCTCAGTTCCAGCCACCTCGGGCTGGTTGCGCCACCAGGTTTAGATTTAAGTGACAATGTCACCTGTAAGGGACACTCCAAGTGGATAATGACCAGTTTAGGCACAGTTTTTGAATTTCAGAGGAAAACCAAGTCTGCCTTTTAAAGGGGTTCAGCAGCAAAATGGAGAACAAAGCACCTGGGACACAGAGGGACACTGGTGTCACACAGAGAGACACCTTTGTCACACACAGAGGGACACCTGTGTCACACCAGTGTCACACACAGGGAACTAGTATCACACATGGGGACACCTCTGTCACACATGGGGACACTGGTGCCACACAAGGAGACAGCAGTCTCACACAAAGGGACAGCAGTGTCACAGACAGGGACACCTCTGTCACACAAGGGGACCAGTGCCACACAAGGGGACACCTCTGTCACACACAGGCACACCAGTGTCACACATGGGGACACCAGGGTCACATCAGTGCCACACAAGGGCACACCAGTGTCACACACAGGGACACCTCTGTTACACACAGGGACAGCAGTGCCACACACAGGGACAGCAGTGTCACACAAGGGGACACCTCTGTCACACAAAGGGACACCAGTCTCACACAAGGGGACACCGGCGTGCCCAGAGAGCCTCTGGCAGCAGCAGCAGTGCCCCTGCAGGGTCTCTGGGATGCTCTGTGTCCCCACCGTGTCCCCTCGGGGCCAAACGGGACCCGGTGCCGGTACCGGTGGCAGCAGGAGGGCAGCACCGGGGGCAGCACCGGTCCCGGCCGCACTCACCCGCTGTGCTCCCGAAGAAGGCCTCGGGGGGCCGGGGCATGTCGTGGATGACCTCGTAGAGCGGCTCGAAGTAGCGGAACATCTCCCGCGTGCTCTCGTCCATGGGCACGGTGTCAATGACCTGCGGAGGCCGCGGCTGGGCACGGGCACCGGGCGGCACCGGGCACTGCCCGGCCCGGCCCCGCCGCCCGCCCCGGTACCTTCTGCGCCACCTTCTTCATCTCCGCCACGTACGCGGCCATCGCCTCCTCCTTGGACATCGCGCCCAGGCTGTGCCAGGCGTCCCTGCGGGGCCCGGGCCGTCAGCGGGACCGGAACCGGACAGGAAACGGAACCGGACCGGAGCGGGACCGGAGAGGAACCGGAGCGGGAGTGGGACCGGAGCGGGAGTGGGACTGGACAGGGACAGGGACCGGGAGCAGGACTGGACCCAGAGCGGGACCAGAACTGGAGCGCGACCAGAACCGGAGGGGGAGCGGGAAGGGGACCGGGACAGGGATCGGGACCGGACCTGGAGCGCAACCGGAGTGGGACCGGAACCGTGACTGGACCAGAACCGGAGCGGGACTGGGACCGGGAGCAGGAGCGGGACCGGGACCGGGACCAGACCAGAACCGGAGCGGGACCAGAGTTGACCGGGACCGGAATCGGAGGGGGAGCGGAACTGGACCAGAACCGGAGCGGGACAGGAGCAGGACCGGACCCAGACCGGAACAGGGACTGGGATCTGGAGCGGGACCGGACCCGGAGCAGGAGAGGAACCGGGACCGGACCCGGAGCAGGAGAGGGACCGGGACCGGGAACGGACCCGGATCGGAACCGGATGGGGAGCGGGACCGGACCGGAACCTGAGCGGGAGTAGGACCAAGACCGGGACCGGGAGGGGGACCGGGAGCGGGAGCGGCCCCGGACCGGAACCGGACCGGGAGCGGAGCGGGACCAGAACCGGAGCGGGACTGGGACCGGAGGGGGACCAGAGCGGGACCGGGACCAGACCGGCTCTGGACCCGGACCCGGACTAGAACCGGAGCGGGACCGGGACCGGGACGCCCCCCTTACCACTTGTAGCGGCCGATGGGGTCCCAGAAGCCGGGCCGCGGGCCCTGGCAGCGCCCCGCCGTCGCCTGTTTGTAGTAGCTGTAGAAGCGCAGCATCTCCTCGTACGAGGGCCGGTACGCACCTGCGGGGCACGGTCAGCGGGGCCGCCCACGCCGCGCCCGCCCGGCCCCGCTCCCCGCCGCTACTCACCGCTCCGCGGCAGCCCCTGGATCACCTGCACGGCGGCGCGGAACTGCGCCCCGCAGCCCGGCTCCTCCATGGCGGGACCGGCCCCGCACCGGCCCCGCACCGGCCCCGGCTCCGCTCCCGGTTCCGCTCCCTCTCCCTCTCCGTGCGGGGACACGCGCGGCCAATCAGAGCCTGTCTTACATCGTCTTCCCAGCACCTTACCCAATCAGCGCCCTCTTTACATTGGCCCCCTCCGCGCCGCGACCAATCAGCGCGCGGCTCCAGGAACGGGCCCCTCCCGGCGCTGCGCTGCCGGCGCCCCCTGGCGGCCGGAGCGGGAAGTGCACGGAGAGCGGGGATGGGAGGCGCCGCCTGGCGGGGACAGGAGGGACTGCAGGGACAGGGACAGATGGACAGGGACAACGACTGGGACAGAGGGACAGGAACAGGGACAGGGACAGGGGGATAGGGACAGAGGGACAGGAACAGGGACAGGGACAGGGGGATAGGGACAGAGGGATGGGGACTGAGGGACTGGGGGGACAGGGACAGGGGGACAAGGGGATAGGGACGGGGCAGGGACAGGGGGATGGGGACAGTGGGACTGGGACGGGGGGACAAGGGATAGAGGGACTGGGACAGGGACAGTGGCATAGCAGGACAGGGACAGTGGGACAGTGCACAGGGATATTGAGCCGGGACAATGAGAGTGCACAGGGACAGTGGGACAGCGACAGACAGGACAAGGACAGTGCCCAGGGACAGTGCACAGGGACAGGGGACACTGACATGGTGCCTAGGGACAGTGCCCAGCCCCCTGGAGCACCCAGGCTGTGCCCAGGTGTGGAGCCCCAAGGCCAGGCTGGACATTGGGGCTTGGGGCACCTGGGACAATGTGAGGTGTCCCTGCCATGGCAGGGGTGGCACTGGGTGGCTTTAAGGTCCTTTCCAACCCAAACCATCCTGGAATTCTGTGACAATCATCCAGGATCCTGGGGGCACATGTGGGGACACTGGGGCCATGCACTGTGACACCAGGACACTGCAGTGGGGACAGGGACAATGGAGCCAAAGGTGCCAGGGGAAGGGACCAGGGACTGGGACACTGCACTGGGATCTGGAACAGGGCACTGGGATCTGGAATGTGGAACATGGCACTGGGACAGTGCCACGAGGCCACCGGGCAGGAGAGGGGACAGCTGGGTCAGGCAGAGAATTGTTAATTATTACCCAATTGGATCCACTGTTCTTTTATTCACTGGATACTTTTAACCGCTGTTAATTATTATCCAACTTCATTAATTACGGTAGCGAGGAAGGGGCAGAATTTGGGGTCCATGAGGGGTGAACCCCCCTGCTCCAAGGGCTGTGGGGACATGGGGACATGGGGACAGGTGTGACCTGGCAGAACAAGGTGCCCTGGGGGGGTGGGAGGTCCTGGGATGCCATGGAAGGTTCTGGGGTGCTGTTGGAGGTTCTGGGATGCCATGGGGACCCTTTGGATCCAGCCTGGCCCAGGATGCTGGAATTGGGATGCAGAGCAGCTTTCAGCATCCCTGTTTCATCCTTGCCTCCCACTCTGGTTTCCCAACCTTAACCCCACCTCCAAACCCCAAATCCAAGCGGGTCAACACCTCCCAAACCCTCCTAAACCCCACCCACATCGCCTGGGGATACATTTCCTTTACCAATTAAAGACAAATAAAGAAAAATAAATAAATTATAATAATAAAAAATGAAACAAAAGTAGTAAAATCTTTTAACGCCCCGGCCATTTCCCAGCTGTGACTCAGGATTGCTGCGCTGATTCACGGCACTCGTGCTGTGCTATAATCGGCCGGGAATGCGAGCCCGGGTCCCGCGGGATCCCGTCCAGGCCGGCAGAAAACAGAAACGGCAGAGCCAGGGAGGGGAGGGACCGAGCCGGGATTTGGGATTTGTTGTGCCCTGGGGTTGGGGGAAATGAAACAGGAAAGCCTTATAAATATGATTGCCTGGCAAAAGATTTTGAGAATATGGAAACTATAAGTGAGACTGAAATGAAAGCAAGCTTTGAGATGCCTCAGTTACTGAACAACTGGAAAACAATGGCATGGCCAGCTGAAGGTGATCCCCTTTTGATGGAACAACACCCTCTGCTTGCAGACAGGCCCAAGGGTCAGAGCAGACCCTACAGCTTGGCAGAAGGGGCCCAAAGAGGAGTTTTTAGGGTTTTAAATGTAACACAGGATGGTAATGTAATGATTCTTATGGGCTGTATGTAAATGCTGTAGGATTTGTATCTTGTACTGGATTGGTTAGTGAGAATCAGAATATTCAACACAGAAGATTTATGGTATTGGAATGGGAACCTCGCTCTCTTGCCCTTTTGCTCTCTCACCCTCTCATCCTCTCTCCCCCTCTCTTCTCTCAGCCTGCTCTGAGCTGTGTTTGGCAGCTCCCAGCAGGGCCCTGCACCCAGGCCCTTTGCAATAAACCCCAAATTCCAAACCTGGCTGCAGAGATCTCTCATCTCCATCCATCCTGACCATGCTACCCCTCATCAATCCTACACCGTGGGGTTTTTGCAGGCAGAGGTGTTTATCCTGCTCATCCCACCCTGATGAATTCCTGGCAGGAACAGAGCTTGCAGCAAAGCCCACTGATGTGGTTTGAAATTGCATTTTTGGGGTGACTCCGGTGTCGCCCGGTGTCTCAGTTTGGAAAGACAGGAATCTGCTAACTGTGAAAAGCGCCAGTCACTTGTTTTTAAAATGTTTAAAGTTGAATAGTAATAAAATGGTTATAAAAATAGGAATACAGTTAGAGTAATAATAATTTGGACAAATTGAATTAGGACAATATGAGACAATAGAGACAAAGTCCGGTACCTTTTTCTGAGCAGCACGAGCCCGAAAAAGGATCCATGTTAACAGAGGATTAACCCTTAAAAGCAACAGCCTGTTGCATATTCATACACTTCATACATGATGCATAAATTCCATTCAAACACAGGATTCTGTCTGGTCATCATCAACTTCTTCCTCTGAATCCTAACAGCGCCTTCGAGGTGGGAAGAAGTTCATTTCTTCTGATAATGGAGCAATAAATTCTTATTCTCTGAAAGATTCAGGTGTCCTGTGGCTGCTATCTCACTGCAAGTCCTTTCTTTAAAAAAAAACTATCCTACATAGCATAGTTTCTATTTTAATATTTTTTATAACCTAAAACTATATTTAACACAGTACTTAAGAGAATTAATACAGCATTACTTTCTAACACAACACATATAATATTCATTTGAATATTTGCAAAAAAACCAATCATAAAATACACAATTTTCACACTAAGGCAGGCAGGAGCCTCCCCTGAAATGGAGAATGTAAACCCTCCCCACTCCTCTGAATTGCTGTAAATTTTAAATTAAGGGGCTCTCAGGCAAAAATATGGGAGCAGGAAATAACAGTTCTTTAATAGGGAAAAGGAAAATAAATAAAAGGATAAAATAAACACTGCAGTGCACCAGAACAACACCGACAGAGTCAGAACCCAGCCCGACACCCTGTGGGTCAGGGTGTTGGTGGCAGTGCCATTGGAATTGTGGCTCAGCCCTCCTGCAGTGTCAGGGCTGGTTCTGTTGGAGCAAGGAGGATCTGCAGAGAAGGATGTATTCTTCCTCTGAAGATCCAGTGGAGGAAGAGGCAGCTGCTGTTCCTCTGGGGAATCCAGTGCAGAAAGCCATGCTGGTGTCTCAAACCCTCTGGATTATATCTGGGCAGCAATGCTTGGCTCCTCCCTCTGGGCTCACATCTCCCAGTGGGATGTTATAGTTCTTATCAGCCATGCAGTGACATTCAATAGCTGTTATCAGCAATGTCCCCTCCCAGGGAGGTGTGAATGTGGTCACTCAAAGAGAGAGATAAGGCAAACTGCCCACTTGACAAAGGTAATCTGTCATACAGATGGTAATGGAAAACATCTTGCATTGCAATCTTCAACACCCTGTCCCCAAAGTCTTCATGAAGAGCTTTATCCCCCCAAACACAGCCCAGATGTGTCCCCAGCTGTCCAGATGTGGCAGGAGCCGCCCAGGTCTGGAACCACAGCATAAAACTCTGTCCCAGGCTGCTCAGGTGCTGTCCAGATGTCTCCCTGCATGCACAGATGTTGCTCTGGGATAAGCAGAGATTGTCCCAGGAGCTCCCAGTGGTTGCTCTGGGTGCCCAGATGTTGCTCAGGACACACAGACATCACCCAGGGTGCCCAGATGTTCCCTTAGTATCTTCCAACACCCCCCAGCGTACCCACATGCTGCCCTAAGAGCCCAGATGTCACCCCAGGATACTCAGGTGTCACTCCAGATGTTGCCCAGATGTTGCCCAGATATTGCTCCAGCCTGCCTTGCTCTCGGGGGCCTCAGGGCAGGCTCAGGGTGGGCACAGCAGGAATTTCCCCATGGAAAGGGTGCCCAGGCCTTGGGAAAAGCTGCCCAGGGAGGTTTGGAGTGCCCATCCCTGGAGTGTCCAAGGAATTCCTGGATGTGGCACTGAGTGCCCCGGGCTGGGGACAAGGGGAGGGGTCAGGCACAGCCTCGATGATCCCAGGGGTCCTTCCCACCCTAAACCCTTCTGGGGTCTGTGTGAGTGTGGCTGAACACTCACACTCACACTCACACTCACACTCACACTCACACTCACACTCACGGCTCTGGGACTGGCACCTTCCGGTTCATTCTGCTGCCCCTCCTCGGTGTCCCCTCACTGGGGACAGTCCCCTGGGTGTCCCCGGGTGTCCCTCTGCTGGTTAGCCCCGGTCAGCCCCGGTCAGTCCCGGTCAGCCCCGGTCAGCCCCGGTCAGCCCCGTTCAGCCCCGTTCTCCCCGGTCAGCCCCGGTCAGCCTCCGTCAGCCCCGTTCAGCCCAGATCAGTCCCGGTCAGCCCCGTTCTCCCCGGTCAGCCCCGGTCAGCCCCGTTCAGCCCCGGTCAGTCCCGGTCAGCCCCGGCCAGTCCCGGTCAGCCCCGGGCCGGCACAAACGGTTAACAGAGCCCGGCTGCCCCGTGGCTCCTCCCGGTCCCTCCCCGCGGGCCGGCCCCGGTCACGGCCCGACCGCCCAGCCCCAGCCCCAGCCCCAGCCCCAGCCCCGACCTCCGCCACCGCCCAGCCCGGTTACACCGGCCGGGGACACCGGGAGCGACACAACCGGCCGGGACACCGGGAGCACCGGAAGCACCGGGAGCACCGGAGTCCCGAAACACTCCCGAGACACCGGCGGTACCGGGGGTACCGGGGATCCCGGGCCATGATCTGCGGCAGGAGGGCGCGTCCCGCCGCCGAGCAGCTCCGAGCCCCGTCCGACGGTGCCGGTGGCTCCCGCCGGCCCGGGAGAGCCCTGAAGAAAATGGGTGAGTCCGGGGGGAACCGGGCAGGAACCGCGGCGGGGATGGGGCAGGGGGGTCCGGGAGGGTCCCCGAGGTTGTTGGGGACCCCTGTGACAGGAACAGGTCCCCATGGCTGGGATGGGTCCCCAGGGATGGAAGGGTCCCCCAAGCAGGGAGGGATCCCCAAAATATCTGCGCATGACCCCGGCCATTGGGGGACAGCAGGGTCGGGGTTTGGCCACATCACAGGTGACAGGAGCCCCCCTGTCTCAGGGCATTTGCTGTCCCCAAGGCTCGGGTGCCACTCCCCAACACCGTGCCTCAGTTTCCCCTGGCACAGGGGGCACAGGGGGCTCAGCAGGGTCAGGGGGGTCCTGAGAGGAGCAGGAAGGGGCAGGGCTGGCCCTGTGCCCCCAGCTCTGGACATGGGGCTGTGTGTCTGGAGCTGCGGAAGCTCCGTGTGTCTGTGTGTCTGTGTCTGTGTGTCTGTGTGTCCCTCTGTCCCTGTGTCCCTGTGGCTGTGTGTCCTTGCACTCATCTGTCCCTGCACCTCTATATCCACACACCCACCTGTCCGTCTGTCCCTGCACCTCTTTATCCATGCATGTCCGTCTGTCCCTGCCTCCCAGCACCCGTGTGTCCATGCCTGCCCTGGGCTGTGTCTGGGAGCACCCACCCCTATGTCCATGCATGTCCATGTGTCTGTCTGTGCGTCCCAATGCTCATGCGCCCACATTCCCACATGTCCGTGTGTCCTGCAGCAGTGCATCCATGTGGATCCATGCATCCCTGCATCCTGTCAGTGCATCCCTGTGTCCCCTGTGACTGAACACCTGTGTCCATGCACCTGTGCATGCACCCACCCTCCTGAATGTCCGTGTGTCTGTCTGTCCTTCCATCAGCAGATCCATGGTTCCGCACATCCCTGCGTCTCTGTATCCATCATGCACATGTCCTTGTGTCTGTGCACCCACACAGCTGTGCCCATGGATCTGACATTCCACATGCTCATCCCTGTGCCCACAGATCTGACATTCCATGTGTCCATGGATCTGATATTCCTGTGCCCATCCCTGTGCCCATGGACCTGTATCCATGTGTCCATCCCTGTGCCCATGGATCTGACATTCCTCGTGCCCATGGACCTGTATCTATGTGTCCCTACATGCCTGTGCCCACAGATCTGATATTCCTGTGCCCATCCCTGTGCCCATGGATATGACATTCCCTGTGCCCACAGACCTGACATTCCATGTGCCCATGGATCTGACATTCTTGTGCTCATCCCAGTGCCCATGGACCTCACATTCCATATGCCTACAGATCTGACATCCCATGTGCCCATGGATCTGACATTCCTGTGCCCACCCCTGTGCCCATGGATCTGTATCCATGTAACAATCCCTGTGCCCATGGATCTGACATTCCTGTGCCCATCCCTGTGCCCACAGATTCGACATTCCCTGTGCCCATAGATCTGACATTCCATGTGCCCATCCCTATGCCCATGGAGCTGTATCTGTGTGCCTGTCCCTGTGTCCATGGATATCTGACATTCCCTATGCCCATGGCACTGTATCCATGTGCCCATCTCTGTATCTATGTGCCCATCCCTGTGCCCATGTGTCCCCAGATCCCTGCAGCCCCATGTTTGTGTCCCCATGTCCCCATACCCTCTGTCCTGCACCTTGGGCAGGATGTGACCGTGCAGGGGGTGCTGGCAGCTGTGGCTGCATCCCCGAGGCCACGGTGGCTCAGGGTGTCCCCAGAGCCCCCAAACCACCCTTTGCCAGCCCAGGAGTGGAATCCCCATCCAGAGCAGGACGTGGCCACTGGAGGTCTTGGGAATGGCTGCCAAAACAAGAAAGGGAGGAAATAACCATGCTGAGAACAGATGGAAAAATCCTGGCTGAGTGAGGCGTGGGCCTGCCAGTCCCCCGAGGCCACCCTGTCATTGTTCCCAGCCTGAGCTGTGCTGCTGGCACCGTCCTGGCATTCTCCATGCAGGATCTGGGCAGCTTTGCTGGGATTTGGCAGCTGGGCTGTGTCCCTGCTGTGCCCTGAACAGCCTCACTGGGCTCCACAGGGGGCAAGAGCAGTGGCATGTCCTGTCTGTCCTCTCCTGCCTGTCCTGTCCCATCCCATCCCATTATCCCATTCCCATCCCCATTCCCATTCCAACCTGTTTGTTCCACCCCATCCCATCTGCTCTGTCCCATCCCATCTGCCTCATCTTGTCCCATCCCACCCTGTCCCATCCTGTCCTGTCACGTTTGTCCTGCCCACCCTGTCCCATCCTGTCCTGCCCACTCTGTCCCATCTAATCCAGTCTGCTCCACCCCCTCCTGTCCAGTCTTGCTTGTCCCATCTTGTCTCATCTTGTCCCATCTGCACTGTCACATTGTGTCATTCATGTCCCACCCCATCAGCCTCTCCGGTCCATCTCACCCTGTCCTGTCTCATCCCTCCATCCTGTCTTGTGCCATCCCATCCCATCCCATCCCATCCCATCCCATCCCATCCCATCCCATCCCATGCCATCCCTCCTCTCCCATTTGTTCCATGCCATCTCACAGGATACAGATGTGCACCCAGATGTGCACCAATCCCCCCCAGCCTGTGCCCCTCATGCCCTCAGAGCCCCCAGTGCCCCCAGAGCCCCCGGTGCCCCCCGTGTCCCCCGTGCCCGCGGTATCCCAGGGCTGTCCCCGCAGGGCTGACGGAGGATGAGGATGTCCAGCGGATGCTCCAGGGGTCGCTGCTGTGGAAGGTGAAGGCCCGGGGGGGCTCCAGGGCGCGGCTGTTCCGCCTGCAGGAGGACGGGGTCACCGTGTGCTTCGAGGGACGGTTCCGGCGCGCCCGCGCCCCCCGGAGCTGTGAGTGCTGCCACTGCCACTGTCACTGTCACTGTCACTGTCACTGTCACTGTCCCATCCCAGAGCTGTGAGTGCTGCCACTGTCACTGTCCCTGTCCCATCCCAGAGCTGTGAGTGCTGCCACTGTCCCTGTCACTGCCACTGTCCCATCCCAGAGCTGTGAGTGCTGCCACTGCCACTGCCACTGTCACTGTCACTGTCACTGTCACTGTCCCATCCCAGAGCTGTAAGTGCTGCCGCTGTCGCTGTCATTGTGCCATCCCCGGAGCTGTGAGTGCTGCCCCTGTCCCACCTCGGGGCTTGGGGACACCAGACACACCAGCTGCAGGGAACAGGAGCTGGGCATTGCCCCAGACCCATCCCTAAACCCCACCAAGGACCTGACCCTTACCCAGACCCCACCTGGGACCCCGATCCCAATCCAGGACCTCGTCTACAGCCTTGGGTCTGGATTCCCACACAGAATCCAGAGAGGGACATGTCCATGTGAGACCCAGACCCTAACCCAGACCCCAACCCAGGGCGCCCACCTGGAATCCAGACCCTACCCCAGGACCCAGATCCATTCCCAGCATCCAGAACCCACCCTGGATCCTGAGCACAGCCCAGTTCCCAGACCCCCACCCAAGATCTGGATCCCCATTCAGAACCCAAACCCCTCCCTGAGTTCCAGGACCCAGATCCCAGCCCAGGACCCAAATCCTCCAGTGAGAACCAAGGGATTGCCACTTCTGGGACGTGGAACTCCACAATCCAGACCCCACCTGTGCCCCAGATTCCTGCCTGGATCCCCACCTGTGACCTGGACTCAGACATCTCCCCCCCAGCCAGACCCCAGCTGAGGACCCAGACCCCAACCCTGCACCCCAATCCTGGGCTCCAGACCCTCACCTGAGCTGAATCTAACCCAGAATGGGGACCCCCACCCAATACCTGCCCTCCAGCACCGTTCACCCAGCGGCTCCCAGAGCCTTCCAGCCCTTCCCAGTGCCTCCCAGTACATGGAGCTGGGAGAGCCTCCACCCGTCCCCATCCCTGCGAGGTCCCGTCCCCATCCCGGCCAGACTCTGTCCCCCTCCCCGGTGTCACCCATCCGGGACGGGTGCCCGGGGCACGGCGGCTCCGTCCTCTCCCTGGCAGCGTCCCCGTCCCCATCCCCGCGGGGACAGCGGCTCCTGGCGCGCCTGGGATTAGCGGGATAAGCCCGGCAGCGGCACCGAGCGGGGCCCGGCCCCGTGCCGGGGGGTGTCTGTCTGTCCTGGGGAGGTGTCTGTCCTTCCCAGGAGTGTCTGTCATCAGCAGCCAGGGTGTCTGTCCATCCCAGGGGGTGTCTGTCCGTCCCGGGGGGTGTCTGTCCGTCCCGGGGGGTGTCTGTGTGTCAGCAGCCAAGGTGTCTGTCCTTCCTGGGAGGTATCTGTCCATCCCAGGGGCTGTCTGTCTGTCCCGCGGGGTGTCTGTCCGTCCCGGGGGTGTCTGTCCGTCCCGGGGGTGTCTGTCTGTCCCGGAAGGTGTCTGTCTGTCTGTCCATCAACATCCAGGGTGTCTGTCCGTCAGCAGCTGGGGTGCCTGTCCGTCCCAGGGGCTGTCTGTCCATCAGCAGCCGAGGTGTCTGTCCTTCCTGGAGGGTGTCTGTCCACCCCGTGGGGTGTCTGTCCGTCAGCACCTGGGGTGTCTGTCCATCCCAGGGGGTGTCTGTCTGTCCTGGGGGGTGTCTGTCCGTCCTGGGGGGTGTCTGTCCATCAGCAGCCGGGATGTCTGTCCGTCCCACGGAGTGTCCATCCATCAGCAGCTGGGGTGTCTGTCCGTCAGCAGCCAGGGGGTGTCTGTCTGTCTCGGGGGATGTCCCGCAGGATGCTGGCAGGTGTCTGACCCGCCCACTGTCCCCCCCTGTCCCCGCAGTCTCGGTGGCGCTGATCGAGGCCGTGCGCGAGGGTCGCCGCTCCGAGGGGCTGCGCAAGCACGGCGCCGCCTTCCCCGAGCGCCACTGCTTCAGCCTGGCCTTCAAGGGCCGCCGCAAGAACCTGGACCTGGCTGCCCGCGGGGAGGAGGACGCCCGGCACTGGGTGCAGGGGCTGGGCAAGCTGATGGGGAGGCTGCAGGCCATGAGCCAGATGGAGAAGCTCGACCAGTATCCTTGGAGGAGGGGTTGGGGACAGGGTGGGTATTGGGATATAATCCCAATATTGCTGGATGGAACGTGCCTGGGCTCATCTGGCCCTTGCTGCTTGACCAAGGGTGGCAGCTGTGGTGGTTTCACCTCAGAGACACCTTTGGCTAAGCTGGATGCTGCCGCTGGCACTTGGGACAAGTCCAGGCATGCAGGAGCTCAGGTTTACCTCTGGAGGGAAGGCTTTAGGTGAGGTGAAGGAAAAGGAAATGGGTCCTGCTGGAGGGTTTGGATCCAGAGCTTTATTCCTTGCCCTCAGGCCTCTGAATGCAGCAATGGCTCCAACAGAACAAGAACCGTGTGGTTGCTGTGTCTTTTAACCCCAGGGAGAGGGGCAGGGCAGGGGTAGGGATCCCACCAACCAGGTAAGGGAGGGGGTGTCTCAAGGGACAAATGACACCTGGATGGCCCAATGTCCCCAGGGCTGAGAGGCATCTTTTGAACTCTGCCAATCACACGATGCCCTTGCTGGCATATCGAGATTGACGGACAGCCTTCAGCAGGAGGCAATGGGAGGGGAAGGGAGAGGGTGTTGGCACACCTGGGAAAGGGACTGGAATAGCTGAAACAGGCTATCAGATCATACTGCAACAGGTGGGGATGGCTGTGGGTGACTCTGAGAGGTTTCCTTAGCTCGGTGCAGTTGGATCCACGGGGTCCTGCAACGAGCAGACAGGAACAAGGACAACAAGATGTCCTTCCGGGAGGTGAAGAGCATGCTGAGGATGCTCAACATCGACATGGACGATGTCTACGCCTCCAAGCTCTTCAAGGTACCTGAGCTGCACCACCCAGTGGCTCCTTCTCTGCATTTCCCAGCACAGAGAGCTGACAAACTCCTCACACCAAAGCCACCAAGGGCTGGGTCCCACAAGGAGCACGTGGTGAAGAGGGGTGAGGTGGGCTGAGATGTCCCAGCTGCTGTTCTGTGTGTCCCCAAGGTGGGACATTTCTCCTCCATGGAGAGCTGCTCCTCTGGGCATCTCCCACAGATGGACACGTGGATGTGTGGGTATAGAGGAACAAGGAGAGATGGACACATTTATGTGTGAATATAGAGGTGCAGGGACAGACAGACACATGGATGTGTGTGTGGATATGGAGGTGCAGGGACAGATGGACAGGTGGATGTGCCCATATAGAGGTACAGGGACAGATGGACACATGGATGTGTAGATATAGAGAAACAAGGACAGATGGACAGATGGATGTGTGAATATAGAGGCACAAGGACAGAAACTGAGGCACGGAGCTCTGCTCCGCTCCATCCCAGAGTGGGGGCTCAGGGGGCTCTGGCAGGGGGATCAGAGGGCACAGGACTCACCCCACTCACCCTGCCCACTCCAGGGACAGGCAGGACAAGGCAGGGGGTGGCTGTGCCCCGTCCCCACAGGCAGGGGACAGTCCCTGAGGCTGGGCTGTGCCACCAGGAGTGCGACCACTCGGGCAACGAGCGGCTGGAGGGCCGGGAGCTGGAGGAGTTCTGCCGGCGGCTGCTGCGGCGCCCCGAGCTCGAGGAGCTCTTCGGGCGCTACTCGGGCGAGGACCGGGTGCTGTCGGCCGAGGAGCTGCAGGATTTCCTGAGGGACCAGGGCGAGGAGAGCAGCCTGCGCCAGGCCCGCGCCATCATCCGCACCCACGAGCTCAACGACAAGGGTGAGGTGGGGGATCGTGGGGTGGGAGCTCATGGATGTAGGGATGGGGCTCTGATTTGGGGTATCACCACCCCAAATGGGTATGGGGTCCTCCAAGGTTTCTACACTGTCCTGGTGCCCATTCCCAGTGTCTGCCATCCTACACATGGCCTGGCTGGCACCTGGTGGATGTGACACCATGGGGACAGGGCATGTCCCTTGGGGATGGTGAGGATGGGCAGCAGGTGGACTTGACATCTCATGGGTGGTGTGATGCCAGCTCTGGCATGAATGTGACACTGCTGAGGGACTTCTGTCCTCCTCAGGTCCCACCATGGCAGGTGCAGGGTGAGCACAGCTCTAGGGGACATTATGGTGGGGATGGAGGAGCTCCATGTCACAATAGTACCCTTAAGGCAGATGTGGCACTGATGGAGGACATCAGATGGGAGATGGGACACAAAGGGGACCTCCCCTGAGTGCTACAGTGCCAGGTCTGGGGTGACACGGCACTGGGAGGACAGAGGGCATCAGGGTGAGGACAGGGAACTTTCACAGCTCATGGGTGTCACCATGCCACATCCAGAGTGAATGTGACACCAGCAGTTTGGGTGACATCAGGATGGAGATGGGACACACATACACGTCCCCTGGGTGCCACAGTGCCAGGTCAGGGACGAACATGGCACCTCCAAGTGACACCTGCCACCGTGTCCCACAGCCAAGCAGCAGGACCTGATGATGCTGGACGGTTTCATGATGTACCTGCTGTCGGCTGCTGGGGACATCCTCAACCAGGAGCACACCAAGGTGCACCAGGACATGAGCCAGCCCCTGAGCCACTACTTCATCTCCTCGTCCCACAACACCTACCTGACCCGCAACCAGGTCGGCGGCAGCAGCAGCACCGAGGCCTACGTCAGGTGTGTGTGTCCTGGGGAACAGGATGGGGACAGACGGACACGTGGATGGGTGGGTATAGAGGTGCAGGGACAGATGGACATGTGGGTGTGTGGGTATAGAGGTGCAGGGACAGACGGACGCATGAATGTGTGGATATCAAGTACAAGGACAGATGGACAGAGGGACACATGGATATAGAGGAACAAGGACAGATGGACGCGTGGGTGTGTGGATATAGAAGTACAGGGACAGATGGGTGGGAGGACACACAGCCACAGGGACACACGGACACAGGACACACAGGCACAGGGACACAGGGACACAGGGACACATGGACACACGGACACAGGGACATGGACACAGGGACACACGGACACAGGGACACAGGGACACGGACACAGGGGCACAGGGACACAGGGACACACAGCCACAGGGACACAGGGACACACGGACACAGGGACACAGGGACACGGACACAGGGACACACAGACACAGGGACACAGGGACACGGACACAGGGACACACAGACACAGGACACACAGCAGCTCCCGTGGCCCCAGGGCACAGTGTCTGACCGGTGCCGGTGTGTGCAGGGCGCTGCGGGCCGGGTGCCGCTGTGTGGAGCTGGACTGCTGGGAGGGCCCGGACGGGGAACCTGTGGTGTACCACGGGCACACCCTCACCTCCAAAATCCTCTTCCGAGATGTCATCGAGAGCATCCGCGACTCCGCCTTCGAGGTGAGACTGGGTGGGAGCCCTGGGGGTGCCCGGTGCCTGGTGCTGAGTGTGGAGTGTATGGTACCTGGTGCCCAGTGCCCGGTGCCCAGTGCCAAGTGTGGAGTGCCTAGTGCCCAGTGCTGAGTGTGGAGTGTGGAGTGCCCGGTTCCTGGTGCCCAGTGCTGAGTGTGGAGTGTGGGCTGCCCGGTGCCCAGTGCTGAGTGTGGAGTGTGGCGTGCCCAGTGACTGGTGCCCAGTGATGAGTGTGGCATGCCCAGTGACCAGTGTCCAGTGCTGAGTGTGGAGTGTGGGGTGCCCGGCTCCTGGTGCCCGGTGCCGAGTGTGGAATATAGGGTGCCTGGTGCTCGGTGCCCAGTGCCCGGTGCTGAGTATGGAGTGTAGGGTGCCCGGTGCCCGGTGCTGAGTGTGGAGTGTGGCGTGCCCAGTGCCCAGTGCTGAGTGTGAAGTGCCCAGTTCCCGGTGTGGAGTGCCCAGCACCCGGTGCCTGGTGCCCGGTGTGGAGTGTGGAGTGTAGGGTGCCCGGTTGCCGGTGCCCGGTACTGAGGGCTGCCCTCCCCATGCCCAGAAATCGCCCTACCCCGTCATCCTGTCCCTGGAGAACCACTGCGGGCTGGAGCAGCAGGCCACCATGGCCCGGCACATGAAGGCCATCCTGGGGGACAGGCTGCTGACACAGCCCCTGCAGGGACAGGACCCTCACGAGCTCCCCTCCCCAGAGGTAAGGCCACCCGTGTGCCACCACCATGGTGTCCCCGTGTCCCCTCTGAGCCCTGAGGTCGCACCTGCTCTCTGCAGCAGCTGAAGGAGAAGATCCTGGTGAAGGGCAAGAAGCTGCCAGAGCTGTGGCAGGAGCCACAGGGTGTCACCTCCCTTCTGGACCCCGAGGAGGAGGAAGAGGAAGAGGAGGAAGAAGAGGAGGAGAAGGTGCAGGAGAGAAGCCCACGGCGGGTGAGAGGCTTCCCCAGGGATGTGGTTTTGGGGGATGATGGAATCCTGGTGGACCTGATGGATCAGAGCATCCTGGTGGTGCCAGGGGGACCATGAGATCCTGGTGGTGCCAGGGGACCATGGCATCATGGTGGTCCTGATGGATCAAGCATCCTGGTGGTTTTGGGGTACCTGGTGGTCCTGATGGATCAGAGCATCCTGGTGGTGCCAGGGGACCATGGCATCATGGTGGTCCTGATGGATCAGAGCATCCTGGTGGTGCCAGGGCATCCTGGGGCTGTCCCAGCTGGGCACTGTCAGCTCTGCCATGCCCTCTGCAGCCCTGCTCTCTCCTCTTTCAGTCGCTGCAGTCGCTGCAGGAGATCAAACCTCTGCAGGTGGGTGATGCTGGAGATGGGGGGGCTCACAGGGTGGGTGCTGTGGGGGTGGTGAGTGGCTGTCAGAGGGGACAGAGCTTGGGGACCCCTCAGCTGTGCCTCCCTCATCCTCTTTCTGGGGTTTCCAACACTTTGATTTCTCTGTCACCTCAAGTTCTCCATCGTGTTGGGCCGTCATCACATCCAGGGTGACCTCTTGGGGTTGGCATCACTTTGGGGTCTCTGTTACCTCAAGTATTCCATCCTCTTGGGGTGCCCATCACCTCAGGGTCTCCAGCACTTTGGGGTCTCCCTCATCTTGGGTCTGTAACATCCCTTGGGTTCTCCATGACTGTAGGTTCTCAACCTCCTTGGGCTACTCCAAGCCCCTGGTCCATCAATTCCATTGCCTGGGGTTCTGCACCACCTTGGAGTCTCTGTCACCTCAAGTGTTCCATCCTCTCAGGGTCTCCAGCACTCTGGGGTCTCCCTCATCTTGGGGTCTGTAACATCTTGGGTTGTCCATCCCCTTGGGTTTTCCATGACTTTGGGTTCTCCATGACTGAAGGTTCTCAACCTCCTTGGGTTCCCCATCAGCCCGTGGTCCATCACTCCATTGCCTGGGGTTCTGCACCACCTTGGAGTCTCTGTCACCTCAAGTATTCTATCCTCTTGGGGTCTCCAGCACTTTGGGATCTCCCTCATCTTGGCGTCTGTAACATCTCAGGTCATCCATCCCATTGGGTTCTCCATGACTGCAGGTTCTCAACCTGCTTCGCTTCCCCCAAGCCCCTGGTCCATCACCTTGGGGTCTCCACTGCTTTGAGGGTCTCCATAGCCTTGGGACTCTCAGCACTCAGCACTAGCAGGGGAGGGGGTCTGTAGACCCTCAGGTGCCACCAAGGCCAGCTTGTCCCTGTGGCTCCCTCAGGCCAAGGACGCGTCGCAGGTGTCCCCGGAGCTGTCGGCGCTGGTCGTGTACTGCCAGGCTGTGCCCTTCCCCGGGCTGGCCCAGGCCCTGCGCCACCCCCAGCCCTGCCACGTGTCCTCCTTCAGCGAGAGGAAGGCTCGGAAGCTCATCAAGGAGGCAGGTGAGGGCCACCAGACAGGGACAGGGTGGCTCCTGAGGCACTGGGATGCAGGATGGGCTGGGAATGGTGGGCTCGGTCTCTAGGGTGGCTCCATGAGGGGTCAGGGCCCTGCTGGTCTCACCCAGGCTGCCCTGGATGGGTGGGACTGGGGTCTGCTGGCAGGGCCTGAGGCCAGGGATGGGGTCACACAAACAGGATAAAGGTCTGGGATCGGGATTTGGGATGTGGCATCTGGGTCCAGGATCTGGGGATGGGAATAAGGTCTGGGTCAGAGTCCAGAACTGAAATCGGGGGTCAGGGTCAGAATCTGAGGTCAGGGCCTGAGATTAAGATCTGAGTCAGATTTTGGGTGTTCAGGGTCTGGGGGCCAGGGTCAGTGTCTGGAGTCAAGGATTAGGATCTGGGTCAGGGCTTGGGGCTGGGAATAAGGTCTGGGTCAGAGCCCAGGGACTGAAGTCTGGGGTCAAGGGCTTGGGGTCAGGGTCAGGGTCAGAATCTGAGGTTAGGCAGGGCCTGAGATTAAGATCTGAGTTAGTGTTCAGGGTCTGGGGTCTAGGGTCAGTCCAGGGTCTGGAGTCAAGGATAAGGATCAGTGTCAGGCCATAGGCTTGAGGGTCTTGGTTTGGAGCCTGAGGTCCAGGGATCAGGGTCAGGGTCTGGGTTCCATGGTCAAGGTCCAGGGTCAGGGGTCTAAAGTCAAGGTGTGGGGCCAAGATCAGGATCAAGGGTCAGAGGTTTGGTGTCAGGGATCCAAGGTCAGGGTCAGGTTTGGGGTCTGGTTTCAGGATCATATGTCAGGCTGTCCCACCCATCTGGGCAGGCTCTGTCTGCGTCCTTGGGCCCCTCATCCTCTGTAGGGACCGCCAGCAGCCCCCTGAGCCGTGTCCCCCTCCCCAGGCCCAGCCCTGGTCCGGTACAACGCCCGCCAGCTCAGCCGCGTGTACCCGCTGGGGCTCAAGATGAACTCTGCCAACTACAACCCCCAGGAGATGTGGAACGCTGGCTGTCAGCTGGGTGAGACCCCAGTCCCCCTGACCTGGTACCCACCCCCGGAGGTGCCACCCACCCCTGACAGCCCGTCCTGCTGTCCCCACAGTGGCCCTGAACTTCCAGACGCCGGGATACGAGATGGACCTGAACGCCGGGCGCTTCCTGCCCAACGGGCGCTGTGGCTACGTCCTGAAACCGCCCTGCCTGCACTGCCCCCCCAGAGAGGGCTCCCGGCGCCTGGCCCTGCACATCAGGGTGAGGACACGCCACCAGCCTGTCCCCAGGGCCAGCTGAGTGCCACTCACGTCCCTGTGGGGTCACATCCATGATATTCCAATGGCTGTGTGGGTGCCACCTGCGTCTTTTCGCAGGTGACACCAACCCTGTCCCCAAATCCAGCTGGTATCAGCCATGTCCCTTCTGTGAGATGGCATCAGCCACCTCACTCCTCCTCATCCCATCCTGACTGTGCTACCCATGACACTTCTGGGGGACACCAACCCTGTCCCCAAGTCCAGCTGGTATCAGTCATGTCTCTTCTCTGAGATGGCATCAGCCACCTCCCTCTTCATCCCATCCCCACTCCTGGCTGGGTGCCATCTGCTCCCTTCTGGGGACACCACCTTGTCACCAGCCATGTGTCACCTTCTCCTGGATGGCATCAGCCATCTCCCTCCTCCTCATCCCATCCACACTCCTGACTATGCCACCCATGACACTTCTCCTGGGTGAACACCAACCCTGTCCCCAAATCCAGCTGGTATCAGCTATGTCCCTTCTCTGAGATGGCATCAGCCACCATGTCCCCAATCCCAGCCAAGTGCCACCCACATTCCTTCTCCTGAGGACCCAGCCACATGTCACTCATGTTCCTTCTCCTGTGTGGTACCAACCATATCCCTCCCCTTCACCTGATTCCCACTCCTGGCTGAGTGCCATCCCTTTCTGGGGGACACCACCTTGTCCCTTCTCCTGGATGGCACCAGCCACCTCCCTGCTCCTCATCCCATCCTGACTGTGCCACCCATGACACTTCTGGGTGACGCCACCCTGTCCCCAAATCCAGCTGCCGTCAGCCACTGGGTGGCATCACCCGCCTCCCTCCTTCCACCGTGTCCCCAGCCCCAGCCAAGTGCCACCCAGGTCCCTTCTGGGGACACCCACATGTCCCCTGTGCCCAGGTGATCACAGCCCAGCAGCTGCCCAAGCTCAACAGGGACAAGGGCAGCTCCATCGTGGATCCCTTCGTGCGCGTGGAGATCCACGGGGTCCCGGCCGACTGCGCCAAGCAACAAACCCACCACAAACTCAACAATGGTGAGTGGGGCCACCGGGGCACCCTGGGGACACCCCTGGGGACACCCTTGGGGACACCCTGGGCACCCCAAGGACATCCAGTTACCTGTCACAATGCCAGGAATGCCCAAGGACAAGCCAGGGTTCCTCAGGGCACCCTGATCCCTGCAGACACCCCATGGAACCCGATCTCCAGGGGTGCTCCAGGGACACCAAGGATTCCTCAGGGACACCCAGGGTTCCTTGGGACACCTCAGGGCACCCTGATCCAGGGACACCTTGATGCCAGGGGCACCCTAATCCCCGTGACACGGGTACCCATAGCCCAGCACTCACTGCCAGCAGGACCAGTGCCCAGCACACCCCAGTGCCCAGTATATCCCAGTATTCAGCACCCCCAGTGGCCAGTACATCCCAGTGCCCAGCTTATCCCAGTGCCCAGGACATCTCAGTCCCCTCCCCAGCACAGCCAGCTCCCCACCAATGGCAGTGTTCATCACATCCCAGTTCTCCCAGTGCTGCTCCCTCATGGTCCCCAGCACACCCAGCCCAAGCCCAGTGTGACCCCCATTTCCCCAGTATGACCCCATTCCCCCAGTATAGCCCCAGTATGAACCCCCATTCCCCCAGTATACCCCACCACAGCCCCAGTATGACCCCCAGTCCCCCAGTATGACCCCATTCCCCCAGTATACCCTGCCACAGCCCCAGTGTTACCCCCATTCCCCCAGTATGGTCCAGCCCAGCTCCAGTATAACCTCCATTCCCCCAGTATAGAGTCCCAGTATGATCCCACCCCTCCAGTCTGCTCCACCACAGTCACTGTACAACCCCCGTTCTCCCAGTATAACCCAGTCCAGCACCAGTTTGGCCCCCTTTTCCCCAGTATACCCCACCACAGCCCCAGTATGACCCCCATTCCCCCAGTACAGCCCCAGTATGACCCCCATTCTCCCAGTACAGCCCCAGTATGACCCCCATTCCCCCAGTACAGCCCCAGTATGACCCCCATTCTCCCAGTACAGCCCCAGTATGACCCCCTTTTCCCCAGTATGACCCCATTGTAGCCCCAGCATGATTCCAGTCCCCTACTATGACCGCCATTCCCCCAGTACACCCCACCACAGCCCCAGTACGACCCCCTTTTCCCCAGTACTCTCCATTGTGGCCCCCAGTATGACCCCAATTTCCCCAGTACACCCCAGTGTGACCCCCATTCCCCCAGTACACCCCAGTATGACCCCCTATTCCCCAGTACACCCCATCAGGGCTCCAGTACGACCCCCATTCTCCCAGTACATCCCAGTATGACCCCCATTCCCCCAGTACACCCCACCACAGCCCCAGTATGACCCCCATTCTCCCGGTACACCTCATTGTAGCCCCAGTATCATCCCCCATTCTCGCAGTACAGCCCCAGTATGACCCCCCATTCTTCCCAGTGTGCCCCACCATGGCCCCAGTATAACCCCCTTTATCCCAGTACTGCCCCAGTATGACCCCCAATTCCCCCACCACAGCCCCAGTACAGCCCCAGTATGGCCCCCATTCCCCCAGTACACCCCACGACAGCCCCAGTATGCCCTCCTTTTCCCCAGTACACCCCACTGTAGCCCCAGTATGACCCCCATTCCCCTAGTACACCCCAGTACAGCCCCAGTATGACCCCCTTTTCCCCAGTACACCCCACGACAGCCCCATCCCCACATCCCCAGTGCAGCACGGCAGCTCAGCGGGGCAGGGGCAGTGCCCGGGGCTCCTGCCGGTCCCCGGTGGCCCCACCCAGCCCCCTGCCGGTGCCTCAGGTTTCAACCCGCGCTGGGAGGAGACGCTGCGGTTCCAGGTGCGGGTGCCCGAGCTGGCCCTGGTGCGGTTCGTGGTGGAGGATTACGACAGCACCTCCTGCAACGACTTCGTGGGGCAGTTCACGCTGCCCCTGCCCAGCATGCGCCAAGGTGGGGGCAGGTGCCACCCCGGGGGGACACGGGGACAGCCCCTGGCACGGGCTGAGCCCCCTGTGTGTCCCCAGGCTACCGCCACATCCACCTGCTCTCCAAGGATGGCACCTCCCTGGCCCCTGCCACGCTGTTCGTGCACGTCCGAGCCAAGAGCCTGTGAGGGAGCACAGGAGGGACAGCCTGGTGTCCCCATGGAGGTGCCAGGGGGACATTGTGGCTGTGAGGGAGCACAGGAGGGACAGCCTGGTGTCCCTGAGGTGCCCATGGGGACATTGCGGCTGTGAGGATGCACAGGAGGGACAGCCTGGTGTCCCCATGGAGGTGCCCATGGGGGACATTGTGGCTGTGGGGAGGACAATAGGCTCCTCCATGAGTGGGGACAGCTGAGGACACTGCTCACCCAGTCTGTGGCTCCCCTACCCGGTGCCACCCACTGGTGTCCCACTGCTGTCCTTGAGGGGACAGAGATGCTGTGACAACCAGGATTGGGCCAATGACAGCCCCAGCACAGCCCCACGGGGGTGACATGGGTGACAACAACCAGCAAATCTCACCAGCTTTGGCCACGTTTGGGGTGCAAGGACGGTGCCACCATCACCCTGGAGTCCCTGAGGGGACCCTGCCACCACACACTCCATTGTGCCCAGGTGGGGACACATTGCCAAGCTCTGGCACAGATTTACAGCCCTGGGATCAAGCCAGTGGAATAAAGGTTTTATTTTAACAGAGCCTGTCCCAGTGTCCCTGTCACCCTCCGGGGCCCATCGTGGCTGGATGAGGGCTGAGCCCACCCCCAGACCAGCAGGGAGCTGGGGGGATTCACTGGAGCAGTCATGGGGACAAGGGGAGGGTCCCCCACCCACAACCAGGATAGCAGGGACACACGGGGGGGACACAGAGGTACTTGCATAGGTGACACAGGATCCCGAGCAGGGGGTGTGATGGCACTGCCAGGGGGGTGTGATGGACTCCTGGTCCCCTCTGAGGCCCCACAGGTCCAGGCTGAGGTGGGCACAGGCTCTCAGGTGCCACGGGGTGTGACAGGGACACGGCAGCACAGGGAGGTGTGACAGTGCATAGACGGGGTCTTGGCCTTGGTGTGCAGCTTTGGAAACCTTTGGCTGGGCAGGCAGGAGCAGCTCGGAGCTCTGGGCTCAGGACGTGGCAGGAGGATGTCCTGGCACTCCTGGATGGGATGGAGGGTTGCCATGACAACGTTTCCTTTCTCTCAGAGGGTCCCACACAGCACGAGGTGACACCGGGGAGGATGATGCCAATGGAGAATCCAGATTTCCATGCTTCCAGAGAAAAGCAGCTGAGCAGAGAGGCTGTGGCAGTGGCAGTGGAGCATCCCTATGGGGAGGCTGAGGGGAAGCAGCCCCAGGAGCAGAGCAGGGTGTGCCTGGAGCTGAACCCCCCTGGATCCATCCAGCAGGAAGGGTTGGAGTCTCTGTGGCTGGGCAGGAGGTGGGACAAGGCATCTCTTGCACAAATAGCCCTTGGAAAGGAATCTCCCCCTGTTAAACAGAGTCAGGAGCAAACCTGGGGCAAAGAGCCTGAAGCACCCTCGGGGCAGGCAGGAGGGTTTTGACCAGCAGCCACCATCAGCATCAACCTCAGCTGTCCCAAAGGAGAAAAAAAGTCCCAGTCCAGCAGCCCAGTGGTGACCTCCAGCAGCCGAATGTAACTCATGGCAGCTGGGAACAGGAAAGATTTTAAAATATATATAATATATACTTTTATTATTCACCCGTTAAATCCATTATATGCCAATCATGATCTAGTTTCAGCAGTTACATTCCCTTGATCATGTCTTTAGGAGGATGCAGTTAAATCAAACAAGGAGGTGGCTGGCAGCAGCAGGGGGGCTCTGGTGCCCCTCTCTCCTGGCGTGGCTCCGGCTTTGGCAGAAAGGATGAGGGCAGCACCTCCTCAGGCCCGGCTCCTCCACGCTCTCCTGGCAAGGGCTCCCTTACTGCAGCACCAATCCAACCTGGAAATGGGGATCAGGACAGAAATTGGGCTCATCAGGACAGAAATTGGGCTCAGGAGGTGCCCTCTGCTCCGTACCCAGCTCGGTGCTGCCTGTGTTGGTTTCTGTCACACACATCTTTTATGGAAAATCCATATAGAAATTCCACAGTGCTGGATTAAAAAATGCTGCTCTGGATGTGGCACTTGAGCCAGCCCTAAATTCCTCCAGCTGGTTTATCTGCAGCTCCAGCAATTCCTTCCCCTTTAGCATCTCAAATCATCAAACCACAGCCCCATCTACAGCACTGTCACACACATCTTTTATGAAAAATCCTTTCCTTAGGATTTTTCCTCCTGAGAAGCTGAAAAGCCTCAGGAACAAAATGTAAACAATGGTTTTCTGCTGCTGTGAAATGCAACAGGTGCATCTGGGATTGGTCTCATGTGGTTGTTTCTAATTAATGGCCAATCACAGCCCAGCTGGCTCAGACTCTCTGTCCAAGCCACAAACCTTTGTTATCATTCTTTCCTTTTCTATTCTTAGCCAGCCTTCTGATGAAATCCTTTCTTCTATTCTTTTAGTATAGTTTTAATAGAATATATATCATAAAATAATAAATCAGCCTTCTGAAACATGGAGTCAGATCCTCATCTCTCCCTCATCCTCAGACCCCTGTGAACACCGTCACAGGTTTCCCCACTGGTTTTGGGGTGTTTGAGAGCAGCAGAGCCCTGGGTTTGTGGCTGAGTGGGCACACAGGCCCTGCCCAGCTCTGATCTGGGGAGGTGACCAATGTTTGGGGTGTGACAAGCCCCATCAGGTATGAGACAGCCTTGATTCATGAGCCAGGGGTGTTTCTCAGCTCATGGTGAGGAGAGGGATGGAACAGCTCTGCTGGGAGGTGGGGCTGTTCAGCCTGGAGAAGGCTGCAGGGAGGCCTCAGAGCCCCTTTTACTGCCAAAGAGGGACTTTGGACAAGGGCCTGGAGTGACAGGACAAGGGGAATGGCTTCCCACTGCCAGAGGGCAGGGATGGATGGGATATTGGGATGAATTCCTCCCTGTGAGGTGGGGTCCTGGCACAGGGTGCCCAGAGCAGCTGTGGCTGCCCCTGGATCCCTGGCAGTGCCCAAGGCCAGGTTGGACACCTCCAGGGAACCTCCTGGGACTTCCTAGGAGCAGGCAGGTGAGGCTGGTTTAGGGCACAGGGCTTGTGCCCAGGGACAGACCTGGCTTCACACCAGGGAACCAAAGCCCTGTGACTGCCATCAAGGCATTAATTAGCTGGTAAGGCATTAATTAGCTGTGATGTAGCTGGGCAGATTCTGGTCTGCAAGGTGCTGAATCACAACCCTGGTGTGGAGGAACAGCAGCAAGCAGGGGCTGCCTCAGAATGGCCCAGGACAGGCAGGTGGGGACCCAGCACAGCTCTGGGGGAACAGGCTGCTGGCCCTGGGGACAAATGACATCCTGGGATCCTGTGGCTCAGCTCCTTTGTCACAGGTGCTGCTCCAGCCTGCCTGCTCTCTCCAGAGGGGTGGCTGTCACAGACATCTTTTATGAAAAATCCTTTCCTTGGGATTTTTCCTCCTGAGAAGCTGAAAAGCCTCAGGAACAAAATGTGAACAATGGTTATCTGCTGCTGTGGAATGCAACAGGTGCATCTGGGATTGGTCTCAGGTGGTTGTTTCTAATTAATGGCCAATCACACTCAGCTGGCTCAGACTCTCTGTCCGAGATCCAAGCCTTTGTTATCATTCTTTCCTTTTCTATTCTTAGCCAGCCTTCTGATGAAATCCTTTCTTCTATTCTTTTAGTATAGTTTTAATAGAATATATATCATAAAATAATAAATCAAACCTTCTGAAACATGGAGTCAGATCTTTGTCTCTTCCCTCATCCAAGAACCCCTGTGAACAGTCACAGGTGGCTGCTCCTCCCAGTCCACCAGGACACAGTGACACCCATGAGGGATCACAGGTGGCTGGCACAACCCCCGGTGTCACATCTGTCACCCTGCAGCCCTCTGTGCTTGGCCTCCTTCCTTAGAGGGAAGGAGTTGGTGTGAAAGACTGAACCTGCACTAGTCCAGGAATAAAATTGGCTTTGGAAGATGAGTGTGGAGGGGCTTTTCCCCAGGGACACACTCTGCAGGCAGAGATGACAGAGCCTCCCTGTGTGTGACATTGCAGGGACACCAGCTGGGCTGGAATGCTGAGGTGACAGCCAACCCCTGTCCCCAGGGCTGAGGGGACAAGCCCCCTCCTCACAGCACTGACCTTCTCTGGTGCCATGCTGGGACATTTCCAATTGTACAGGTAATACTGCAGGTTCCCATCCCCGATCCCAAACTTCAGCTTCTCCAGGAAGGTTTTGTTTTCCATGAGATCCAGTGCATTGAAGACGTCAAATCCTTTCTGCACAGGGAGACATGAAGCCATCAGCTCCTGCTTTAGTGCTGGGCAGTTCCTCCCACCTGTGTGAGCAGCCTGGCTCCTTTTCCTGCCTGGCTTTGAATCCCAGAAAAAGGGAAGAGCTCTTGGTGTTCTCACCCTCAATCCAACTCTTTGCTGTAGAACATGAGTAACCACCACAAGCTGGAAGGTTCAAGGTACCCCAGCATCCCTCTCCTGGGGGGCAGATCCTTTTGGATTTGGATTTTTATAGAGCTGGAATCAAGCCCTTCCCACAAACCCAAGGGTGGCCAGCCTGCAGTGAGTTCCTGTGAGCTGCCCAGTGTCCCAGCACATCCCTGCATCCCTCACCTGAGGGAAAAATGGATTTGTAGAGAATTCTCAAAGCCTGACAGAAGGCTTTGAGGGTAACTTGAGATGATTGGCTTTAAGGCATTTACAGCATGGTAAAAAGCTGATAGACCAAGAAACACTTATAGTTTATTGTAATTAGGAAATAGTTGGCTTCTGATTGTGATGGTGTGAATTATAATGCCTTGGTGTTCTCACCCTCAATCCAACTACTACAGACTGTTTGCTGTAGGACATGAGTAACACCACAAGGTTTAAGGTATCCCACCATCCCTCTCCTGGGGGGCAGATCCTTTTGGATTTGGATTTTTATAGAGCTGGGATCAAGCCCTTCTCACAAACCCAGGGTGGCCAGCCTGCAGTGAGTTCCTGTGAGCTGCCCAGTGTCCCACAGTGCCAGCCCAGCCCTGCATCCCTCACCTGTGGGAAAAATGGATTTGTAAGAATTTTCAAAGCCTGACAGAAGGCTTTGAGGACAATCTGAGGTAATTGGCTTTAAGGCATTTACAGCACGGTGTGACAAAAGCTGCTAGGCCAAAATACACTTATAACATAATTAGGAAATAGTTGCCTTCTGGTTGTGATGGCGTGAATTCTAACATCTGTATTGTCTCACCCTTCATATGAGGCTGAAAATGGAGTGAAAGCTTTTTAAAACACCCCTCAGCTGCCCCAGGTGTGGCTCGGGGAAGGGCTCAGGGCAGCACTCACCGACTTGGCGAGGATGAGCGCGTCGCTCATGAGGTCGATGAGAGGCGTCTTGGTGTGGACGTTGTAGAAGGAGTAAGCAGCTTTCAGGC